TGACTGTCTCCCTGGCTGGCAGGCAGGCTGGCTGGCTGTCTCCCTGGCAGGCTGGCTGTCTCCCTGGCAGGCTGGCTGGCTGTCTCCCTGGCAGGCTGGCTGGCTGTCTCCCTGGCAGGCTGGCTGGCTGCCTGGCGGCGCCGCCTATAATATGATAACACACGGCGTGCTTTATTTAATTAATATTTTAATTAACGTTCACCGTTACTGGTGGTGTTTAACGTGTCTATGACGTGTGAACACTTCTCCAGGAGCCTCGTTTATTATTATACCTGTTTATTTATTTTTATTAATGATTACGTGGCAGTTAATGCTAATCTTGTGTTATGATAACGCAGCATATGATGTAGTGTGGGTCGGCTCAGCCAGTGTGTGTTGACGGTGTGGCTGGGCTCAGCCAGTGTGTGTTGACGGTGTGGCTGGGCTCAGCCAGTGTGTGTTGACGGTGTGGCTGGGCTCAGCCAGTGTGTAGTGACGGTGTGGCTGGGCTCAGCCAGTGTGTGTTGACGGTGTGGCTGGGCTCAGCCAGTGTGTAGTGACGGTGTGGCTGGGCTCAGCCAGTGTGTGGTGACGGTGTGGCTGGGCTCAGCCAGTGTGTGTTGACGGTGTGGCTGGGCTCAGCCAGTGTGTAGTGACGGTGTGGCTGGGCTCAGCCAGTGTGTGGTGACGGTGTGGCTGGGCTCAGCACGTCGGGAACTAATAAATGGCGTGGTACAAAGTCTAGTGTGTCCCTGACTGTAGTGTGTGCAGATGTGTGTGTTCTGCGTGACCACTGTGCGACCGTCAGACTTGTCTCTTCTTACACGGGATCTGAGGCATTATATTTTGTGTCTGAAAAGCTTTCGAGTAATTGGTGTGGCTGGGCTCGAACGATTGTACTCGTTCGTGCACGCCTCTCACATCCCTCCCCCTCTCAAGTATGCTTTCAATAATGTTCCTGTTTGTCTGTTGGTAGCGATGTTTGTCCCTGTTGGGAGCAGTGCATCACAGGATGGTATAATAACGTGTTTGTTGAATGCAGACTGAGGTTAGTGTATTTGGATATAACATTTATTATGAGCGTGTATTTGACCGCATTTTGACCTGCCTTTTACGCCATATTAGCAGTAATAATGCTCGAACACTGATGGGTATAGCGGCGGCCTTGCTGAGTGTGTGGTCGGGGTTCAATCCCCGGTGGTCAAAGTTGTTGGTAGCCTACCTTTAACCCCCGTCCTCATGCCACAGCTCCTAGTCCTCATACCCCAGCTCCTAGTCCTTATACCCCAGCTTCTAGTCCTTATACCCTAGCTCCTAGTCCTCATACCCCAGCTCCTAGTCATCATATTCTTTCCAAGCGTTGCATAGTAATAGTGGCTTAGCACTTTATCGTCACAACCTTTGTTTCATGACATGAACATATCAATGTAGAATTATGGAACACAATCAGCTGTGTGTTGTGGGTGTGGAATATTTAGAGGCTATGAACAAGGGACTCAATAATACTCACTTGTATACTAACAACACTGACGACTCTAGTGCAAATGTTAGACTCGGTGACCAACAGCTCATTAAGTCACGGTCTGCAACGACACTAAAGCAATAATTCCACATGAATTATATTAAAGATACACTATCAATGTAGACCATGAAATCAACGAAACATCTCCGCGACCTTGTCAAATCTGCGACACATTACTTACTTCCCTGAAACAGGCGAGAGCCAGAAGCACAAGGCGACGCCAGGCTGTCCGGCCGTGCCGGCAGCCTTCAACGCGCTCACATTTTTCCCGTCTGGGGGTTGGCATGGCAACTCCCCTGACGCCCCTGGGTGGTGGCGGGTGGTCCGGCCACCTGCCGTGGGTGCTGGCTCACAGTCGACACACACACACTATCACCACCACCAGTGACCGCGTGTGTTGTCGGCCTCGACGACCGATTCAGTAGAGAGGAAGCCTTGGAGGTCATCGCGGAAGGTGTGCGAGAGAGGGCCCCGTCACGGTCCTCCTCCTGGGACCCGTCGTCTTCGGAAACACTCCAAGGAGAGGATTTCCCAAGGCTGTTGTCTTTCTCTGCTTAATCTTGTGGTGGGTCACACTCGCCAGTGTTGACCAGGACAAACTCACCAGGATACACCAGTACTCACCAGAACACACCAGGATACACCAGTACTCACCAGAACACACCAGGATACACCAGTACTCACCAGAACACACCAGGATAAACCAGTACTCACCAGGACACACCAGGATACACCAGTACTCACCAGGACACACCAGGATACACCAGTACTCACCAGAACACACCAGGATACACCAGTACTCACCAGGACACACCAGGATACACCAGTACTCACCAGGACACACCAGGATACACCAGTACTCACCAGGACACACCAGGATACACCAGTACTCGCCAGAACACACCAGGATACACCAGTACTCACCAGGACACACCAGGATACACCAGTACTCACCAGGACACACCAGGATACACCAGTACTCACCAGGACACACCAGGATACACCAGTACTCACCAGGACACACTCACCAGTACTCACCAGGATACACTCGCCAGTGCTCACCAGGATATTTTCCAGGAGAGAAACATAAGTGCCAACTACTCGCCACTGCACTTTACACAGGCTCAATGGTATTAGCAAGAGAGAGCATATTGGTCTGGTAAAGTCTACGGATCTGTATTGCCAGATTTCATTACTTAGCTCCAAATCCGGCTGTGGTGGAAGTTGTGTATGAGGACTCCAGAGTGGTGTGTGGGTCACCCAAGGCGCTTGTGGTGTGTGTGTGTGTGTGTGTGCTCTTTCTATATTATGGGTTCACTTTTGGTTTTAAGACACAGAAATTGTGAAGAAAAATTATGAAGGAAAATAATGTTCATGAATCATCAGGGATTTCTTTCCTAACTGTCTGGAATATCTGGCCATTTATGCAAAGTTATGAAGCAATATACAAACTGTGTATAAATAAACACGCTATCTAATTTGATTTTTTTCAGCAATTACATCATACACAAATTGGGCCAGATTTAACAGCTAATAATAAAATACATTTTCAAAAGCAACATAGTGTAATTATTCAAAAGAGTAATTACACTTTCCACATGTGTAATTATTTTCTAGACTAATGTTTCCTACTAAAGTTGCATATAATTTTACTACGAATCCTACATGATCTGGTTGGTAGTTATCTAATTGCCAATTATCTCTCTAATTATCTTGATTTTTGAAGCCGTCTAACACGTATACACACACATTAAATAATGTTTCCAACAAGGTTTTATTCAATTCAAAACATCAATTATAATCCCTAGAGTTTAACCATTGTTCGAGCCGCCATACATAACACCACCGCCAACTTGGGAAACTAATCAAATAAATGTATCAACTCGGAATATAAATTGCCAAATTCATGAATTTCCCCTTTAATTGTCATTTAGTTCCTCGTCACTGAGACAAGGAGTCCACAATTTATCGGGAATTTATAACACTATAAATGTTGAGTTGGAAATTGGGTGATAGCACTTGTGTGGAGCCAGATAGGGTAGTGTCGAAATTTTCTCTTTCTCTCTCTTCCTCCCTCTTCCTCTCTCTCTCGCTCTCTCTCTCTCTCTCTCGCTCTCTCTCTCTCTCTCGCTCTCTCTATCTTCCTCTTCCTATCTTGCTCTCGCCCTCTCCTTATCTCCCTATCTCTCTCTCTCTCTCTCTCTCTCTCCCTATCTCTCTCTATCTCTCTCTATCTCTCTCTATCTCTCTCTCTCTCTCTCTCTCTCTCTCTCTCTCTCTCTCTCTCTCTCTCTCTCTCTCTCTCTCTCTCTCTCTCTCTCTCTCAGAAGATAGCTCCGCGAAAGTACCAATATGCGTGAATCTTTCTGAACCAGAAATTACAAGTGTTCTTGAAGACCCGTTCAGCGTTCTCTTGATGGCCAGCCAGGCTTACACTATCGATGGAGAGCCATTACCGCCGCCCACAGAGTAATCATACTCGTCCCCAACCACATCAACCTGGTTGAGAGAAGCGTCAGACACCAGAACAGAGATCGCGTCTCGGGCATTTCGTGCTCTGCGGTTTCCACACCTCTTCTGGTAATTAATGTGACGGGTTGAATGGAAGCTCTAAACCTGAAGAAGCGGAAAGGAGTAGTTAACTGCACTGTGTGAGGGGAGGGGGTGTCGGTGTGTGTGTGTCGGTGTGTGTGTGTGTGTTGTGTGTGTGTGTGTGTGTGTGTGTGTGTGTGCGCGCGTGCGTGTGTGTGGCGTGGTGCTCCACCCGCTAGGAGCTCCTTAAGTCCCAGTACTTGGAGCACATTACCCGCTCCCTGCAGCTGCACAAGTGGGGTCATACATCAGGCGACGGGTCAGCGCCTGTTGGTCCCCGCACCTCCGAGGCCTCACACACTTCATCTTCAGGTTGTCCCTTTTATACTTTTTAAAAGTTTAAATCTTAAGATTGTTAACAAGCGCCGTTTGTCAATTTCCATTTCTGAGCAGAGTACTGACGCCGTTGTTGACACCGTAGCCTCGTTCTCTTGCAAATTGCGTCTGAATTTGGCCGTTTACCCGTTTATGGCCGAAAATGGACGTAATTTGAAAATATGAAAAATTAAAATAAATTTTGGATTTTTGTTTTCCAAAATGGCAAGTGTGGTTGTGTGGTGGAAGTACTACTGTGGTTGTGTGGTGACTGTTCCACCGTAACTAACAGTTCACAAACTGGTAAACAACTGACATTCACTGAATTAAAATGCTTCCGGCTGGTATTATCGTTGTTGCTGTTAAAGATTCTCTACCTGGAACAAAAATTATTATCGTGTTAATATCGTGAATTAATTGTTTAACAATAATTCATTATAGTTTCATCATTTATTTACAACATTCTTGCATCCTTGGTTTTTATTTATGTTAAACGTAGTTTGGAGTGTAAGCCTTGCGTAGGAGATTTATTTAACTATTTATGATACAATGCAGCGATGTATTTGCTGATCCTGGCTGTTTGTGTCCTCAGATGGTGGCCCTGGACCGTCAACGCCTCCGGCAGGAGAGCTATGCCCTCCTGGGCAAGTTAATCCGCACCAAGGACCCCGCCCGATTCCAGGGAGACGAGAGCGGCGACTCCAAGCTGAAGAAGGTGCTGACCACCGTCGACTTGACCTCGCTGGGCGTGGGGTCGTGCGTGGGCACGGGCATGTACCTGGTGGCTGGCATGGTGGCCAAGAACATCGCGGGGCCCGGGGTCATCCTCTCCTTCACCATCGCTGCCATCGCCTCCATCTTCTCCGGTAAGGCACGTCTGAGAGGGGAAGTCGAGTAAATGCGCAGTAAGGAAACTAGGCGGTGGAAACAGGAGGCCAGACACAGGATACAGAATAGGAGATGAAGTACTTAATGAAACAGACAGAGAGAAAGATTTAGGAGATGATATCACACCAAACCTGTCTCCTGAAGCCCACATAAAAAGAATTACGTCTGCGGCATATGCGAGGCTGGCTAACATCAGAACAGCGTTCAGGAACCTGTGTAAGGAATCTTTCAGAATCTTGTACACCACATATGGAAGACCAGTCCTGGAGTATGCGGCTCCAGCATGGAGCTCGAACCTTGTCAAGCACAAGACGAAGCTGGAAAAAGTTCAGAGGTATGCCACTAGAGTAGTTCCAGAACTAAGAGGCATGAGTTACGAGGAAAGGCTGCGGGAAATGCACTTTACGACACTGGAAGACAGAAGAGTAATGGGAGACATGATCACTACCTACAAAATCCTCAGGGTAATTGACAGGGTAGACAAGGATAACTATTCAACACGGGTGGTACGCGAACAAGGGGACACAGGTGGAAACTGAGTACCCAAAAAAGCCCCAGGGACGTTAAAAAGAACTTTTTCAGTATCAGAGTAGTTAACAGGTGGAATGCATTTGGCAGTGATGTGGTGGAGGCTGACTCCATACACAGTTTCAAATGTAGATATGATATAGCCCAGTAGGCTCAGGAATCTGTACACCTGTTGATTGACGATTGAGAGGCGGGTCCAAAGAGCCAAAGCTCAACCCCCGCAAGCACAAGTAGGTGAGAACTAATACTGCAATAACCACCACTACGAAGTGAAAACCTCCCCATAACCATCACCACAACCTGGAAGATCGTGTCTGGTATAATCTTCACTCGCTCGGATATGCTAAGATTGCCAATTTAGAGTGCAAGTGATTACATTTTGGGAATGTTATTACCAGACTTAACAGCCTAGTTGAGGTGTGTGTGTGTGTAAGATGTAGACTCGCCTAGAAGTACTAGCAGGGTCGAGCTTCAGCTCTCCAGCCCCGCCTTTTGACCATCAGTAATTGACCATTACAATCGACTTGAGAATGGTCCAGGACGGACCGAAACGTCGTCGTCCCTTCACCTTCTAGTGTGTGGTCTGGTCACCATCAGTAATTCAATTCAATTATAGTTTTTAATGGTTTTTACTCATGTTTACATTTAAAACTGTCAATTTAAATAACAACAGTATTATTATTATTATTTAATCCATGTTGTTTATATTCAGCCCTTTCGTTTACGAAGCAATTCGGAGTTCTTTGCTTTTCCTGATTGCACTTGTGTGTGTCGCTTACCTCCGGAGACTAGCATCTTCACAGCGGAACTTTATGCTATTATATATGTTCTTCGTCTCCTGCTTCCTCGTTGTCAATCTTCCTTGGTAGTTGTGGTTGACTCTCGTAGTGCCCTCATGGCTCTCGGGTCCTTTAATACGGAAAGGTTGTTGTGACTCATCCAGTGGTTGTCGAGATCCAGCATTGGCTGTTTCTTATCCACAGTAAATTTAAGTCAGTTGAGTTTTGCTGGCTTCCCAGCCATGTTGGTGTCTCTTTATATGAGCGTGCGGATGCTGCCGCTAGGGAAGCTGTCCGCTCTTGTCCCATCTCCCGTAAAGGTATTCCTTATTCCGACTTTTACACACTCAGACCTTGATAAAGCACTCAGGAGAGTGCGAAAGACTTACGTAAATACCTTACATAAATTTCACATATACACAAGTGTGGGGGTTTTATCCTATATTTCTTAGTTAAGTTCATTATACTTATTAAGGAGCCACGCATTAAATTTTGAATCATCTACACACGCAATTAAATTTTAGATCAAAGGAGAGAGAGAGAGGGGGGTAGAGAGGGTAGAGAGGGGGAGGGAGAGAGAGAGAGAGGGGGGAGGAGAGAGAGAGAGGGGGGGTAGAGAGACAGAGAGAGAGAGAGAGAGGGGGGGAAGAGAGAGAGAGGGGGGAGAGAGAGAGAGAGAGAGAGAGAGAGAGAGAGAGAGAGAGAGAGAGAGAGAGAGAGAGAGAGAGAGAGAGAGAGAGAGAGAGAGAGAGAGAGAGAGAGAGAGAGAGAGTAGAGAAACCAGTCGAGGGAACAGGGCGTCCACAACCTATCCTCCGGAATAATATATTGTATTTGGACGTCAAAATCCCCAACGGACACAATACAAATTATTATTAATCATAGCGGCTTACAACCACGTTTTCTATACATGACAGGTAAGGTTAACTTCGCGCGACATAACACACTGTTTTTTGGCCATTGTGTCAACTCGAGTGTGAGTAGCGTGAGTGTGAGTAGCGTGAGTGTGAGTAACGTGTGTGAGAGTAACGTGAGTGTGAGTAGGGTGAGTGTGAGTAGCGTGAGTGCAACAGGAGTGTGAGAATGTGTTGGTGTGAGTGTGGCCTCGGGCGGGAAATACTCCTCCGCCAGACCCCTCGTCGCAGGCTAAAGTTTCAAGAATCTAGAATTAGACTTTTAATTAAAATGTTGCACATAATTTACCGCCGCGCCACCATGACTGAGACCTGCGTAGTCCCACCTGGTAGTCCCACCGTGACGCAGTCCCCCCTGGCAGTCCCACCGTGGCGCAGTCCCCATTGGCAGTCCCACCGTGACGCAGTCCCCCTGGCAGTCCCACCGTGACGCAGTCCCCTGGCAGTCCCACCGTGACGCAGTGTCCCGTGGAAGCCCCACCACGACGCAGTCCCCACTGGCAGTCCCACCGTGGCGCAGTCCCCCCTGGCAGTCCCATCGTGACGCAGTTCCCCCCTGGCAGTCCCATCGTGACGCAGTTTCCCCCCCTGGCAGTCCCACCGTGGCGCAGTTCCCCCCCTGGCAGTCCCACCGTGGCGCAGTTTCCCCCCTGGCAGTCCCACCGTGGCGCAGTTTCCCCCCTGGCAGTCCCACCGTGGCGCAGTTTCCCCCCTGGCAGTCCCACCGTGGCGCAGTTTCCCCCCTGACAGTCCCATCGTGACGCAGTTGACCGAGAGACATGATCCATGTTGCTGTTCTCAAACTGACGCTGTTTTACAACTTTGTTTCCCTTTGAGCCGAGGAAATAAATTATGAACTGGAAAATGATGCAATGACTCAATCCTCCCTCCCTGTCTGCCTGTCCCTCACCATCAGCCCCTTTTTTTTATCTGTCTCTCTCAGTCCCGCATTTCCTGTCTGCCTACCTCTCGCTATCTTTGCCTTCTCTGTGACACGTCTCCATCCTTGCCTATCTCCTTCTATCCTGCCCCCTCCCTCTAGGTACTCCCTCCCGTCTTCACCAGCAGGCGCGCCCTCTTCCTGCCAGTGTTGTCGTGTCGAGATACCAGTCAGCGGCCACACGTAGTCTGACTTGTAATTGCTTCCCGACAATAGTTGTTAATTACCAAGAGTGTGGTGTCAGGTCACCACCAGCTCGCTGCCTCCTTGTGCTCTCTTAACGATAATAATTGGTGCCTGCGTGATCAATATTCTTAGCAATGTTATAATTGGATATGTATTTCAACTTTTAATTCTCGCTGTAATGTTGTGTTTTAAATGACTATCAAGAATGGTGGTTGTTGATGTTGTGTGTTTATATGCGTGTCTCCTGCACCTGAGTGTTGGTGGATTTGTATCCTGAGTGATGATCAGTTAGACACCTGTCTTGTGAGGGTATGCAGGTGTTTGTGGGAGGCACCAGTGCTGTGATGATCTGTACAGGTGTTCTCCAGGACGCAGCAGCTGTGTTACCTGTGTTGTGACCTTCAACAGGTGTGTGCTACGCAGAGTTCGGGGTGCGGGTGCCCAACACGTCTGGGGGCGCCTACATGTACAGCTACGTCACGGTGGGCGAGGTCATGGCCTTCATCATCGGCTGGAACATGGTGCTGGAGGAACTGATCGGCACCTCCGCCTGCGCCTGCGCCCTCAGTGCCTGCTTCGACGCCATCGCCGACGGCGCCATCTCCTCTAGCATGAAGAACACCTTTGGCACCATGTTTGGTAGGTTGAGGGTCGCTGCTCTCCGCCATGTTGTGGGGGTGGAGGGAGGAGGTTGGTCTTAGAAAAACATAACTTGTTAAACATGTGCCTTTGGGTTCGAGCCCATTGTACAGCCCCGGTAGTGTCTCCTCGTGCCTGCCCAAACAGGCTACTTGCTCACCGGTATAAGAACAGTGTGGAGGGCGGGGATGCAACAGCTTGTTCCTTGATCATTACACACAATATATGATCCACCGCGTACACTCTTCTCTTGTGGTTTTGCCATTACTTACAATTAATTGTTGTTGTAATTACAATTTTAATTGTTGTTGTGATTCAAACTGCTGTAGTTTTTCAACAAAATACTTTAATTAGACACTAAGACTTGCTAGTGCAGCCAGTCGTCCAGGCCTAATGACGTGATCCTTGATGAGTTACAACCCAGGTTGTAACCAATACATATACAATTATTGTATTATACATTGTATGTATATAATATAATAAACATTGTACTGTTCTAAGCATAAAATTTGACGGCCAGTAGAATATTTCGGTGTATTTCTTAGTGTAAATTAATTTATTATTATGGTGACGTTTACAATCTTAACAGAGACTTTAATGTTAGCTTTCCTTTTAGATCAGAGCATCCCACCTGCTTAATGCTGGGACAACCTTATTGTTTCCCTAGGATATAGCTGTTATCCCATCACCCAGGTCATGGCTACTGTCCCATCCCCCCAGGTCATGGCTACTGTCCCATCATCCCCAGGGTAACAGCAGTGTTACTCTCCCCTGTTATTATAATGATGACGCTGTGTGTGTGTGTTCAGGGGAGCCGCCGGACCTGCTGGCGTTCTTCCTCACGCTGATGATGGGCGGGGTGCTGGTGGCCGGCGTGCGCAAGTCCGTCCTCTTCAACAACACCCTCAACCTGGCCAACCTGTGCGTGTGGGTCTTCATCATGGTGGCCGGGCTCTTCTACGTCGACACCAGCAACTGGACCCAACACGGCGGGTTCATGCCTTATGGATGGTCAGGGGTGAGTAGGCCTTCGTGCTCGGTGGTGGGGCACGAGCCAGTACCTCTACTAGGTTTTGTCTGAGTACCTTTACTCAGTTGGTTAGGGGTGAGTATTTTCCTAGTGGATTTGTTCATTTGATGCATCACACAATTGTGATTTCTGTGTGTAACAACGTATGGGCCCACAGCCTCCTTCAGGCCCAGAGATACGTCAGGATATTACACGACCAAACATCACATTCACTCCTAACATCTACAACACGTGCAGGCGAAGAGTCACAATAACGTGGCTAAAGTAAGTTGACCAGACCACACACTAGAAGGTGAAGGGACGACGACGTTTCGGACCAGGACGGACCGAAACGTCGTCGTCCCTTCACCTTCTAGTGTGTGGTCTGGTCAACATCAATCTACACCACCTTCGGGCTGCTCATGCCCGTGTCACCTCTTGTGGTGGCTTAATCTTCCTCAAGGAAGATTAAGGAACACTAGAGACCCCCAGAACTGAGCCCTACGAGAAGCTGCATACATATTTCCTCCAACCTGAAATGTCCTCTCTCACTATAGCTTTCTGCTTCCTGTCTGTCGGGTACTCTCTTTACAGAATTTCCAACACTGCTATTCCAATCTTCTTCTCAATTTTAATGGCGATCAAGGAAGATGCACTCCGGACAGGTCTCCGTGTGTCGTAGAGCTGTATTAGGTCAGCCAAGCATGATGTACGTCTCTCCAGAAGCCAGCTGTCTCTTAGTTGTGAAGTTTGTCTTCTGCAGATGTCCCACCACTTTCTTTCTAATTATTTTCTCGAGAACTTTGCAAGGGATGCACGTCGGTGACGCTGCCTCCTCCCGCGCGTGTCTGTTTGTACTCGCCTAGTTGTTCTTGCGGGGGTAGAGCTTCGGCTCTTTGGTCCCGCCTCTCAACTGTCAATCAACTGGTGAATGACAAAAGTGTGTGTGTTTGTGTGTGTGTGTATTCACCTAGTTGTGCTTTCGAGGGATTGAGCTCTGTTCTTTCGGTCCGCCTCTCAACTGTCAATCAACTGTTACTAACTACTAATTAATTTATTTATTTATTTGTTCACACACACACACACACACACACACACACACACACACACACACACACACACACACACACACACACACACACACACACACACAGGAAGCAGCCTGTAATAGCTGTCTAACTCCCAAGTACCTATTTACTGCTAGGTAACAGAGGCTACAGGGTGAAACAGATGGGCTCTGCCCATCTGTTTCCGCCGGCGGCCGGGATCGAACCCGGACCCTGAGATTGCGAGTCTCAAGCGCTGTCCATTCAGCCACGGCCTCATGCCCCTGTGTGTGTGTGTGTGTGTGTGTAATGAGAGAGAGAGAGACCAAAGTTTATTCTTATTAGAAAGTTTCATAAAAACAAATCATAAAATAAATTACATAAAATAAATGTTTCTAGAGCCAAGTTTCAGATGAACTAATGTAGAATAACTCTTGGCTTGCAACTACGTTAGGAGCGTCGCCACCAGTTCTAATTAACTCTAATCTTTATTTACAAAATGTGTGAGAGGAGAGAGTGGGTGGCAACGTGGGTGACAGAGAGAGAGAGAAAGAGAGAACTCAGTTAGAGTAAATTGTTGACCCTATGGCGCTCGTATAAATAACACACTCAGAACCACAACACAGCAGAAGTGAGGCTTAATTGGTGGTCTCACGGGTCATTCTTTATAAGTCCTTGAAACTTGTTCAGAGGATTTTCCAACATAAGGAGCCACAGAACAGCCTTCACCCAGCTTCGTAATTGCTTGTGTAACTCCTTCGTGAATCTGGCCTCTGGATAATAGGAGAAAATCAGAGCCGAGCTTCAATAAGGGACTCTGGCTGCTGAGAGGGACTGGCAGAATCCTGACCCCTCACATTACAACCAGATGAGCAGCGTACAATTGGTGGAAATCTGGCTACCGTAATTAGAATTAGAACAGGGAATTAGAACTCAAAACTTCATCTTCTGAAATCCCTCTCCAGGATTTTCAGTCACCTCTTAAGTTGCAGCCATTGCCTGCTAAGTCAGAGAAAATATAGAATGAAAGCTACAGTGCAGCATCGAGTGAAGCCATCTCCTGTGGTCACCTCGCAGCCACTGTCAACTGATGATCAAGAAGCATCCGCTGCACCTTCACACGGACCAACTCAAAACACTAATGCTCGAGTCGGACTTACGCTTATAGCCCGTCCTCATATACGAAGCCCAAAGTCCATTCCATGCACCTGCCAAACCCCTATTTATGAATGAAAAACAGTTTACACACGACTCACAACTGATGACGTATCTTGAGGTTATCTTGAGATGATTTCGGGGCTTAGCGTCCCCGAGGCCCGGTCCTCGACCAGGCCTCCTTTTGCTAAACATCCCCAGGGAGCAGCCCCTAGCAGCTGTCTAACTCCCAGGTACCAATTTACTGTTAGGTGAACAGGTGCATCAGGAATAAACAAACTTTGCCTATTTGTTTCTGCCTCCACCGGGGATCGAACCCGGAACCTCAGGACTACGAATCCGAAGCGCTGTCAACTCAGCTGTAAGGCTGCCGTCCGAACACTTCTCAAACAAGTGCTTCACTTTCAACTTTTGTTCAAACCACAACGCTGTAAATGCTTCACCCACGTCCCCCGTCCCTGTCCGGCCCGTTGTTGCCGTGAGCGAGCTTGGTGGGCGGCTGCCGGAGTGTGATGCTCCATGGGACAGTCCTCTGTCCTTTTGTGGCCTTGTGCTCCTGCTGCTGTCCTCACAAATTCTGCTGGACGACTTTTCCTTTTCCTTATGTTTCCTTTCCCCCCCCCCCTCTTCTCCTTTCTAATTGTCACAGGACAATGTACCAGGACACTGTACCAGGACACTGTACCAGGACAATGTACCAGGACAATGTACCAGGACAGTGTACCAGGAGTCGCCACCTGGCTCAGTTTCTAGGGGTGAATGAAGCTTCAGCGCCTGAGTGGATTGGCGTGTAGCGCTGGGCTGAAATATGAGCTGCCCGCTGAGCTGCTCTCCCAGGCTCTTACTCTCCCGCACTCCACTGCACTCACTCGCAGACTCTCACTCTCCTGCACTCTTTCCATCGGCACTCATCTTAAGCGTGTTTCCATATCACAGTGCGAGAGAGAGCATCTCTCTCATTCTCTCCTTCCTCCACTCTCTCTCTTTCTCGCTCTCTCTCCCTCTCTCTCTCCTTCCTAGTATTCGCCAACCAAGACAAAAGTGGTGGTGTTCAGCAGTCCGCTAACAACCACACAGACAGTGAGCAGTTTGTGCTCTGGGTGTGATCTTCGACGCCCCAGAGGGAGAGTTGACGCCCCAGAGGGAGAGTTGACGCCCCAGAGGGAGAGTTGACGCCCCAGAGGGGCGTCACATCCTGGGTCACTCAAGGCTTCGTGTACGTGCCCCCGTAGACCTGACCATCACACGTGGCACAGAGACAGCATTGTTGTTTCACATTTCGTCTCAAGTTCCTGGTAAGACAATTACCATCTGCTCCCTCGCCTGGTTTGGACCCCAGGGAGGGGGAGGGGCGTGGGATTCTGTCTTTATTTGGCCCCGAGGAGTCATGTGAGGCCTCAGCCGTGTCTCAAGACCTCCTCCTCCTCCTGCAGGTGCTGACGGGCGCCGCCACCTGCTTCTACGCCTTCATCGGGTTCGACATCATCGCCACGACGGGGGAGGAGGCGGTGAACGCCCGTCGCTCCATACCGTACTCCATCGTCATCTCCCTGGTCATCATCCTTATTGCCTACGTCACCTCCTCCGCCATCATCACACTGATGGGTGAGTCCTCCTCCGCAGCCGCCTCCTCCTTCCATATATTATTGGGTCAAGATATTTCTATCCTGTCTAATTCTGTGATATATATGTTTTTTATCGTCGTGTTGACTAAATGTGAAATATTCTAAGAGTTTGGTTATTATTGTGTTGATATATAACGCTGAAGTGCTGGTGCCACATATTGGCACATCATTGCTTCTTGTATAATATGGCAGCGACGAGGCCGCGCCCTAAATAGGCTTTCACACCATTTATAAAACCTATTTAAATACAGGAATGACATTTGACTAACATGAATTCTTCCTATATGTGATGCGTGGTGACGCGGGCGTGGTGACGTGGCCACGCAACAGTGCCATTCGACAAGATCGACGAGGACGCCGCCCTGGTGCAAGTGTTCGGACAGGTGGGCGCCCCGAAATGTCGAAACTTGGTGGCGCTGGGAGCCGTGGCCGGCCTCACCGTCTCCATGTTCGGGTCAATGTTCTCTCTGCCCAGGATCGTCTACGCCATGGCCAAGGACGGACTCATATTCAAGTGAGAGACACTAACACTATGGAACTGTTTACTGGTAATGTAATATAATGGAAGTGGTTATATTAGACATTTAGTTTGCTAGATAAGATGAACGCAATCTTTCTTTTTTTGGCTAGGCTTAAATGACTGTTTTTATATTACTGAGCAGTATGAGAGTAGGAACTGTATCTGATATGTATATTAGCTTCATCTTGATATCTGGTAATATGTGAAACCGTTGTATCATATTATATGATATATAATATATATTTTTAAGTTATTTATTTAATAGTTGGTTTGTTATGCCACTTTGGCACTAGAGTCGGCACTGGTCACTTTTCATGTGTGTGTGTGTGTGTGTGTGCGTGTGTGCGCGCGCGTGCGTGTGTGTGTGTGTGTGTGTGTGTGTGTGTGTGTGTGTGTGGTGTGTGTGTGTGTGTGTGTGTGAATATTCACCTAGTTATACTTGCGTGGATTGAGCTCTACTCTTTCGGCCCTCCTCTCAACTTTCACTCAATCAACTGTTACTAACTACTAACTAATTTTTTTCACACACACACACACACACACACACACACCAGGAAGTAGGCCGTAACAGCTGTCTAACTCCCAGGTACCTATTTACTGCTAGGTAACAGGTAACATCAGGGTGAAAGAAACTCTGCCCATTGTTTCTCGCCGGCGCCGGGAATCGAACCCGGGACCACAGGATCACGCGTACAGCGTGCTGTCCACTCAGCCACCGGCCCCAATGTGTGTGTGTGTTCACCTAGATGTTCCTGCAGGGACGAGTTCTGTTCCTAGCTCCACCATCCGAACATGTATAGGTTAGTATAATGACTCATTTCACATGTGTGTATTGTGTTGGCACCAATGGTTTCTTCGCCTAACCTGTTCCCCTTATTGACGGCTCTTAACACTGGACAAGTTTGTCTAACATCTCTAATGACTCGTCTGTGTCTCAAGCTCTCGTCTGTGCCTCCTTGTTCTGCTGTTCCATGTTTTAAACAATGCTTCATTTGTCAACTTCTTCAATTACACATAAAATCTTATATGTCATTAACATGTTCCCGCAAATTTTCCTCCTATCCTCCAGCGTATTGAGGTCATTTTCCTCTCTTACCTCATAGTTCAAGCCCTTCCGTTCAGGAACGAGCCTTGATGCATATCTTTGGACATTTTTCTAGTTTTGATTTGTTATTATTCAAGTGAGGGTTCCATGTCTGTGCTGCACACTCAAGAGTTGGTCTCACGGTCGTTGTGTATTGGGTCTAGCAAGGCTCCTATGCCCAAGTTTCCGAAGGCTACATAACTGTCGGCCAGTACGGCACATGCTGACGTCATTATGTTAATGTGTGCTACTGGCACTAGAGTTTGAGCTCCTGTCAACTCCCAAGTCTTTCCCCTCTTCTGATGCTAGAATCTGTCTCTGCTTCTCCCTCCTGCTCCTCTTTTTATAACTTTGCACTTAGCTGGGATAAATTCTAATAGCCATTTTTTAGACAATTTTCTAGAGTGTACCAAGTTCTATTTGTGGTGATTGTTTTATCAAATGGTTGTCTTGTCTGGTGGTTGTCTTGTCCAGTGGTTGTCTTGTCTGGTGGTTGTCTTGTCTGGTGGTTGTCTTGTCTGGTGGTTGTCTTGTCTGGTGGTTGTCTTGTCTGGTGGTTGTCTTGTCCAGTGGTTGTCTTGTCTGGTGGTTGTCTTGTCTGGTGGTTGTGGGGTGGAGGTGTAACAGAGTGGGTGTGAGACAGGAGGAGTGACGGTGGTGTCCCTGCTGCAGGAGTCTGGCGGACGTGTGGGGGGTGACCGGGACGCCCGCGATGGCCACTGTCGTCTTCGGTCTGGGCGCCGCCTTCGCTGCCATGTTCATCTCCCTCACCGTCCTCGTTGAGATGATGTCCATAGGTAAGCATCTATCACGTCCTTCTCATTTGTCTCACACGTCCCCCGCTCATCTATTTTCCTACGTCTCTCTCTCATGTCTCCAACAACCCTCTAATATTCTGTCCTCCTCCTCTATCACTGCCACGTTTAACATTTTCTGTTTCAGTGTCTCATAGGTGTGACTTTAACAAGTGCAGCTGTTGTGCAAAGTTCCGTCATGAAATAAGTTAATAACAATTAAATATTCACCGAAGTGTCGCGCTTATTCTTACTAGTAGACCCAGCAGCTCATATGTGAGACCCAGCAGCGCATATGTGCCTCCTGGTGCACAGCCTGTCTCACGCTCTGGTGCTTATATTACACACCCTCGATCACAGCCACTAACATTATTACTTATTCATTGTTACGTAATATTGTTAGACAAAGACTACCAGACAAAGACAAATTCACATTCTTTGTTTGGTTTCGTGTTGGGCTTCAGGCATCAAACTCTGCAATGACCATCAGAAATGCTTACTAACCTGCCAGCAAGTATATTTTACTTTTTAAACACAATCCAGAACTAATGAAGGAACTTCGTCTACACTAAGAAGTGAAATACAGTCCGCGGTGTATGCTATATTCCTACCTATATTTGCCTATAAACCTTGGAGGTCATCTTTATTTTTTAAAGATGGCCTCCAAGGTCATCTTTAGAGTGTGTGTGCGTGTGTGTGTGTCTTTTTTGTTTTGATAGGGACCCGAGTCTTATTTTTCTCGGCGTCACCCCTTTTATATAAAAGGAAAAAAAAAGTTTCCAAAAGCAGAGATCATTACTGAGCCTCTGTTAAAGTCTCTAAAGCCAAGACCCACAGGGCACATATTTTTCAGTATATAATTCTAGAAACGAACTGTAACATCACTCAGGCATTTTCATTTAATCCTCCCTCGCTGCTAATTCCTTGGACGTCTCATTAACAATAACAAAACATACGCCCGACAGCGCACAGTAACATCAATCCATCTATGATGGATACACTGGCTACACTGTGTATCTTACAGGGACGCTGCTGGCTACACTGTGTATCTTACAGGGACGCTGCTGGCTACACTGTGTATCTTACAGGGACGCTGCTGGCTACACTGTGTATCTTACAGGGACGCTGCTGGCTACACTGTGTATCTTACAGGGACGCTGCTGGCTACACTGTGTATCTTACAGGGACGCTGCTGGCCTACACCCTGGTGTCGACATGTGTGTTAATCTTACGGTATCAACCACACTCAACTACACTCCTGGAGATGCTGCCGGAGAGTATCCGCACTCCTCTGGGTGGCACTCCGCTCCCAGGCTCTCCCACACGCACTCTCACTAATGTAAGTATCCATACTACCAGGCGGGGGTAGGTGTGGGGTGTAGGAGTGAGAGGCATGTGTAGGGGTGAGAGGCAGGTGTAGGAGTGAGAGGCAGGTGTAGGGGTGAGAGGCAGGTGTAGGGGTGAGAGGCGGGTCCTGTCTCCTGGGAAGAACATGATTCACTCGCCAATGTCTTAACATTATAATTAGTGTTACACTCCGTGTGTTATCTTGTCTCTCACCCTCTCTCACCTGCATCTCTCACCTGAGGTAACATTTATAACCAGAAAAGTAACAAAATTAAAGTAAATAAAAAACTAATCGCCTTTCGGGCCCTAAACAATATATATGATAAACAAAATATATAAACCTTTCATAGAGCCAAATATTGCAATTGTTTACCTGGTGTTCGGTTCATTTTAGAATAGTAAATACAATATATATGAATTTGTAATTGTAAATTACAAGTGCGTGATGTGTGCAGCTTGGACAAGTGGGAGTAAGAGCCGTGTTCGTCCTCAGGCGGAGATGAGGACGGGCCTCGGGGTGCGGGCCGGGGCGACCAAGGCCGTCACTCCCCAGCACCTGACGGCGGCGCTGCAGCAGAACGGCGGCCGTATCACCCCCTCCGGTCTTCCCCTCGACCAGAAGATTACCGTCAAGGTGACTATACTCTGTGAGGAAGTGTTGGTACTCAGGTGGACTCACCTAGATGAATATGTTCGGCTCGTAGCTCCGCCTTCAGTATGGTCCTAAATTTATGCAATGACTCGGTTCTCATGTTTTGTGTTATGTTTGGATTGACAGTTTTGTAGGATGTTAACGTCTATGATATTGTGCGCTTGACGTGTTGCACTTGTTGACAACTCTGGCGCTGAACAAGTTCTTTCTGGCGTCTGTGCGCCTCATTTGTTTCACAAGTTTCCATCTATGGCCACTCTCGTTCCACTCTCCCATGGTGTGAACAGTATTGTTTTATCTAGTGTGGGTATGCGCCCACCTAGTTGTGCTTGCGGGGGTTAAGCTCTGGCTCTTTGGTCCCGCCTCTCAACTGTCAATCAACTGGTGTACAGATTCCTGAGCCTACTGGGCTCTATCGCATCTACATTTGAGACTGTGTATGGAGTCAGTCTCCACTACATCACTTCCTATTGCATTCCATCTGTTAACTACTCTGACACTGAAAAAGTTCTTTCTAACTTAGTAACCAAATGAACTACAGGGACCGTGGCTCATTTGCGTCCTAAGTTTTCAACTGTGTCCCCCTTTTTTGCATACCATCTATGCGAAACGGTTTATCTTTATCTACCCTGTCAATTTCCCTGATAATTTTATAAGTAGTGATCATGTTTCTCCTAACCCTTCTGTCGTCCAGTGGCGTGTGTTTAGTTCCAGCAATCTTTCCTAGTAGCTCATACCTCTCAGCTCGGGGACTAACCTGGTGGCATACCTCTGAATCTTTTCTAACTTCGCTTGTCTAGATGTAGACTCCACGCTGGAGCCGCATATTCAAGTATTGGTCTGACATACGAGGTTTAAAAGGGTTGAACGATTCCTTACACAAATTCCTGAAGGTAGTTCTTATGTTCGACAGAGTTGCATACGCCGCTAATGTAATCCTTTTGATGTGAACTTCACGGGACAGGTCTGGTGTGATATCAACTCTTGTCCTAATTCCTGAAAGATTTCGATTTAACTCGAGCACTTAATCGAGTTAAACTCTAGTAGCAATTTTTTGGACCATTCTTGCAGTCTCTCCAGGTCATCCTGTTGCCTCTTGCTGTCCTCCTCTGTCTTAATCCCTCTCATAATTTTAACATCATCAATAAACATTGAGAGGAATGAGTCTGGAAGATCATTCGCATATATCAGAAACAAGATAGGTCCGAGTACAGAACCCTGTGGGACTCCGCTGGTGACATCACGCCATTCTAAGGTCTTACCCCTCACAAAAACTTTTTGCTTCCTGTTGTTTAGGTACTCCCTTATCCATTGGAGCACCCTACCTCTTACTCGAGCCTGTTTCCTCCAACGCATGCAAGTCTCTTACGGGGGACTGTCAAACGCTTTTATGACAGTCCAAGAAAATGCAGTCTGCCCAGCCTTCCCTTTCTTGCTCAGTGGTTGTTGCTTGGTCATAGAATTATGTTAAGCCTGTGAGGCACGGCTTGCCATCTCTGAACCCATGCTGGTGACGTGTTACAAAGTCCCTTCTCTCCAAATGTGCTGCCGGGCTTTTTCCCACGATCTTCTTGTTTCGGGGGTCCATCTTCTTGATGGAGGGGGCTCCATCACCTTGCATGGTATACAAGTTTAGGACTGTGAGTGTGCGCGCGCGTGCGTGGGTGTGTGCAGTAACCTATGTGTTTAGTTTCCGGTGTTCACATGGTATACACTTTAACTCTTGGGACCCACCTCACTAATATTCCTGGAATAAAACGTATTCCTGGAATAAAATAATTCCTGGAATAATTAAAACGATTCTTCGCGGCAGGGGATCGTATTCCAGGGACCTGCCCGAAACGCTACGCGTACTAGTGGCTGTACATGAATGTAACAACTCTTGTATATATCTCAAAAAAAAAAAAAATATTTGGTCTTAGGACAGCTGGGACTGAGAGGTGTGGGGCTAAGAGGAGCTGGGGGCTGAGGGCAGCTGGGGGCTGAGGGCAGCTGGGGGCTAAGGGAAGCTGGGGGCTGAGGGCAGCTGAGGACTGAGGGTAGTAGGGTGTGTCCCCATAAATGTTATCTAGTAGACTGACCAGCCACCTCCCGTAAGTTATCACATTTGAGACAGTAGGGACCATCAGGAAGCATTCCCTGCGCCGCCTGGCCTGGGCACGTCTCAAGCCACACGCGCATGTCGTAGCACGTGTGTACGAGCACGAGACCGACTCGTAGCGTAAATGAGGGACAAAGATGAGTGATAGTTAAGAAAAAGGTGTCGCCCCTTAGCGCGTGATGCGGTCGTCGCCCGACTCCGACGACACCGGCAACACCGAGGAAGGGAGCGGCGAGTCGTGGCGGCGGGAGGACGACTACATGGTGAGCGACAAGTGCGAGAACAAGTACTACGGCGCTGTGCCCGCCTCCACCGGCCCAGCCAAGTGGTACGACAGGTTAGTGTCCACACCCAGCCTTGCCCAGGTAACTGGTACCAGGTGTATGTGTTAGTCAGGACATCTGTACCTATTACATGATAGTCTAGACACCTGTGCCTGGTGCATGATAGTCTGGACACCTGTGCCTGGTACATGATAGTCTGGACACCTGTGCCTGGTACATGAGAGTCTACACACCTGTGCCTGATGCAGGTCAGCATAATACAATTATATTTTAATTTAGTACATAAATAAGCAGTGCATTTCGACGAATAAAACTTCTTTGCTATGACACATTCAGCTAACATCCCTTAATAACGAGAGAAATGTGTCCTTCACGCTAGTATAAGTGTTGTGTCTGGGGGTGAGGACGGTACACTCAGACGTGTTGTGTCTGCCGGCAGGTATGTGGAGCTGGTCCAGCAGACGTTCCCGACGCTGTTTCCGTGGGTGGAGGAGGGCCCCTGCACCGAGGACACCGGCAGACAAGTCATGAAGCTCGTAGGTATGTTACACGGAAAGTCGACGACACTATGTAAGGAGAACGAGAGGGAGAGTGAGAGAGACAGAAAGAGAGAGAGAGAGACAGAGAGAGAGACAGAGACAGAGAGAGGATTTCAGTGTTGATCAGTTTCTTTTATCAGGTCAATTGTCTGTAGCTATACTCTTGACTATAGGCAAAGCAGGTTTGTATAGTGGATTCATTCATCTCTGGGGGGTTTTCTTGTTAATGGGGAGCATTCGAGTGGGTGCTTTCCTGCTACATTGTTATTTTCCTGATTGTGTTTAAGGGCAGGAACGAAGAGGTGTTGGGACGGACCCTACACCCCACACCGTCACCAACCCAAACATTTGAATACACATTCTCCTGTACTATGATGTACTGGATACTGTGTTTTGAGCTTCAGCTCTTGCCTTTCTCCTCATAATTATAAATGATATAGTGTGGAGGTTACTGAGTAATTTGGTTTCTATAAAATCTACATTTAAATCCATGTATGAAGTCTGCCTTCACTCCCTAGTTCTCTCCAGTCAGTTATAACTGACGCTAAAGTTCCTTCCTTTACTTTAAGTGTAGCTTAATTCCGTAACGTTGTTTTGCCCCTTGTTCTCAAGTTCGTGTCCCATCCTTATTACTGATACTTTGCTTGTCATTCCTCTCATTTCCCTAGAGTATTTTGTATGTGTGGATCACGTCTACCCTGTTCCTTCTCCCTTCCAGCGATGTTTTGTTCACACATGAGTTTCGAAGATGTTCTTGGAAACTCTTGTGAAAGATGAATATAACGTCTGAAGACGTACTGGAGGCCATAATTATTAGTAGTAATACACAGTGATCAGTAGGATTCCTTGATGATTTCAAGCTTAGGGTGGACATATATATATATGAATGAGATTGAATGGATACATATAGGAGCTGCCTCGTATGGATCAATAGGCCTTCTGCAGTTACCTTCATTCTTATGTTCTTAAGCGATAGGCGACAAATTAGTAGAAGTAATGTAGCCACAAAAACAGAAATGGTGAGAAGTTTCAGCAACGTGCTGAGAAAATCCTTCTAGACGCGTAGAGGAAGAAGGATAAGGAGAAGCCAAGGAGAGTAGAAGAGTATATTAAGGCGATATGTGACTTGCAGGCGGGTGAGAGTGTATGTGTTGCCTCGACAGGGTTGCTGTACGTCAATGTGCTCATCCTGGACATCCTGCTGGTGTGTAGCCTGGGGGAACTGGAGGGCCACTCCCCCGCCGCCTCCTTCTTCAGCCTCCTGTTCTTCATGGGCATCGTGGTCATCCTCCTCCTCATCTCACGCAAGCCACAGAACAGGTATTATGTTATCGTGTGTTTAACAGCTGCATTCCTCACCACATTGATTTAACGGTTTACACACGACTCGCAACTGATGACGTCCGAACACTTTCGGAACAAGTGGCTTCACTGACGACTTTTGTTCGAGCCACAACGCTATAAATTCTTCACCCGCGTACTACAAACACAAATAATCGCCAACAGAACCTAAACACCTAACCTAACCTATGCCTATGTATGCACAATATGCTAATTACAATATTAATTTATATTTGAGAAAGTTCCTGTTTTGAACGAACAGCATGTTAAAATTGATGAATGCGTCTGTGGGGACGACCGCTGGATGTAATGGACTTGAGTCGAGGATAGTTTGTCACCCACGTACTACAAATACAAATAATCCCCAACAGAACCTAAACATCTAACCTAATCAGTGCCTAAATATGCACAGTTTATTAATATATATAAAAAATTTAACTAATATTTGAAAAAGATCCTATTTTAAATTAACAGCATGTTAACATTGATGTATGCGTCTATGGGGGTCGATCGCTGGATGTAATGGACTTGGTCTGAATACGGGTTGATCTGTCGTCCAGAAATTCTATCTCTGACACTTCCAGTTTCAATTCACAGAGAAATCACATTAACGTGAACCTGTACCGTTCTCGCCACCTGTACCGGTGGGGACGGTACAGGAGAAGGGTACTCACCCGGCCTCACCACCAGGGCGAGGACGGTACAGGAGATGAGAGCTGCTGTGTCTCCTGTGGCTGGTATCACTACGAGCCAAATGTCTTTGGAAAGAAGGTAATGTTGGTGTGTGTGTTGCAGGAAGGTAAAGTTGATGTTGGTGTGTGTGTTGCAGGAAGGCGTTGCCGTTCATGGCCCCGGGGTTGCCGTGGGTGCCAGCCGTCGCCATCATCATCAACGTCTACCTCATCTTCAAGCTCTCCATCCTCACCCTCGTCCGCTTCATCCTGTGGATGACCATCGGTAAGATGATGATCTCCAGGTTATTGCTTTATGCTGCCACACCTGCCACACCACACCCACCCCTGGCACACTGTGCTGCCACACCTGCTACACCACACCCACCCCTGGCACACTGCTGCCACACCTGCCACTGGCATGACCTTAGTCTTTTCCAGCCTTTCCTCTCCTCTCTTAACAATCTGGCTCCTATACATTTCAAAGTTGAATGGGAATCTAATTCCCGCCTTCCTTTTCTTGATGTTCGTGTCCACAGCTCTGTGTCCGGGTTCTGTTTCTCTGTCTACCACAGACCCATGCATAGTGGGTCTGTGGTAGACACTCAAATGTGTGTGTACATTCACCTCTTTTCCTACCATCCTCCTTCTGTTAAGAAAAAGTGTCCTCGTCTCTCTCTTACTCCGCGCTCTACGCATCAGCGACCCTCAGTTTCTTGATTCTGAAATTTCCTTTATTTAAAAATCTTTCTCTAGTATTGGTTACCCCTTACATTTTATCAACTGTGCCTATTCTCGATCTGAACGAAACGTCTTTCATCCTAAACCTGTTTCACAATATTAGTCCTCTGCCCTGTCTTCCCTTCGTATCTGAACTCAAAAATCACACTAATACCCTTCGTCCTCTGGACATAAAGCTCGCCTTTCGACAAACTGACACTCTTCGTAGTAATCTGGTTCTTGCTTCTCCTCCTGTTTTCATTGCTGCTGGTGTCTACTCTATTTCCTAGTCGTCTTGTCCTCTTCAATACTTTGGGGAAGTAAGTAAGTAATTATCAAAAGAAGGCACCAAGCCGTTAAAGCTACGTAGCACCATTAAATCTGCGGATTAATCAGAGGACGCTAAATATCACTAAGGATGCCAATATGAGAACAGAAACGCATTAGGCGAACGATATCAAAAGTATCCGATTTACAAAGAATTCTGTCGAGGGGCAAGTGAGCGCGAGGGACGGTCGGGAAGCAAGACACACGCTCGTCCTGAAAGTCAGAACATTCAACAAGAATATGCACGACCGTAAGAGGGACAATGCAGTTAGGACAATGAGAAGCAGGGCCTTTCTACTTGTTCTTACTTCTAGAAATTACCTCCTCTTACCTGTTTCTCGCCTCTCTCTTGCCTTACTTTATGCCCGTGCCTCCCTCGCTCCCATCATAATCTACTTGATAATGGTCCAGGACGGACCGAAACGTCGTCGTCTCCTCATTTTGTGGTGTGTGGTTTGGTCATCATATGTTTCTTCTATTTCCTATTTGCACTTTTCCAGTTCTTTAATAACTTCCTGTATTTAAGTCGTCAATTAAGTTTCTCTTAATTTATCCTTGTATGTGTATCTGTGTGTGTGCGTGTACGTGTGTGCATGTGTGTGTGTGTACTCACCTAGTTGTGTTTGCGGGGGTTGAGCTCTGGCTCTTTGGTCCCGCCTCTCAACCGGCAATCAACAGGTGTACAGATTCCTGAGACCTGTGTGTGTGTGTGTGTGTGTGTGTGTGTGTGTGTGTGTGTGTGTGTGTGTGTGTGTGTGTGTGAGACTCGCCACCACTGACCCAGCGCTGCCACCCCCCACAGGCTTCATCATCTACTTCACCTACGGCATCAAGAAGAGCACTGTGGGGACAGAGGACGAGGGCGAGATAGAGCTCCACGTCACGTCCAACCCGTCCGCCCAGCCGGCCATCAACACCGTCAGTCCGCCCACTGAGCCCACCCTCGCCGCTCCCAACCAACCCGTAGTGCCCACCGCAGATTTCTTAACCTCGCCGGTAGCCACCATTCCTGGCGGGCCCCCTTCCAGCCGGCCAGCAACCATCACTCAGCATCAACAGCCCCCGCCCATAAGCAAGCAAATATATATATCAAGCAATCCAAACAATCCATTCCGTTAATTCATGGTTGTAGTTGTTGTTTTGTGTAAGTGAGTTAGACAGCGTACGGTGAGGGTGCACGAGGGTGCGCCTCACTCCCAGGAAGGCCAAGCCATGCTCTCCAACACTCCCATAATTCCACTTCCTGCACAACTAAGATATAGGTTTCAATGAGTATAAATTTTGTGATTAACTTAACGTTTTATAACGATTAAAGGAATCTGATCAGGTTTTATTGCATAAAATTTCTCTCCAGGTCTTTGAGACACGACCACAGCGGAGTTGGCCTTACACGAGACAACGACGCGGTTGGGTCACATCCCTGCTATGTAGTGAGCGGGTAATGTGATGTTCATTAAGAGGAATTTCTATATGAAGGTCATACTAACACTGCCATAGCTCGGCTTTGCGTACTTAGTCAATGATACGAGAAATTCTGGCATATCATATTTATAAAGTGTCTCATCACGGCTATGTACTGCTCATCCCGGCTATGTAATGTGGGTTTTATGGTGGAAGTAGAGCTGGTGGCGTTTGTCTCGGGGTTCGCTGATGCGGTTCTCACTGCGACTAGCTGCAGCACCTCCTCTGGCCTCAGCTGGGCTCAGTTCTGCAGCCCGAGGCCACAACCATGAGTTTAGCGTCAATTAGTCAGCTCAAACAAAACAAAAATTTTAATAAAGTTGTAAGGTGGGTCCCTGGTCTTAAGAATAATATTGGTTCCTGAACCGTCCGCGATTCGTGAAATACATTACCGGAGTCATTGTTCAAGTCTGTGTTGAAGGCTGTCTTAAACATTTCTTCAAACCCCTAATTGAGTCAGTTACGACACGTACTTAAGGTAAATTGTTACAAGAAGCAGAGAACAGTGAGGGTGCAGGCGTGCCCGCTGTGAACGGTGAAGTGTGCCGTCTTCACCGCACGCTGTCGTTACTCCAGTGACCTTTTAAACATTAATGTTATCGTCTCGTGTGTAAGTTGATATGTGACTTGACAAAGGGCTACAAAAAAATGTAGTTTATTAAGATATAGATAAGACCTGGCGCAGCCTTGTAACCTCGTCGTTCAGTAGTTACCGCTAGCGTAGGTTGTAGTGCTTATAGGAGGAGTGTGTGAGGGGCGAGACCTTCCGTCTGGCCTCACCTCATCACACTGCCCGACTTACTCATCTCTAGTCACCAATATTACTCATTTATTACACACACTCTTGACCACAACAATTGTCTCCATGGACTGTGTGTGCATGTGTGTGTGCATACAAATATATCATAATGTATTTAAGATTTTGTTGGAAATGACTTGTGAAAACTTTCTGGTCAAAATAGGTATTTGTTGATCAATGCCTAAACTGCATTTGTATCAAGGGTCCTCATTGTGTGTGTATGGTAACGAGGACCTTATCAGGAGAACAGCGCGAGTGAGAACGCTGGATCACCTTCCTGGCTGTTTAGTCCACTATTACACTGGACTATTACACTGTTTAGTCCACTGTTACACTGGACTATTACACTGGAGGCTCCCGAGGGCGCCTGACCCGTGGTCCGGGCTGCCGAGTGTGTGTTTAAAAGTCAAGCGTGTCTCCCTGATATTTATTCATTGTTATGAGTGGGTTCGAGCTTTATTGCTTTGACTATTTCCATCAGTGAAAGTATAAACTAAAGACAACATGAATCATGAGTCCTGATTAATTTTTGTTTCACTTGGAGAGGAGAGTCGCGATTTTATTATATATATATATATATATATATATATATATATATATATATATATATATATATATATATATATATATATATATATATATATATATATATATATATATGACATATGTTGTACCTAATAGTCTGAACGCACTATACTTGGTGTAGTATGCAGTGCCGATTTGCCTAACAAGTCGGGTTTTCCTTGAATTATATATTTTTTACATGTTTCCTAATTTGTGTGTGTGTGTGTGTGTGTGTGTGTGTGTGTGTGTGTGTGTGTGTGTGTGTGTGTGTGTGTGTGTGTGTGTGTGTGTGTGTGTGTGTGTGGATGTTCGAAAATATGAGTAGTGATATGATAGGATTACTCACATTGCCAATAAGACCAAAGCCTCTACTCGAAACAGTGTACTGTAATAGGGAGGTTACCAATCTTATGAGCGAGGGTGTGTGCGTGAGACTGGGTCGAGGCTCAGGGGGCTGGGACAAGGCTCAGGGGGCTGGGACGAGGCTCAGGGGGGCTGGGACGAGACTCAGGGGGCTGGGACGAGGCTCAGGGGACTGGGTCGAGGCTCGGGGGGCTGGGACGAGGCTTGGGGGGCTGGAACGAGGCTCAGGGGGCTGGAACGAGGCTCGGGGGGCTGGGACGAGGCTCGGGGGGCTGAGACGAGGCTCAGGGGGCTGGGACGAGGCTCAGGAGGCTGGGACGAGGCTCAAGGGCTGGGACGAGGCTCAGGGGGCTGGGACAGGGTGCAGGCCGCATTATGAGGAATTCTTATTTCACGCCAGTTAGGAAGTTATTACAGCAGTCTCATTCATTCTAATGAATTGAACGGGTGACGAGGACGGGTGACGTGGACGGATAATGAGGTGTGGACAGGTACCGAGGCCGAGGCGTGAGGTAGAGGACTCGTGTAGAGAAGATGTCGGAAAAACAGACACCATTTACTAACATTTAATACAATACACAGATAATAGTTTTGTAATAACAAATTATCTCACAGAAAATGTAGCTCCAGTAGAAATTTACTCTGAAGAAAACGGGGGGATATCATTGCCATATGTCGCCATTAAATTCACCACCTAATAATGGGAATCATTCTTAATACAACAGTCTCGGGACTGTAAACATCATAAAAACATTTCCCTTGAACCAACTTAATAATCAGTACTAAAACAGAGTTTCCACTTCTTGACGACATCTAGTCGAGGCGCTTGATGAGTCGGTGGATGGGAGGCCAGCCAGTAGTCGCTATTAAATTTTAACATAACAAGTCTTGCTGGGGCAGAACAGCTCAACAATTAATCCCCTTCAACGTAGTGTTATGGGATATAAAATTGCACCCATTCATCAACACATTCTTCGTCTATCATAAGGGAAGTATCTTTTTCTGATTCCTATTCTATCTAGCTTATTATTGACCAGTAATATTATATTTAGGATATTGCGGCTAGGACACGAGACGAGCCACCCAACAGGGTAATTATTATTTAAACTTTATCAAACAAATTCTATATTTTCCCTGATATAGCTGTCATTTTAGGTTTCTACTATTATTGTGTGTGTCCTTTGACAGGTGAAATTGAAGTGGGAGAAGAATTACCTGTAGCTATCAGGTACCACCAGTGTCGTGTGGTGAGGCAGTCTCACCCATGAGGAATAGTGGTTGGCGTGTTCACCCGTGTTCACACCTGCTTGTTTAGGCCAAAATCCACCATACAGATAAGCTGTATTTAATTTTGGTTACTAACATATGTAGCCTTTTTCTGTAGTTATTGTCTACTAATCAATAATTTATATTGATAGACTATATATATAAATAATAAACCCACTGAACGTGTAGGAAGCGATTGTGGGAATTTTAAATCATACAGTCCACTTTAAATATCATACAGTACGTTATCGAAACAAATTAATGTAACAAATAAATTACTATATAAATTAATATTTATATAAATAAAAATGTAAATGTTCGTTTGTTCAAAATCGCTAATTCTCCGAAAGTTCTTCACCGATTACTTCGAAATTTTGAGACAATGTTCCATTCCCATACGAGAGTGTTTTATATACCTACAATATAGATGTCACGTCTGTGACAGGTAAACGCATGTTTTTTAAAAACTATGTTTTTCATGTGAGTTTTCATGTGAGGGAAATCTCCGAAACCTCTTTATCAATTGCTTTGAAATTTTGACACAACGTTGCATTCGAATACACACGTGTTTTTATATATATCTACTATATACATGCCTCTCCTGTGACAAAAAATGTATTTTTTTTTTTTTGAACAGAGCCATCTGTTGGACGTAAGAACAACATACAATGTAATCTCTGATAGTTCTTCAAAGATTGCTTTGAAATTTTGATACCCCATTCCATTTGAATACGCGCGTGTTTTTATATACCTACTGTATAGATGCCACACCTGTGACAGGTAAAAACGATTTTTTTTTAAACAGCGCCATCTGTTGGACGTAAAAGCAACACATGCTATACTAAATATGTTACGATTCCATTTCAATGTTTCTGACTGCATTGATAAATTGAATTTTCATAGATTTCGATATATTTTCATTTTGATTTAATTATTTTGTGACATTGCGTTGGAATTGAGCTGTGTTGTTTACCATAGCATTCATTTCGTGAGTATAGTTTATTTTAGTATTTTTTCATTTCGTTTTTTAGCTGTTCTTATTTTACAGTGATGGGAACATCAGATCATTTGGGTACGCATCGGACGACGAACTGGGGAATGGTGAGGAGGACGAGGGGACGGGGGAGGAAGGAATGGTGGGGATAACGGGTGTACAGGGGAGGGTTACTGTGGCTCGGCAATGCGCATGTGTTACTGAACCACAGCAACGCGTGGCCGGGTACAGCTAGTAAATTAATAAATATATGAATCTCACAAATCAGTTTTCCCCACAGAAGACGGGGAGAAGGAGGGGACATGCTCAGCTAGGATGGGTGAAAGCGGAGAGAGATCATTGAGAAGATGAAATGAAGATTGCAGAAGCCTTGATGTTACAGAATATATGCAGTGTATGGTCATGCCGAACTCGGAAGGGGGGAGGGAAGAGGAGAGAGAGAGAGAGAGAGAGAGAGAGAGAGAGAGAGAGAGAGAGAGAGAGAGAGAGAGAGAGAGAGAGAGAGAGAGAGAGAGAGAGAGAGAGAGAGAGAGAGAGAGAGAGAGAGAGATAAGGGAGGGAGAAGAGCACGTGAAAAAAGAGCATATGGTACAACAATTCACCCACGAAATATTATTCTTTTTTTACTTTTAAATCTATTTAAGTATGATCGAAACTTTTATATGTTGGTCGTTGTTATAGAGACCATGAATCTGGTGACAAAGTGGAGTAGTGAAGGTTGAAGTAGACTACGAACTCCACTGAAGGAAAACTGGTCATAATATAGACGACATCTCAACGTCAGTAAACATAGTGCCTAAACATTATCAACAGAAAACAATGTTGGCTTTAAATGTTCTGTGTCGAGTTTCTTTTGTTTTAAGCGTGGAAGTGTTTTGATGTCCGTCAGTGTGCGTGTGTGGCCTCGTGTGTTGTGTTAGTGTGAGTAGCTGGACACCTCATCCTGTGTCCCGCTGCCATCCTTGTTATGGCTGCCCACCTTCAACAACCCCAGCTCCTATTGGCCCACCTCCCTCACCTCCCCACCCAAGAAACTGCTGCCCACCTCCCTCGCACCCCACCTCAGCTCCTATTGGCCACCTCCCTCACCACCTCACCCCAGTTACTGCTGCTCATCGTTTTGGCAAGGACATAATTTTAAGTGTAGGTAGAGACGCTGAAAAATCTCATGAGCGGCACAGCATGGAAAGAAAGAATTCACGAAGCAGAAGAAAAATCTAAGAGTAGACATAACCCCAACCTGACCCAGAGGCTCAAAGTAACAGAATAACATCAATCGGTAGGAACGCCTTCAGTGATTATGCAGGCCTGGCATGGCTCCCTCACCTAGATCAGCACAAAATAAAATAGGGTTAGGAAGGAGAATTGAAGCTGTCTCACTGCACGCGTACACACACACGCAAGACGCGAGGGACGGGGGGGGGAGACTTGATGCAAGTATATATAAGGTTTTAATCAAATACGTCAAGGAAAAAAAATTGGTCAATTAGGCTGGTATTTACAAACAAAACAGCACCAAGCTGGTTGATGACTTTAAGGAATAGATTTTGGTGAAGTATATGACTGGAGAATGTCTCCAGCCTTTGTCTAGAGAATAACAGGAGTAAGAATGGAATAAAGAAGATAGAGCAATACATGGAGAGGGTAGGGATAGACGGAGGGCAGAGAGGGTGTTTAGGGAGAGGAGAGGGATAGGAACCCAGCACACTGGCCAGCGGATGCACGAGCAACAGTCATAAGGAAACAGACAACACGGGGATAAGATAATGTCGATATTCAATAAGAGAAATTAGGAAATCAAACTGATTCACCGAGAGACCTCAGCTGACAGCCACACTTTCCCAGCCACACGTCATAGAAAACCGATCTTCCAAAATACAACTTCTTATGTGAATACTAAAACAAAATGGAACCATTCCAAAAGGCTTCACTTCCAAGAGGACCATAAGAAGCTTCCGTTCTACTGAATTATCACTTACCAAAAATGCCTTCACCCACACCTGTCTCACCCACTCCTGCACCCCCTACACCTGTCTCACCCACTCCTGCACCCCGTACACCTGTCTCACCCACTCCTGCACCCCCTACACCTGTCTCACCCACTCCTGCACCCCTACACCTGTCTCATCCACTCCTGCACCCCCTACACCTGCCTCACCCACTCCTGCACCCCTACACCTGTCTCACCCACTCCTGCACCCTCTACACCTGTCTCACCCACTCCTGCACCCCTACACCTGTCTCACCCACTCCTGCACCCCCTACACCTGTCTCACCCACTCCTGCACCCCACACCAGCCTCTTCCCCCCACCGCCTGGTGTTGGAGGTTCAATCTTGCGCCAGTCTCCTGCAGTTCACCAACCAACTTGTTAATATGGAACCATGTAACACTATGATCTAACATATTATATATTAAACATTTCAAATTCAATTCCCTGAAGCAGATTAGGCCATCATAATCTAACACCATATACATATTTCCCGTAATTTTGGGAAATTTAGCAATTTTTTGTAAATTATTATATATATGAATAACTGAGAGGCTGTGATCTACGTATCATCACTCTGGCCAGTGTTGAGCATCATCATCACTGACACTGTTTATGTGTATAAGACGACAACCACTGCCAGGCCTTGTCTAAGTTATAGTAAGGCCTGGCACTGCAGACAGCAGCCTCTGGCACTCCGTCTGCGAGTGTCCCCACCCCACTACTAGGGTGACCACCTGGTGTTGACCACTACCTGGCTCCAGGGGACATAACACAGCTCGTCACACAACGCTGCTGTAGTCGTGTGTCAAGTGGACTCGTGTGAGGGCGAGAGATAACTTTAGGCTTTCACTGACGAGGAGAAAGTGTTTATTTTTGTCCCGTATAAACATTTCGCTGCGTGTCCCCTCTACGCTGACCTGAGGTGACCAGCCCTCAGCTGCGTGTCCCCTCTACGCTGACCTGAGGTGACCAGCCCTCAGCTGCGTGTCCCCTCTACGCTGACCTGAGGTGACCAGCCCTCAGCTGCGTGTCCCCTCTACGCTGACCTGAGGTGACCAGCCCTCAGCACCTATCCTTGAATGAATTGGACATAGCTTGTTTTGCTGTTGTTTAGTGTCGATGAAGCCGAAGGTGTTCATTTGGCGCGTCTTGTGTGTGAATGAGTCAAGGACGGATTGTACAGAACGACAAGTAACTTGACACTTGACTTTGGCCCTAATGATCATTTTTCCAGCACTCTAGCAGTCAGAGACGAACATATCTCCATTCATATAAGTCCAAAAAGAATTTAGTGCCTCACATATATATTATATATATTACATATATATATATATATATATATATATATATATATATATATATATATATATATATATATATATATATATATATATATATATATATATATATATATATAATATATATATATATATAATATAATGACCCTACAAGCACCGTGTTCCCCTACACTGATATAACCCTGCCACCAGTCCACGAGATAAGCCTGTCCCCCCAACGCTCCCATCCCACCACATTGGAGGGCAGAAATAGCCTAAGCAACTCTATCCCTCTGAGATGTATCATATTGTCTCAATAACGGTACTGATCTTGATCCCACCACCACGTCCCTGTTAACATTCCAACTGATATTCTCACCTTGATTCACCGTCAGAAATATTTTGCATGTAGCTGTAGTGACAAGTATGTTGTTGTTGTTGTTGATGTTGATGTTGTTGTTGTTCTCAGCCTGGTGAGGGTTGCACATGTAGGAAAAAAAATCACTCTTTTTACTTATCTCACCCCCCCCCCCTTGTTCCAGCCATCATACGGTCTGCTCATCCCACATGTCTTATTGGACATGTAATAACTGACACACACATTGGTATTTTTCAACACGTATGTAAAGTCATATATATATATTTGTGTTGTCAAACACGCAAGAAGTATAACCTGTGAATCAGACTTGAGGAGTCACATGTACAGGGCGCCCGTCGCTAACAAGTGACGACGGTGTTATCATCTGTCAGCCGTGACGGGTGACGGGCTACATAGGTAGGGAGAACACCGTATGACGGTGAAGCATCATGTAACAGGGAGATGATAGACGGGGGAAAGTGCAGCCTCCCTCGCTCTTATGTGATATTTCTTCGACTAGAACGCGTTTATAGATTTTCGTCTCCCGTTGACCAGTTTATGTCGGCAGCATCTCTGGTGTTTTCAATAAAGTTGAGTCCATTGTTAAAACCTTGTTTTATTTCCCCGTTGGTTGAGGAATATGGAGTTCTGTCACACACTGGAAATAGCTGGTGGAAAAAAATATGGATAATTTTAGATTTTGTTCATGTTTTGTATATCCTTTGATGTAAATAACTTAATCATGTTATGTAAATTCTAACATTGACATCAGTCCTAAAATTGGTCTACATTTTCATTTGTTTTGCTTATAGGAATAAATGTAAATCGTAAATAAATATAATAGACTAAAAAGAACATAAAAACTAGGCACAAAGTTAATTATTTTGCATAAATATATTAGTGACTGATGATGTTACACTCACATATTTTTTAATATTTACTTTCATGCATAATAAAAAGGTTTATCTCACTATTTTGTAATAATGCCAAAAATGTCAAATCTTGGCCATTATAGGGACTTATGAGAACCTAAATATCACGGGTAACTGCAGTGTAATTCACACAGATATCTGTAATGTAATTCACACACATATCTGTAATGTAATTCACACAGATATCTGTAATGTAATTCACACAGATATCTGTAATGTATATCGCAACTGACGTAAACAATACGACCTCACGAGAGCCCTCATATAGACGTAAGCCGCACTTCAAGGGTTAAAGGGCCTTAAAGGCACTTTATGGGCGAGTCTATTGACCTCGTCCATCTTGGTCACCTCAAAATATGCAGCTTGACCACCTTGTCCTAAGATACATTGCCACATTTGTTTGCAAACATGAGAAAAGTTCGTCTATACTTTGATGATATACTTCAGGGATGAGTTTTTATCCCTGCACGATACACTCCTTGTGTAGTCATCATCGAAGTTATCTTTCGTGAGCAGGGAATCAAATATTAATTAGGGCCTCCCCAGCCAGTCGTCACTGGAGATAAGCAGCCCACCTGGTCTTCACCCAACTATGCTATTAGCTAGTAGGGGACAAAATTATTTGATTCCAGTTCAAAAAAGTTGAGGATACAATATTTTTTACCAAGATTACAAGTTTTGTTCTCATTATGCGGCTCCTCTCCCACCACTCTCGCCACCACCGTCCTCGACCCTAGCTCAACTGGTTGTGTTACTCCCAGTTATAATTCTCTCTCGGCCTCTAACGCCCTTTGCCTGGTCTCTGTAGGTCTGTGAGCCTCTACCTCTTGACGTTTGAGAGCCAGTGGGTCTGTGGACCCTGTTGGTATCAGTTGGCCAACGGCTCTCTCATTAGAGATCTGCTCTTCTACGAGGTTAATTACAGTAACACTCACCAACTGAGCCTTCTCCATACTCATACCATCTTCTCAACCATAATTCCTTCCCAATGTTACCATTGAAGACTGTGTTGTGTCTTGATGTCCTCTAGAGTGATACTCAAACACGGACAAACAAAAGGAATTAAGGATTAACTTCGACCGTGAAGCAGAGAGCGACGCGCGCACCTTCCTGGGTGTGTTCTAAGTGAGGTGGGCGTGTCCTCAGTGAGGTAGGCGTGTCCTCAGTGAGGTGGGCGTGTCCTGAGTGAGATGGGCGTGTCCTGAGTGTGACCTCCCTCTGTGTTGATCCTGGCCATCATACACTCTGGGTAATAGATGTACACACGCTACGAGAGTAACTGTACACGCACTTTCCCCACCTTGTAGTAAAGGAACAGAATTTAAATCATTTTTTTATTGAGAAACAAACCTAACAGATATGTAAACATAATGTCTACTGAATGACTACACGGTCACGTCGCCACGTTTCTATGATAAATATTGTGTTACATGCTTATGTACATCCGAGAACTCTGTTTATACCTGGCTTGGGAACCATTCAAGCTTGACGCTGAATGGTCCTGAGTACATTCCGCTGAGTACATTCCTCTGAGTACATTTACTCAGATAATGTACAAACATACGTCTGTTCACGCAAGTTCCTGAAGGATATGACAGATGATCAGTATTGTTATGGATATACTGACCTGCGGGCCGCTGTGGGCAACAGCCTAACCCTTGCGAGTTTACTGATCATATTGACCAAGGTTGTTATAGAGCCAAGGTTGCTATAGAGCCAAGGTTGTAATAGAGCCAAGGTTGCTATATATGTGTGTTATATTACAATTGGAATGTGCAGAAATATGTGGATAAATTAATGTATTTCTGGCCTGGCCTGGGGCAAGCGTGCCTAGAGCAGCTAGGGAAACAAGCAGTTTTTTATTTCTAATAATAAAACAGTAAATACAAAATAAAATAGGGCGTCAAAGCATTAAAGCGGAACAGCTCAGCAAAAACAAAATAGGGAAAGGCACACGAACAAAGGTAGAATAAATATTTGGGAAGTGCATGAACAAGCAAAAACATTATTACAACATCGGAATACAGCAAGAACATAAAGCATGAACAAAACAAAAAATAAAGTACAAGTATAAGAAAGGGACGTCAGAGTACCAAAACGGAACAGAACAAAAGACGGAAAATGACAAAACAAAAACAATACACATGAGCAAAGACATAAGCAAAAATAGTTCACACAAGTGTACACAACATGAAACATAAAATATCAGCACAAAACGCCGTGTATAATCAGTAAAATATACAGTAAAATACACAAACCCACCACTAGAGCAAGGGGAAACTAAGACACACAATAATACACAGAAATACACCACAAACAGAAATAATATTTCACAAAAGAATACACAGAGGGCAGCCGGCGACAACGGCGACACATGCCGGATGGGCCGGAAGCACCACGGACACAATACATACCATAGAACATGGGAAGCAATATAATATAGCAAAAGGCACCCCTGTTGGAAATTTCCAACACCCAAATACTAAACCCTGGTGCAATAATATAAATTTATTGTACTAATAAATCTAATTTACTCACACTACTAACCAGGGGCCAGATTCACGGGGGGGGGGGGAAGAGGCAGGCTAGGGAGACGAGGCAGGCTAGGGGGACGAGGCAGGCTAGGGAGACGAGGCAGGCTAGGGGGACGAGGCAGGCTAGGGGGACGAGGCAGGCTGGGGGGACGAGGAAGGCTAGAGGGACGAGGCAGGCGGGGGCGACTCAGTAGGACGCTGGCAGCCTGTGCGGCCAGGAGGTCCCGCACCGCCAGCTAGCACACCTCACCGACCTCCGCCTCACCACTCCCCAACAATTGGCTGAAGTTCATAGACTGAAAAACATACTATTCTCCTTGGCCTGTACCGCTTATAGCTGTACGATATAGTAAGTGCAAATCATATTAAAACTAATAATACCTATTAACGTGAGTCATAGAGATATCATGTGTACTGAGACCATGTGTACATTTTTGTGCTTCACATAATGCAGCGTGTAAGCACTTTGGGAACGTTCCCTCGTTACTTGTGGTCCACAGCTGATTCGAAAGTCAGTCTGGAGCGTTAGTGGGAAGTTGTGAACCATCAATAGCCAATTACAGATAATAGTATTTAAGTAACATTTATATTTGTTTGTTATAATTACTTTACGATCATAAAGTTTGTCTACCTCTGAGACATTGTTTGGTAGGGAGACTGTGTGTGTGTGCGAGTACTGTGGTGATCACTGGCTAGTGTGTGGAACTTACAGCCCATCCTGCTGTTTAGAGAATGCTTACAGTAACGATGTGGCCCATCGTACATATCTTGACGTAGCGGACAATTACAAAGTAGAATTTGGTACTTTTGAATTCGGATAAATCGGAAAAGGTTTTGTATGTATATGTACAGTATGTTAGTCATTAAACCTATCCATCCTTGACCTAATACAAGCTGAGGCCTAATAAAGTACATATGTGCTATACTAAGCCTATGAATATTAAAGTTAGGTTTTTACCTTTATTTTTTTCAAAAAAAGGTAAAAAGGACGAGGCAGGCTGGGGGGACGAGCCTGCCTCGTCCCAAATTCTACTATCTTATTGTCTATTACGTCAATGATGTACAACTGTCCACAAAGTTACAAAAAGTACTCTTTTTAAACAGTAGGAAGAGTTGGGATATTTTGTAGGTGGTGTCAAATGGACAACCGCTACGAACCTGGGGCCAGATTCACGAAGCAGTTACTCCAGCATTTACGAACCTATACATCTTTTCTGAATCTTGGCGGCTTTGTTTACAATTATTAATTAATGAGCTCCGAAGCATCAGGAGGCTGTTTATAACAATAACAACAGTTGATTGGCAAGTTTTCATGCTTGTAAACTGTTTAATAATTGTAAACAAAGCCACCAAATATTGAGAAAGGACGTACACGTTCGTAAGTGTTTGTGTAACTGCTTCGTGAATCTAGCCCCTGAATCTGTGCGTAGGTACTCTGCTATCTTTCCTTATTCGGTTAAGTTCTATCCGTTCCTTATTTTACATTTTCCTTTTACTCATTAAAGATTGTTCGGCCTCGAGGCTTCCATCTTGCTCTTCCTCTGTACGAATGTGATTCGTACGTGTTTTAAGATGCCTCTGATATTTACAGTTTTACGTTTAATTTCACATTTGTTGTGTTTGCCAGGTGTCGCCTTTTTGTATGGTAGATGCTCCAGGCAATTCTTCAGAAGACCCCAGCTCCAGACAATCGTATATCTGACCGCTGAAGCATCATTTTTGTATTAAATCCTTTGTGTGTGTGTGTGTTCTACCGGTAATAACTTCCATTATGGCAGTGAAGGAAAAGAGGTTGAGCCATCGGGAAGTAGAGGCGGGTGCCAGGTGGTGTGGAGCGGCGTGGTAGTGTGGAGGTGTGGGGACGCTATGGAGTTGGCTGGCCTGCTGCTGCTGCTGCTGCTGCTGATGGTGGCTCTTCTGCACCACTCTAGAGGTGAGAGAGACACACACACACACACACACACACACACACACACACACACACACACACACACACACACACACGCTGTACTTACCTACCTTGTGCATAACGCACAGTTCTATCACAATTTAAGTTTGTTTTTGCACAGATAGGTACAGGAACAGCTTTAGTTTTACAGCTGAGCTTTACAACCAGGTACCCATTTACTCGTGGGTAAACAGAGGCGAGCAGGCACTCCTCCCTGACCTGTCCAGGACTCAAACTAGACAAAATCCCTCGAGACTCAGGGGAAGGGGGGTGTTACCTCTGCCATAAAGTTTTGGCCACCGCATGTGTAAAATAGAATGTTGGTAAGGTTGGATACCAAACATTTTGGGCTAGCCTCTCCCAGCTTCCCAGGGTGACTGATGGGTGGTAGGGGACTACCATAAGTAGACTGTGGTAGGCCCCATTGCCGAGTGTAAGAAAGATTGGCTCCCATTGCGATTCTCATGAAGTCTGAAATGTGTTTTTTTTTCAATTTTATTTAGATGTTCATAATATAGCATGTTCTGACAGGAAGAGACCCAGGCACTGCCAGGTATCCTTTCTAGTTAGAATAAATGCAAATTCAGTTAAAGAGCAGAAACGTTGAGGTTAGTAACTGCAGATCTTTGGAAGTTTCCAGTTCTCCTTAAGAGATTAAATATTAATAATATCCCTAAACTGCAAAATACTAATTTTAGTGTGTGTGGGACCTTACTGTGTGAGGGACCTTACTGTGAGAACAGCAGGGGTCGTGAGTATGTATCACTGGAGCGTTAGAACATGCCTCATAAAGCTGTGGGAAGGCATGATGAAGGAATAACTGAGACAAGAGCATGTGGTGTCACTAGGGAGCACATATGGCACAAGAAGCAGCATAGCCACAATATGACGCACTGTGGACCCCTGTGGTGGCCGTCGATGCAGAAAACAGGAAGCAAAAACGTGACATGCAAGCTAATGAGGGAGAATTATTCAGTGCTTCTTTGGACATTACCTGATAAATTGCTATCCTTATCTGGATGAGGTGTAGCGTGTACTATGGTATTGTTGTCCAGTGTTAGTGTTTGATGGACGGTACGGACAGCACGCGTCCGTCATCACTGATGTACACCCAACACGGCACAACTCTCTTGTTATTACTTAGTGTGTAATAACTTACTGATTTATTGCTGTCATTAGTTCGGTGACCTCTATGATGGTTCAGGGGGTCATGCCCCAGTCGTGTGTGTGTGTGTTGGGGGGGGGGGGGTGTCCCTGCCTGTATGTCGGGGTGTCTCTGCCTGTATGAGAGAGTGTAAGTGTTTTAGGCAGTTGCTAACAAGCAAAATTCCCCTAATCATTTTTTTCGAAATGACATTAAAATTATCAAGTCTGAATTATGTAGTAAGAGGTCAAAACGGAAACAAGTTACTTCTCAACAAGTGGTGAGGTGGCTACTCAGTGTGGCCCCAAATGACGGTGAATTTGTTAAACATGAGCAGCCATCAGTAATACAATGTTGTGAAGCCTTCATTAATTTGTTTTTCAACATGTTGAGCAGATTGGGCGATAGTTCGACGTAATTTATCTATCTCCTCTTAACAGTCTCAACCACAGTCACACTCATCTTCTGGTTCCCCGTTCGTCTTTAATGATTTATTAAATTTACAAGACAGTTGCACACTAAGTTATCCTTTAGGCTTTAAGGACTGTGGTAAATGTTTCGTCTGGTCCTGGTGACACTTTCCGCTTTGGTTTTAAATGTGGTTAAATAAAGTTCTCCCTGGTAACCTAAACTAGTCACCTTGGCCTCTTTACCTTTATAAATGTTTCAGTTGCAGATAAAATATAAAGTTATCTGATAAATAAAGAGAATACAGAGTAAAGTACTTATTTAGAATGTCGCCCATTACTGTCATTGTTCCGTGACTTTGCCACCCACAAAGGAGACGTTTCCCTTGCCCACACTCAGCATGCTGTGTCCACCCTCAGCAGGTGAAGGGCAGGATGTGAGCGGGGAGATCAAGGTGGTGAAGCTGCAAGAGTCAATGGTGGCCAACACGGGCAGCTTCGCCAAGTGGACCGGACACATCCCTGGGCCGGTCACAGCCGTCACCATCTGCTACAGAGTCAAGATGTACTACTACCGCCCGGATGTTACCGTCTTCTCCTACATCAACACCAACAATACAAAAATTCGGACAGGTCTGTATGGTCAAGACGAGCTTCACGAGCCAAAGGAAAGGCATGAAATTAACAATTTTGAAATCATTAATTAAAGTGTTACCAATATATTAAACAATAAATATTCTAAAAGTGTCATCAAGCATAAAAGATAAGAGGCTGGTCCATAACAGATCACAACCGGTATGGGATGCAGGTAGTGGTGGCGTCCCATGATCGCCGCCTCGACACTGGCTTCATCACGCCGCTCCTACAATGGTCAGCATTCTGCATCGCGCTCAGCAACACTTCTCCTGATACCATCTACTTTAACGGGCTCAAATATCAAGTGAGTGGCAGTGGCAGGTAAGACCTAGTGGCAGCTACCACAATAACTTTGCGAGTCGTCCTAACTTAAGTCATTACAAGTAATTTTTTTTCTAGGAAATCTCTACGTGCTGGGACTCGCTGGAGAACAGTGTACACATCGCATATTCTGTCATGTCACGCCCTATTAATAAATATCGTAACGTCAGAGAACACGACCACTAGGGATAAGGTTCCATTCAAGGTACCGTTGCCCACAGTGAATACACACAGCATTTTATTAACTTCCAACCTATGCTGACACACTCCTCTCTCCTCAGGCGCGCACTCTAATTTTGAGGCGGTATTTACCCAAGGGCTACTATCTCTTTAGTGGCCTCGACGAGGACAGTAAGCCAGCGGCTTATCGACGGTGCCACCATTGTTCTAAGTTTTTTTTTCTAACTGAGTTTTGATCTAAAGTAATGTCTGGACATGTACGGCTTCGGCGGGTAGGCAGCTCCACAGCTTTATAACACTATGGGGGAAAAAGCATGTTTTCTGTCCTACATTGTGGCTTGATAAGCGTGAAACTGTTGCCTCTTGATGTGTTACATTTGACCTTTTAAAGAAGTAGTCTGGATTAATATCCTCCAATTTGTTCAGTATTTTATGTCCCCTCAACCATTCCTGGTATTCAACTTACATCAAGGCAGATATGTCCTCTATAAGTAACATCAGTAAATCCTGGTCTTCGTAGTTCCCCCGAGAACGCAGATTCTCTGGGACAAATATTCCTGTTAGACTACAGAAGATGGTGTTTTATGGGGGAGACTTACAAAAGCTTCGATCGTGGCTTCTTTAGTGAATGCAGAAGATGTACAGGGACCACAACACAACCAGTAGCAGCATCAGAATCTGAGGGTTGGTACAAGAATTCCAGCAACTACAAACCACTTGTTTTGACGAAAGGGAGCAGTAGAAGCTTGAACTCCATTTAGCTAACAACCTTCCTCGTGTCATACTGGGAAGCCTTGCAATGTTTGGTTACAATCTGATCATCGGATTAGTCCAATACCGAGACTAATGGTCTAATACAGAGACTGACTTCTACTTCATAAATATATAATTGTATTACTCTTCCTAGTGCTTTAGGATCTGAATAATAAGGTTTATACGCACTAGCATTGTGATTTCTTGTTATCATATTGATAACATATAAACTGGCACGTATGGTGTGGCAGGGTGAGGACGGACTTGACGGTGGTGGCTTCAGGGACACACCCTTCATGGACGTCGACGGTACCATCGTCTTGGGCCAGGACCAGGACGCCCCAGCCGCTGTCTACGATAGCACCCAGTCCTTCAGGTACCGCTGATGACTTTATTATGATGTGAAATGATTTTCGGTCAATATCTAACAATCATACAGCACTGCAAAGAGGAAGAGTTAAATAATGACTTGAAGTATCTGTATCACTAGGTTTATTTATACGATCTACTGAACTAAACCTAAGACTGATATATTAGTGTTAATGATATATATTAATGGAGGAGGGTGAGTCGAATAGGGTCTCGTGGATGACCTGCAGCTCACCACTGAACTCGACATATTGGCTGCTGAACGATTCCTACACACGCACAGCCACGCTCCTGTGCCAGGTAAGTCCCCGACGGGCACACAACCGCCCGTGCTACTTGTAACTTACATGGCCACACATTCTGCACCACCGGTCGCTGGCCACACATTCTGCACCACCTGCCGTTAACAAACTTGGGCGTCTCCACAGCGGGGAGGTGACGGACGTGAACGTGTGGTCGCGCCACCTGAGTCAGCAGGAGATGGTCAACATCACCAGCTGCAAGACGCGCCTCCAGGGGGACGTGCTAGCCTGGGACTCCGCACAATTTGAAATCGGAACTGACTCGTCGGAGGTAAGTCGGAGTCATCAGTATCTAGTAGATGCTGGTAGTAGTAGAAGTGAATGTCAATACTCTTCTGTTGTAGTTCGAAGGAGCAGTAGAGTCGAAGTATGTAGAGCACCTTTCACCATGTGGCATTCAATTCAGTTTCTTAACTGGGTAATCAAATGTTATAATTTCAAGGTGACAATTTGAACAGGTTAAGGTCTGCAAGGGACTAAAATATTTGGACTTCATAGAAACAGGGACCTAACCCTCAGAGCCGGTAAGATGGCGGAGACCTTAGTGACCATCTCTCTCCTCCTCCTCCCCAGACAACGCTGCCACTCACCGAGACCTGCAACATCGTCCCTGAGCCATACTTCATGTTCCTCGACAAGCTCCAGTTTCTCGACGCTGTCAGACTGTGTCGGGCCTTCGGCGGGGAGTTGACCACACCCAGGGACGACCTACAGCAGAAGGTGATGTACAAGGGAGCATAGGGGGTTGTATGTCTCCTGTAGCTACAGCAGGAAATAAATCTCTATCACGTGTTGACAGAACATTGTTATAGTCAATGTTAAGCTAAGTGCAAGCCACTTTGCTTGACATTGTGTGTAATATTTGTCATAAAGTGTAGTGAGAGTGAGGGAGGAGCTTGTGAGGTGTGTGTGTGTTGCAGGCAGTGTACACCCTGGCGGAGAGCAACAGACGCGTGTGTGGCGAGGAGGGCGGCCCGCTCATGTGGCTGGGCATCACTGACCAACACTCGGAGGGCAACTGGCGCTACATCAGCACCAACACTAATGTGAGCCTCTACATCACATGTCCCTCTTCCTGTTCTGTGGACACGTATTAATAGACTGTGAAATGGGTGGTTCATGACTATGATGAAAGGTCCCATTGAGGATGTAGTCTGGCCATCTGTAAGACCGGCCAGGATTCAACGAGCATTTACGCATCTACTTACGAACCATCTTTTCTCAGTCTTTGGCGGCTTTGTTTACATTTATTAAAGAGTTTGAGTATTGAAACTTCCCAGTCAAATGTTGCAGCCCGACCTCATAAACAAAGGCCAAAAGTGATTCCATGCACCCGCCAAACCCCCTGTTTATGAATGAAAAACTGTTTACACACAACCCATCCTCGACTTGAGTCCATTACATCCAGCGGTCGACCCCACAGACGCATTCATAAATTTGTACAGGCTGTTCATTCAAAACGGGGAATTTTCTCAAATATAAATTAATATTATAATAGCATATTGTGTATATATAGGCATAGGTTAGGTTAGGTGTTTAGGTTCTGTTGGCGATTATTTGCATTTGTAGTACGTGGGTGAAGCATTTATAGCGTTGTGGTTCGAACAGAATTCGTCAGTGAAGTACTTGTTCCGGAAGTGTTCGAACGAAATCACTTGTGAGTCGTAATATATTAATATTATATAATATTAATTTATATTTGAGAAAATTCCTGTTTGAATGGACAACATGTTAAAATTTATGAATGCGTCTTTGGGGTCGACCGCTGGATGGAATGGACTTGGTCTGAGGACGGGTTGAATGTGGGTATGGTTATAAGCAGCCTCCTGGTGCTTCCAAGCTGGTAAACTGTATAATACAAGTAAACAAGGCCGCCAAAGACTAAGAAAAGATGTAAGGTTCGTAAGTACTTGTGTAACTGCTTGATGAATCCAGATCGTGTGTGTGTGAAGGCTAACTGAGGGTGTCCAGACCTTGGAGTTCTGTTATCAGGAGCACCATAGCAGATCCTGAGCCATGCAAAGCTATCAGTTATGCTCTCCATGGTACTCAGCGGTGTCCACACGAGCATCACACACCTGTCGTGCTGATGTGTGCCATGTGTCCCTAAGTGCCATGTGTCCCCAAGTGTCTGGGTGTTGACAACGGGGGTTTGCCCAACAGGTCTCGTACTTCAACTGGGCCCAGGGACAACCCAACGGCCGGACGATGGAGAACTGTGCCGTCATCAAGGGAGAAACCTTCAAAGTAAGTGTTCCAAGGCAGTGTGTTACGTTACAATGCGTTATATGAAGCCTTCCTCCAATTGCAGCTTTTAGGTTGTATCTTTTGAAACAGAGAATGTAAACTGGTCATATGTTTGGTTAGGAGTAAAGTTTTCAGCTAATGAGTCAGGTTCGTTATGGCTACAATCACCTCTGTTGCTAATCTTCAAGTACAAGCTAATCACTTGCAAAGTTAGAATAAGCTCTCTATATAGAGAAGTGCACCTCCTGGTACATACACCCTCATCACGCTTCAGACTCTGTCTTACATTTACGTATACCAGAACACATTTTATTCATCGCTCTATACGAAAGAAGAGCTGTACCACATTTTCCTTTCGTCAAAGTGATTGCTTGGCTTAGAGCAGATTCCCGACTGAGATTTTTTGGACATCAAATAGTCTTCTTGTGAACTAATTTGAACCGCCAGGTGACTTAACATGCGACCCTGAGAGAGAACAACGTGAGGGCGCGTCGCTCGTCTAGTAGGATACCTCCAGCGAGGTGTAGCGAGCACACAAATTGAATGAATATGACAATCATTTTGGATTGTCAATCACAATCACCAGGTAAAAGAAGACTACAGACTCGCCAATAAATGCAGGAGACTACAGACTACAGGATGTAGAAGACTACATCAATAAATAATGACTACTATGAATAAATAAGATTATTAGTGAAGTATGGAGCAAAACATATACAAAATGTGGCATTTTACTAAAGACGACTTCATGACTGAAATCCGCGTAGACTGAAGCACGATTTAGAACCATCGGGGCGAATTCATGAGATAGTATCATTGAACAATGTGACGCAGAGTGCCTGGGAGCATCAAACCAAGTGGATTACCTTTACAGAGGAAAAATAAGCGCGACTATAGATTGCCCCCCCCCCCACCCCCCGTCCTGCAGTAACCAATGTGGATCAAGGATACAGGCCCCACGTACACATATACATGTGCTAGAGAATAATGAAATACCAAAGCACTGATAATTTATCAATATCCACTATAATATATGACTAGATTGCCCATGAAACCCCATGTAATAGGTCTTGTCCCGAGTAAGGAGACGGCTGAAGACCATTAGCAAGTAATACCACTGCAATGGAATGCCGCCCAAGCGGTGAAATGGGCAAGAGTAGACCTTAAGGGGTATTATGGTTGCTGTTTTAGATTCAGCTACTCGGAACAAAAAGTTCCAAGCAGCACGGGCTATGGTGAGCCCGATCGTACTCGCCTGAAGATGTGCTGGATGTTACAGATAAGTGCTGGGGTCTTGAAGTGGAGTGACGTTTAGGACAGGTGAGGGGTATTGCAGGGTATTGTTAGTATTTATTGATAACCTGTGTGGATGTGTCTCCCCTCCAGGGGCGCTGGGTTGACCAGTCATGTCGCAAGAGCCTCAAGGTCTGCACGCTCTGTACCCTCAACACCCCCGTCATTCTCAGGTGAGTATGTATAGTGTATGTACAGGTTGCCGAGTATACATGTAAGCGTACAGGTTGCCGAGTATACATTGTGTGTGTGTGTGTGTATACAGGTTCCGGGGAATCTGCGACTCGACGCTATACGACGAACTCTTCGTGCTGGCCGGAACCATGAACGGAAAGCCGTACTTCCGCGGGTACTACCGCTCTCACGTCTTCTACAGCGAGCGCAGGTGGCACCTCCACAACATTATGGTGAGAGCCTGAGCAACTCCAGACACTAGGGGCCCGGGGGACCTGGGGTGTGAAGATGTGTTAAAAATGAACTAGTGCTTGCTCGGTGAGGGCCTATAGCTAAGGTCAAAGAGTTCCTAAAACAGTGGAGTTAGATTTGGCCCGGACCCCAGGGAAGACAATTCCCAACAAATAATAGTTGACTTAAAAAGTCTGCAGTCTAGAGAGGTTCCCTCCGCCACGACAACCAGGGTAAAAGGATACTCTAATACAACCTAAGTTATTATTTATTAACCCCCTAATATCCCCCCAAAATACAACTACTTTACTAACTCGATCTTGCGTTAACTCCTTGAATCCACATAGGCAGGAGACAAGGATCACAAACAAAGAAACTAATGGTAAAGTCTACCTTCCTGAAGGTAGATGTGCCTACATCTCACTATGCTGTGTGAGCCCAGGACAGATTATATATATATATATATATAATCTGGTGTGAATAAGACTGGTGATGGAGGTCTTCTCCCCCACCACTGGTGCAGGCCAACGACACCCACGGGCTGATGGACGACGACGGCTCCCTGGACTTCCCAGTAGGGCGTCATGACTGGAGGTTCTCCCACGGGTTCTGTGGCGAGGAGCAAGGGGTGGCCCAGAGCCTCACGCTCACCCAGTGCGCCCAGAATCGCCATTTTACCTGTGACGATGGCACCTGTATCCCCATCAACCAGGTGAGTCTGCAGTTGTGTTTCTCTAGGGGCTGTGCCAACCACCGCCTGCTAATGACTATTACAAGAAGTAGCAGGTGTGGGCCAACATTACGGGAGGTAGCAGGTGTGGGCCAACATTACGGGAGGTAGCAGGTGTGGGCCAACATTACGGGAGGTAGCAGGTGTGGGCCAACATTACGGGAGGTAGCAGGTGTGGGCCAACATTATCCAACGTTTTGCATGTACTGGGAAGGAGGGAGGTGATGGTGGGTTTATTCATCTGTGAAGAATATCATTTACTGACGAAAATTAAGGTTGGCAACCACAGTTGTATGGAAACTGTGGTGGTGTTTATTACACGACCTCCCCCGCCCCCCCCCTCGCCCCTCCATCACCCCCTTCCTTACACCCTCCCTCGCCCCCTTCCTCGCCTCTCCCGCACCTTATTATCCTCACGCTATGATACATGTTAAAACAATATAAACTCTTAGTCCTAACGTTGAGTCGTCCTTCATTAAATATGAACATATAACCTAGGCTGATGCGGCCAAGATCATGTACACCTACCTAGGCACCCCCTAATCACTCTACATGACCCTGCATCAAGGTCAGCGGTCCTCGCAATATCCCTACAACCTGAGTTTCATACAAGTGACATGTTGATGTGAGGTGTGACTAGTGCGTAAACAAATCCCTTGTACGTCAGGTGTGCGACCGGCGCGTGCAGTGCCCAGATATGTCGGATGAGCTGGACTGTTCTACCGTGCAGCTGCCGAAGGGGTACCAGCCCACCCTGCCGCCACCCAGCACGCAGCCCGACCTGCCCCTGCCTGTTTACCTCAATATAACCCTTAAGTGAGTACAGAGCCCTCAGGCACAACACCGTCACCACAGACAGGTGAGAGAAGCTCTCGTCATGTATTGTCCAGGACAGAGAGAACCTAGGAAAAATAACGGTAAAATCAGCATTAAGAATAAAAACTTTAATGTACGCTTTCTAAATTATTAATAATATTAGTTATTATTATTTATTAATATTTAAGGTTGGCAACCACAGTTGTATGTAAACTGGTGATAGAGGTCACCAGTTTCTGGTGACCAAACTGGTGAAGGTAGATAAAACGCAGACGTAAAGCATTCTTTTTGAGTATGCGCACTCCTTGAAGCATTCTGGGATTCCAAACAAGCCGACATGTTTAGTTCACAAATGGATAAACGCATTTTGAGGTAAGTGATTGTGCCCCTGTAGCATAGGCTGCGTGCAAGCGTCAAGGAGGCGAGGGTGCTGGTGGCATTCACCCGTGCGGGGCCAGTATCATGGCGTGTGTAGGGGTGGGTCTCTATAACCGCGTGATCAGCATGGAAACAATGCAAATTAAAATTTCCATAATACAGACCCTCCCACCCACACTCCACTCGACGTCTCGGTTCATTAGATGCATTCTTTAGAAACCAATAATTCTAAAGATGTGTGCAAAAAAAGCAGCAATTTAACCTTTTTCCACCTTCTATATTTCATCTATTTATACTGACGTAATGTCTACTTTACTGACGTAACTTGTGTGGTACCACCTGCTCCCCGCCACACCCCCTGGCAGCACCTTCGCCAGCATCAAGGCCATCGACAACAGGTTCACGGTGGAGCTGCTAGTGCGCCTCGTGTGGCGGGACCCGCGCCTCCAGTTCCGGCACCTGCGGCGCGACCGTCAGCTCAACATCATCCTCCCCAGCGAGGTCAGAGCCTACACTCTTCTCATGACAATAATATAATAATATATTAATTTTAAGGCAAATATGAAAATAATCTATTCTAAAAGAATACTTGGGAAATATAATTACGACTACTATAAAAACTGCCAGTAGTTGACAAACCATAATAACTGCCAACCATATAACACAGGGTGACCCTGAATAAGCTATTTCTATGAAATCGAACGAATTTACTAAAAACCTTCAGAACTTGATGTTTTTACCTAATTTTGATACAAAAACAGATTTATAAATCACGTCAAACTTTTATTGATAACTTTCAACATGTTCTCCGTCTGAATCCCTGCATACTTCAGATCTAACCTCAGCGTTCCAGTTCTTTTTAAATTTATTCACAAGTTCACGAATCGCTTTGTCTGTAGGACCGATCTGTGAAATTTCCTTGTAAAAAATTTTCCGATTTCATTATATCGCAAACCTTATTTATCGCAAACCGCACAACGAAGGTGCGTTTTTGTGTATTCATTATTAGGGTTAAGGTTCTGAAAAAAATGAACAAATTTAGATATTTTTACATATATAACGCACCTTAAACATCAATATATATGAGTTTTTTAATTCGTTAGATTTCACAGAAATAGTAAATCTGGGACACACTGTACAGCACAATCTTGTTTCTCATTCTGAGCCCATCCTCAGAATAAAGTGATTACCACGAAACACCAAACCCATTCTCGCGCCGCCTGGCTAGTGATGTAGATACTCTTGATGGTCTGAAGGCATAGTCTGGTTCCAATAATAGTCTACTTGTAAAGTGACGGTTAAACTTTTGTCCTTAACAGAGAATATTCTCAAGTTCTAACTTTACTGTATTATTAATCCAACCCATCCTCCTGTTTTGATAGTACGTTTTGTAACTATGTGAACCATAGTACAAACATTGACGTTAAAAGGCAATTAGATAGTAGAATTTGATACTATTCACTTTATATAGTCAGACAAAATATAGCTAAAAAAACAAACTTAAATATTCCTAGGCCAGTATAGCACATATATGTACTATATTAGGCCTCAGATAACGTGTATTAGGCCTAGTAAGGTCCTGTTGTTCCAACTGCTATATTGTGGTCACTATACATCTTTTGCATTGTTCTGGTTCTAATTACTTTCTTAATCTGTGATAGACTCTGTGGTATGTAAATGTCTACATTTCTTCTCTTAGTTGCAAGTTTTGCAGCTTCGTCTGCAATGTCATTTCCTATTATTCCCACATGACTTGGTATCCAATTGATAAGTACCCGTCGGCCTTGACGTTTGAGTGTTTGCATTAATGATATGACATTTGTGATCAGATGTATGTTATCACATATGTGTTCTTATTGCAAGGTTTCAGTGGCGGTTCTCGAATCTGTATGTAAGATAACATGTTGTCGGTGTTCTGCAAGAGCATGTTCCAAAGCCTTTTGAATGGCTAGCATCTCTGTTTGTAAAGTTGAACACCCATTTGAGAGCCTCCAACTATTTACAGAGTTTCCTGCTTTAACTGCAGCTCCGGTTTCTTGTCCCTGCTGGTCTACTGATCTATCTGTGAAGTAAGTGAAGCTGTCAGATGCCAAGTTTGCTTCTATATGCATCTGTGCAATGTTACGTAGCAGATGAGGATTAGTCTGGTTCTTTCTTCCTTCAAGAACCATAATCTTAAAGTCTGCTGGCGGAGATTCCCAAGGGGCTTGCATAACAGTGTATGCATGTACATTCGATAATACTTAAAGAAGCCAAGATTATAATGTGGTCATGCTACCACACTACACCCCTTAAACAGTGAGGGAGAATACGGAAAGTGTCGGAGAGAGAGTAGTACAAGGAGACTGTGTGTTGAGGTAAGGAGTATTTTTGCAGGCCGAGAAGATGTGGGTGCCGGTGGTGGCCTTCCTGAACGCCGAGAAAAACCAGCACACTGTGGTGGACACTGACACCAAGATCACCATCGAGCGTCTTGGGGCAGCTCTCGCCGACCACACTGAGATCTCGAAGGAAGGTGAGCCCACTCTCCTGCACGCTCATCCATCCACTCTATCACCCTTCTGTGAATCCTGTAACTAATCCACGTACTCATAAACTCGCTCAACTTCCCCCTTTCACGCAGACATATTCTCTCACCCACTCGTGAGGCATGTTTCCTTCTAACCTATTATAAAAATTATATATGTTTTTATTTATCATGTTTCAAGTTTAAAATGCTCACTTCATAAAGTTGAAGTATTTTCATTAGATACATTTTATTTTACCTAAAATATATTTCTTTATATATTTTAGGTTTCAGTAGGTATTTATACCTAGTTGATGGTTGATACCTGATTGATGGGGTTCTGGGAGTTCTCCTACTTCCCAAGCCCGGCCCGAGGCCAAGCTTGACTTATGAGAGTTTGGTCCACAAGGCTGTTGCTTGCAGCGGCCTGGTGGACCAAACTCTCAAGTCAAGTTTGGCCTCGGGCCGGGCTTGGGAAGTAGGAGAACTCCCAGAACCCCATCAATCAGGTATCAACCATCAACTAGGTATAAATACCTACTGAAACCTAAAATATATAAAAAAAATAGGTACGTAAGTCACAACGGTATATTTTTATACAAGCAAACTTAAATTGTGCAACTCACTGACTCCTCCCCTCTCCCGTCACCCTGACATTCCACCCCATCGTCACCCTTCCTCCCCCCCCCCCCTTGGTCACCGTGACTCCCTCACCAACACCCCCTCACCATGGCTCCTCTCACCAACACGTAAGCGACCTCGCCCCCTGCAGCCCGGGTCTACGAGGGCAGTGACAACAACATCAGGGTGGCCCGCAAGTACACGGTGGTGTTCCAGTGCAGCTTCAACTTCTTCTACTACCCCTTCAACACCGACTACTGCTACATGATCTTCAGAATGAACACCAACACTGACAAATACGTCGCCTTGTGGAAGGATGGCGCAGGTATTCACTACCGGGTGAGTACACATTTATGAACTAGTTTAGACGAGTAATAAGTGTTACCTGTTCTTGTCTCGGGAATAGCCCTGGACCACCACCTGGTCACAGGAAACGGCTGGTGGTGACTGTACCTGCCTCATAAGTGAGGCAGTGGTTAAGTGGTTCGACTCACCAGGATGTAGGCAACTCGGTATTAGTTAACTACCTGATAATCACTGAGATACACACTGTAGCCTTGCAAATTATAATTAAATAATTAACAATACAACATGTGGTTATACTGCCAGATCCTCTCATCTCAAAATATCTAATCTTCTTGATCTGTGCACAGAGCAAAGTCATACATTTTTACCTCTTCTTAGCCAAGTAATTCTACTATAGTGTTTCACTGGCTGTTATTTACTTATCTCGGCCGTCTCACCGCCTGTTTCCCACTCTCCCTGGCCGAACTCTACAGATTCCCCTGGAATTAAAATCACTCTGTAATTCAGCACTGTTACTTGTGCTTCTTCATGGCCTCTGTTGCTGTAGCCTTCTCTTGTCGAGAGATTCTGAATAAATACTTGTTTGTGGCTCGTGTAAAAAGTTTTCTCTTTGTTAGGATTGTCCTTTTTAAACGTTTGTAAACACGAGCGTTATCGTCTTATTTAGGGCTCTCCATTACAAGTCTAACCTGAAAAATCTTCTCTATTTAGCTTTTTTATCCTTCCGTCGACAGCTCCGTTATGATCCCTCCGCCTCCACTGGTGCTGTCAACTTCCCCAAAGTAACAAACCTTCTCTGGTATAATAAATAATATTAAGGACTCTTCACTTCTGCAGAGAAAGGACAAGCTAGCGGAGTACACCATCGGCAAGGTTATCATGCGCCGCCTGGTGACCGACGAGCCCTACAGCGGCCTCCAGGCCATCGTCCAGATGAAGCGCCTTTATACCACGCAGGTACGGCGCCGTGCCGGACAGGTACCTCATGAACCAAACATTTGTTAAATTAATCAAAGTTTTGACTCTCTGGAAATGCTAATATTTGCTTTAAATGTAGTTGTATACAATTTTGTAAATATTTGTGATAGAGCATAATGATAAAATCCTTGTTTGAGAGAGCCACTGACTCTTCCTCCCTCCACAGGTGGTGACTGTCTTCATACCAACGACTCTAATCAACGTCATCTCCTTCGCCACCTTCCTCTTTAAGTGGTTCGACTTCCAGAACCGCATAATGGTGTCGTTGACGGCTCTCCTAGTGCTGTCCATGCTCTTCTCCCAGATCAGTGACAACCTTCCCAAGACTTCCTATGTTAAACTAATTGACATTTGGTTCTTCAGCTCCATTATGTTCTCTTTCCTGACAGTGTTGCTTCACACTGTCGTCGAGTACAACCACCACTACAGTTCTCCTACGGCGCCATCTTCATCCCCGTGCTTACTGGAGACGGGCGAGCCTGCATCCAAGGACAGTACACACAACTGGATCAGTGTAGAGAACCCAGCACACCCATACTCCCGTCCTGTCCTCATCAACAAGATTGGTTTCCTGGTCACTATTACTGTGTATGCGATGATATTTGTTATTTTCTGGATTGTTGCCCTTAACCAGAAGACTCCGGAGGACGCCATGATGTTTAGTGTCAATGACACACAAGTTACCAGTTTAGGATAAGTGAGGGAGCCGAGAGGCTCGGTAGCAGCCTCCTGCCAACATCTTCCTACCAACACCCATCCTGCACTACACTATTTATAACACTAACCATCCTGTGAGATGAGAATATTATATGAACTTATAGCTAGTTTTTTATCTACACTGTGTAACCTTTCATATGGAATAGGGTAACAGCACATTGCTGTGTATACATAAGCTTGTTAAAACAAAAGTTACGCTGCCCGCACTGAAAATGTCTTCACTAGATTTCTCCCACTTTTGAAGATATTTGGTTTCGTACACAAATGATCTGTTTAGAGATTTGAATTGTCCCACCAAAACTTCTCAATATTATATACGATGATAATTTTTTATATACTTTTCAATGATATGTATCCAAATAACCTGTTATTAATTGATAAAGTTTTCATAGCCAAGAAATGAAAGAATAGCTGGCAACTCTGCAGTTTACCAATATTTAGATCGCTGTCGACTGGTCGTCGCTGGCATTAAAAATCCAAATTAATACCTATATTTGAAAGAACTATGCCTACTATATCTCATATTAGATTCTTCAGATACGCACAATGGCTCCTCTCAACAGGCCAGCACCCTCTCAGTCCTTTGCATTACGTACAGACATTATCCCTGGTCTTATTCGACTAGCGGAGAGGCTTACCGGACCAGATAATCAACGATTCGTCAAGGAACTCGACGTGCTGTACCTAGCCAACGGTCTGGACCCCATCATTGCCCCGGACGCAAGTCTCACTGCCTCCACTACCACTCCGAAGACTACCACCAGGACGACCACTAGGTCGATCTCAACAGACTCCAGAACCACCCAAGACTCAGGCAGCACAAACAGAGGTATTTTCCTTTCCAGCTCCCAACACTCCTACCATCACCATCTCACCGGAAGCGCTAGCAGACGTGCTGTGTACTGTGAGAGGATAGATTACCAGCTAGCTTTTAAACTGTGTTGGAGTGCACACCGTCAGTTTGTACTGTGACAAGAGTGCACCAAAATGGTCGAATATGTAGTTCAGAGTGACTACGGATTCTGTACTGATGAAGTTTGAGTAGATTATTGTGATTTGAGTTATCAAAGTCTTTTATTGGGTCATTGAAGAGGCCAAGTTTTTTATTTTCTACTTCTGTGTGCATTGAAGTTAGTGATACACTTGTCCCTTTCATTAGCGGAAGTAATATGACAACAACTGTATTTTAAATAGAATTTGAAAATACTTTATATACAGTAATTTTTTATTTCCAATTCGGTACAAATGACAACCTTTACTAGCAATGATCCATTTGATAACAATTACTGTTGACGGGAGGCTGTGGGACTGTTGACGGGAGGCTGTGGGACTGTTGACGGGAGGCTGTGGGACTGTTGACGGGAGGCTGTGAGACTGTTGACGGGAGGCTGTGAGACTGTGAGAGCTGCTTTATACTCATCAACCATCACTAACATGCTCAAGCGACCATGCACCCCCCCCCTGGGGTCCTCCCCCTGGGGTCCTCACCCCTGGGGTCCTCACCCCTGGGGTCCTCACCCCCTGGGGTCCTCACCCCCTGGGGTCCACATCCCTGGAGTGCGGCCAAGTCTGCCCTATATAATGCTGAGGTTCGCAACTCAAGTTTGGACTTGTATAAACTATTAACAAATCTTCGTTCAACATATACACCACGGCAATGAGCTAACAGTATCTAAGACTCTGCTTATCTGATCAGTTGCTTCCCTCTGCCTCTTCCACTGTAGCCAAGGAAGGTCATGAGTCGGGCAGCTGAAAAAATTTTCTTACATGACGGATTGCTGCTGTGAGAAGCAGAATATGGGGAGGATGGGCGCGCAGTGACACTGTGTCCGGCTGGAGTAGCGGCGGGAACTTTACTTGGCACTGCTGTTGTCGATGGCAATGATGTAGGAGTTGGCGGCCCACACGTGGTCAGGCTCGTACGGCGTCTGCTTAGCGTGGAGCGAGCGCAACGGGTTCAGTTCTTGGTACACAATGTTGGGCTTCAGAACTTCCAATTTCTGCGGAGACGTTAAACTTCACATTATAGGCGAGCATGATAATCATAATTTCCTTAATCATTATTATCAATGAAATGCTACACTGAGGCCTGATCGGGGTGATACCTTACCTTGAGCGTCTCCTGGAACTCTGCCTGGTTGTAGGTGGTCATGACCAGAGGAACGCGCTCGTACGCCAGCAGCATGAGAGTGGGCTTCCATAACGCCAACATCTCATCCGTGTGTACCCCTGGGTGGATCGCCAGGGCCACGTCCGGTCGACTCACCTGAACACAACACTCACTATCAGTAGACTCACCTGTACACCACTCACTCAATCGACTCATCAGTACACCACACACTATCAGTAGACTTCACCAGTACACCACTCACTATCAGTCGACTCATCAGTACAGATGAGTCTCTACGACCCATTGTAAAGTATAAGTCTTGACTCATAAAACACATTCAGCAAGCCTATCACGCACCAACAAATATTGAGATTCTACACACACCTTTGCTATTTCATGTGATTAAATCGGATAAAATATTAGCTTTAATAATTGTATATTTTTTAATAGACTTCCGAAAATTAAAAACAAAATCAATTAGCGTATTTGTGTATTCCTGGGTGCTTATGTTTTATGTGCTGGCTAGTGTTTGTGTGCTGGCTTGTTTGTGTGCATATATGCTGCCTGTGTGTGTGAGAGAGAGAGAGAGAGTGAGGGTGAAGGGGACTACCTGGGACGGGTGGTCGTTGTTTGCGATGTGGTCTCGCCAGAAGTCGTGGTAGAGGCCAGGGTAGGCGACTGCACTCACCGATGGCGTCACCTGGAACACACACACCATCTCTACATAACACCACCACACTCTCAATAACTCTTTATAGAACCTAAGCAAAACATGTGCGCAAAATTCTGGCAATAAAGTCACCCTCCTCCTCCCATGCTCGCCCTCATGCCGCCGCCCACCTAGAAATAGCCTAAGCTTCTCTATCCTTTTTGAGATGTAATTTATTATCTCTATAAACGTACTTGAACTTGAACCACCCTAAGACGTACTCCTCAGTTTTTAATGTATTGTGTTTTACAAATAATTTTTCGTACAGATTAATATTACATAATAGAATTTGTCATATATAGCTAGGCCTACATTAGATTTAATGTTTGGGTTCAGCTGAAATTATTTGTATTTGCAATACGTGGGTGAAGTATTTACAGAGTAGCTAGTACTCTCCTGTGAGAGTGTGAGACAGTTTTGTTTACCCTCCTCGATGCTCATATTAATTCTGGCGAAGTCCTTGCAAAATTCTATACTTTTTTAAGTTTAGTTTGTGCTTCACTAGGTGAGGATTTAATGTCGGTGATACATATTAAATTACTGGTCTCACACAGGTTATTGTGATTATTCTAAGAGTCCTTATTTTCATTTCTAAATGTTTTTGATATGGACTAATTTCCCATATGCTGTTAGTGTTACCCTGCTTATATGTGCTTACGTTGTTAGTACTGGAATTATATCCATTCTCAAGATCTTCTCTTTTCCAAGAACCTTTCCCAAGATCCTCTACAGATGTCTTTTTGTGCTGTATATATCTTCTGGTTCCCTATTCCTTGACATGCTAATTGGTGATCTTCGACCTGATATATTGGTCATGGTCATCTTCGCTCCTGAAGGACGAACATCATCAATTGGTGACTGATCAGGAGCTGCTAGTGACTGACTTAGGTGGAGGCAACTTACCTGGTGAGGGTGAGTGGTGCTCCAGGAGAAGGTCTGAGGGTGGTTGGTGAGGTCAGGGGCCACTAGGGTGACCACCAGAGGACGACCAATCACGCGACTCGCCACCTGCAATAGATCTTCGAAAGTAAATACCTGACCTCTCCGCTGGGTGGTTGATGTAGCCGGAGTTCTTCCCATCAGGGCCGGACGTTACCCAGGGGCTAGATAGATGTAAAGGCAGTGGACAAAACTCAACGTGTGGAAGTCAGAACACCTTGAATCACGTTGATCAACACCTTCCTTCACTAGTCCACCCTCAGCCTCTCATCACACAAACTTTTCCTACTAATTTATCTATAATATAAATAGCAATCCTCGGAATATTATTATAGTCTCTGTCTCTGTCTCTCTCTCTCTCTCTCTCTCTCTCTCTCTCTGTCCCTCTCTCTCAAACTAACTCACCTGGATGAGGCCAGACTCGATGGCGCTAACCTCTGGCTCATCAGCACCCAGCAGGTGAATGTGTAGCGCCCTCGCCTGCTGGAGGTCGGAGGTGAGGGTGGAGAACCAGAAGGGGCTGTGGCCGATGGTAAGCACAGTGCTGAACACGTTGGTCACGATCCTCTCCAGGGAGGCCCTCAGTGCCGCCTCACCTGTACCACACACACACACATTTAGGTACGATTCCAAGCTGGTCTTCCTCTGAACGCCTTCACTTATCAACACACACACACCTTACCCTCCAGCGACAAGTTGAACTCATTAATAACACAAGTGATATTGTTCATTTTCATGGCATGAATGAATGAAGAGCACAGCTGCTTTTAAGACGCCGGATATAAGGGTTATGTGCAGCAGATAATACGTGTTGAGAGAACACGTTGTGACAAACTCCAACTTGTCCGTCAACCTCAGCAAAATTACTTAAACTACAGGCCGCACTGGAAATGGGGAAGTCTTACCTTGATGGGGAAGACTGACCTGTGAGGGGGGAGGCTGACCTGTGAGGGGGAGACTGACCTGGGTGGGGGAAACTGACCTGAGTGGGGGAGACTGACCTGAGTGGGGGAGACTGACCTGGGTGGGGGAGACTGACCTGGGTGGGGGAGACTGACCTGAGTGGGGGAGACTGACCTGGGTGGGGGAGACTGACCTGGGTGGGGGAGACGGACCTGGGTGGGGGAGACGGACCTGGGTGGGGGAGACGGACCTGGGTGGGGGAGACTGACCTGGGTGGGGGAGACGGACCTGGGTGGGGGAGACGGACCTGGGTGACTGACCTGGGTGGGGGAGACGGACCTGGGTGGGGGAGACGGACCTGGGTGGGGGAGACGGCCCTGGGTGGGGGAGACTGACCTGGGTGGGGGAGACGGACCTGGGTGGGGGAGACGGACCTGGGTGGGGGAGACGGACCTGGGTGGGGGAGACGGACCTGGGTGGGGGAGACGGACCTGGGTGGGGGAGACGGACCTGGGTGGGGGAAACTGACCTGTGAGGGGGAGACTGACCTGAGTGGGGGAGACTGACCTGGGTGGGGGAGACTGACCTGGATGGGGGAGACTGACCTGGGTGGGGGAGACTGACCTGTGAGGGGGAGACTGACCTGGGTGGGGGAGACTGACCTGTGAGGGGGAGACTGACCTGGGTGGGGGAGACTGGTGTAAGGCCACCACTGGGAGACGATGGTTGCAGCTGTAGCGATGTTATCACTGATGACTGTGTGACGGAAGAGCCAGTCGTGCCAGTCCTGGACAGGACCTCCCCGTCCCCTGAGCACCTCCCGTCCCAGCGGCACCGGCCCTGGCAGGCACTCCACCACCTGCCACCGAAGGATAGGTGAAATTGTTAATGTAATAATCTCCGTTGAGGTCTGATAAAGACCTTTTGTGCTCTCTTACATACTGCATCACAAACACTTACTCAGAGATAGCAAAAACTACTACAACGTGTATATTGATAAATATATGACGAAAGAGGAACAGATAGCCCACAGGGCGAGCAAACCTCTACGATACAACTCTTCCCATTTGAGCGTAGTTACCCACCCTAGTGCTAACCCGCCCCGTGCTAACCAGCTCACACCTGCTTCCCAGGTCACTCCCTCCCCAAATCACCCCTCCCTGCCCCTGCTTATCTCCCCAACACCTTCCCTGACCCCTCTGACCCAACTGCATTCAAATCCATCTGCTTCATCCCACATTCCAAGGATCCCCTCGTCCCCTCAACCCCCAAAACCCGCCCAGCCCTCACCCCTCCTCATCCCCTCTCCTTCCATGTGACTCCCCACCCTTGCCAGGGGGGCACATGGACCCCCCACGGGGGACCCCCCTACCTCTTCCTCCATTTCCCTTTTCCCCCCTTCTGCCCCAATGTCCACACCTACCCCTGAGTTCCCCCTGACTAATACAACCTCCCTCCCATTCTCACTATCCATGTTCCCCTCTTCCCCCCACTCCCTCTATCCTTCTCCCCACAACTTCCCAACCTTATGCTACCTCCCAACCCCTCTATGCCTCTCAGACCCTCCCTAATCTTCAGACCCAGTATGCCCTTCCTACTCCAGACCTACCTACACAGGCCCTACCCCAGACCTTCCTACCTACCTTCCTAGATGCCCAGCCCCCATTCGCCCCCCAAGCACCCCTCCCGACCCCTTTCACCCCCAGACACCCTCTGGATCCTCCCAGACACCCCCCGGATTCCCCCAGACACCCCCCATTCCCCCCAGCCCATTCTCCCCCCAGATCCTCCGGAACCCCCAGCCCCCATTCACCCACAGACACCCCCCAGATCCCTCCAGACCCCCAGAGAAAGGGCGAACTCTGGTAAAAGAGTTTCCATGAAGAATCTCAAAGTTTGGTACACCAATGCTGATGGGGTATCTAATAAAGCGGAAGAGATAAAAGAAAGAGTGAGTGAGGCAGATCCTGACAGTTGCAATTGTGGAAACTAAAATTAATGACATGATCTCAGATGCAATCTTTCCAGAAGGGTACCAGGTGATAAGAAAAGAGAGGACACGGTGACAGGGAGAGGGAGTGGCACTCCTAATAAAGCGGAAATGGAAGTTTGAAGACCTGGGGAATCGGGTTACCAATGAGAGCACAAGCTTCATACATGGAACTCTGACAGCAGATGGGAGGAAGATTGTGATCTTGGTAATCTACAATCCCCCACCAAACTGTGACTGGTGAGGTTGCCCAGGGACTGTGACTGGTGAGGTTGTCCCGGGAGTGCGTACATAACAAGGCAGATGAGGGAGAATGAGTGACGGCGCCTCACCACTCACCTGGTCAAGGAGCTCATCCTTGAGGTGGTGACAGACGAGGTCATGTGCTTCTTGTCTCACTACACGACACTCCTGGCTGCAGTAACGGACCGCCCGGCACTCTCCACACTCCTCCCGCACACCTGCCTCGCCACACGGTATAAGTCACCACACTATGTCACAACATGGTATATGTCCCCACTCAGTATTCAAAAGTCTACCCTTTACTAACACTAGAGCACACACTCACACAATATTACTCTCCCACCTGCAGCTTCATGTGCGTGACTGACAATTAAGTTGTAGGTGAAAACTACAAGCCAGTGAGGGGAATGTGTAGCTGCTACACGTCTCTATACATATGAAGGAAATACGTGATGTGAAAGACACGTTTTAGAAAGTAAATCAGGGAAAATCTCTCGAAATATATTGGAACTCTCATAAAGATATCAAGAAATATATGGGGAACTCTGCTTACTTTGACTGTGTAGAAGTATCAACATAATTTAAGACATGTCTTAATCATTTACCAAGATGGAGTACGAGAGTGAACCCACAAGAGTACAAAACTAGTAGAAACTGGGGGAAAATTAAAGAGTTTGGTATATACATAATTATAACTTTAACACCAGAGTTTTATCTCGGCAAAACAACAACCTGGCAAACTTCTAGATAGCATCCTGAAATTGGAACAAAAAAAAGCCTTCCGAACGTTACATAAAACTATGAGAAAATCAATCTTTCTCAATCAGTAAGTTGCAAAAGTATGGAACCCATACATTAACAAACAAAAAACACAATAGAAAAAGTGCAAAGACATGCAACAAGGCTCGTTTCCCAACTAAGAGTACTACTGACCTATGAGGAAAGACTGGCGGAACTGGGCCACATCGCACTAGAGTGAAGGGGGAAAAGGACACACACATGATAACGACATACACGATTCTCATGGAAACTGATCAGATAGAAAAGCAATGTTCAGAGTTAAGAAGAGCATAACGAACAAACATAAATGAGAACTGAAAAGGCAAATAATGTCAGCAAGAACTTCACCGTAAGTGTGGTAAGTAAATGTAATGGATTAGATGAGGAGGCTGCCAATGATAACTCATACACTGAAGTGCAAGTATGATCAGAAAAACCATTGAATAATTACAATAAATTGCTGCTGGTCGAAAGGCGGGGTCGCCTTACAGGGTCGAGCAGACACGCGACCCTGTAGGCACATTTAGGATAGTACACACACACACGCTCCCTCGCTCACTACAGAGCCACAGAGATATTAGAAAGAATTTGCTCAGTGTCAGAATAGTTAACAGATGGAATGCATTATGCAGTGATGTGGTGGAGGCGGACTCCATACACAGTTTCAAATGTAGATATGATAGAGCCCAGTAGGCTCAGGAACCTGTACACCAGTTGAGAGGCTGGACTAAAGAGCCAAAGCTCAACCCCCGCAAGCACAACTAGGTGAGTACATACACAAGATGGACACACATACCGACCATTATATCTACCTTCTGTTTTGTTACAGTTGGCGCACGCTGACTTCATCTTCTTCAGCTTCTTGACGGTGATTTTGAAGGCCTTGCGAAGCGTGTCTTCTGCACTGTTGCCCAGCTTCTTGTTCTTCAGCACCTGCGACGGCTCCAGCAGGAGCCCGTGGGGAGCCAGGTACTTCTGGTATTTATCACTGAAAGTTTTCGGCGGGTATTCTGTCAGGTCAAATGCCATGTTGCTTCGAGGATTGATGGACTGATCTTGTCAGCGACACATATATACACCAGCACAGTTCTGCACCTGCAACAGTTCGCCACACACCTACACTACCCTCCTCTAACGTCAGCCACACGCCTGCACCCTCCCCCTGCAGCGTCCTGGTGACCCCCGGATCTACCTGCGATAATGAGAATAACTTAGATATTTTTAGAGTTACTTTCCTTGTCAGAGAGGACAGGTTGGAGAGCACAGATCAGAGAGGACTCGTTACACAAGACCTGTATATTTTAGTCGGGTTTGTTCTCGGCTCACATTCGGAAATCCCTGGTTCGAATCCTGGATACAAGCCTAAAGTACACACAGAAGTCACAATAGCGTGATATATCAAATGAATACTGGTGAGGGTCGTGATGAGGGTTCGAACTAACTGGGTTTGATATTTCACGCTATTGTGATTTATGAGTGTATTGAAGGGCGAAGAGGTAGAATAGCTTGTTGACAGAGCCCGAGTGCATGAGGGGAATTGTGTAAAATCCCGGTTTGTGTCTCGGAGAGACTGCGGGATCCGTGTGAGGTCAGTGAAACTCCCGGTTGCAATTCTTTTGACCATGTCGTGGCTCAGTCGATTAAGGCACGTCTGGGATCATCCTGGACGTAAGTTCGAACCCTCATCACGGCCCTTATGAATTTATTCAAGCCTAAAGTATTTATACGTGCAGGCTTCCTGTCCCCGACAAAGCAAATGTTTATGATTGTGAGGTAGTCATCTGCTGGGAAAATAGAAATTATATACTCTGACTAACTTGTGTGTTGAAAGAGATGAGGACACGGTAGGAGGGACACGTAGTGGTAGAGCAGTGTGGCGTGGTGGTGGTAGAGTAGTGAGGCGTGGTGGTGGTAGAGCAGTGTGGTGTGGTGGTGGTGGTAGAGCAGTGTGGTGTGGTGGTTTGGGAACTGGTGCAGCAGTGGTTGAGGCGTGACAGAGATAGCTAGGTATTAAGCAACAACCTGCCAAAGTTGACTCACCTTAGCTCATTGTTACAATAAAATTCTCACAGAGCTCGCCAATCCTCACTACACAGACGCTTCTTCAGGACTGCGTGCGTCGTGGTCAGCCTGGCACTCCCTCACTGAGTGAGGGAGAGTGCGTGGGAAAGTGAGAGTGAGAGGGAGAGCAGAATAAGAGCTGCCAGATCCCAATATAGCTCTAGGGAGTGGGCACCCCCGACCGCGATTCTCATTTTCTTTAGTTCAGGTTCAGGTTTAAGAGAAAAACTTAGTACTACCTAATAAACTCCATGTAACCTACCTTACCCCCTAAATGTGACTTATGTCACATTTAGGTTATAAGTTATAAGGTTTAGGTTATAAGTCATCACTTATGTGATGACTTATATTGAATTTTGTAACTAGCTCATCAAGATTGTAACTTGCTTAGATAAATGAATTGTGGGGTTCAGTCCCTGAGCCCATTATGTGCCTCTGTAACCCTTTCCACTACCGCCCACAAGATGGGTATGGGGTGCATAATAAATGAACTAAACTAAAACCCCCTAAATGTCAACCCATGTCTGCCTTTTTTCAAACAATACTGTTGTTGACCAACTTGTATAACTGCTGATGTATAGCCGCTAGGAATTTCAATATGGTGTTCAAATAATTTTAGGCAGAGGGTCTCTGGGTTGGTTGGTCGACCGGGTCATCGACTACGGGGCCGCCAGTCGTCAAGAAGCCGGGGTGGGGTGCGGTCCGTTCGTCCCGTGTAGGTAAGACTGATAATTTTTTTTTTTGTTTTTTTTTTGCTAATATATCGGAGCAGTTGGGAGGTACGCATGAATATATAGTCTACCTCCACCTACAATGCTTAATGCATTATACATTTGTTCGCTATTATAACATTGAGTTTTGTAATGTCTCGAAGATTATTGTTTCCGTATTTTATTTTTCATCCGGGTTCTGTAGTATTCAAATGTTTGTATTCCACTAATGCTAAATAGTCTGTCCTCTCTCGGATATTGTGGAAGATTTTGAGGATCATGATTTGCCAACATTATATGGGTAGGATATTATGTAGAATACACTTCGCCATTGTTAAACTACCCCGTCGTCAGGCTAGGCTCGTTAACGCGGCGGTCGTCTCCCCCCACATCCCAAGACGCATTTATTATCGTCTTTCGTGTACTGTGTATTAAAAATAGTTTTTATCGTGTAAAAATTAATTTTATATTCTATAATTAATTAGGCGTATAGTAGGTTCGGTATTTAGGTTCTGTTGGCAATTATTTTCACTTGAAGTATGTGGAGGGTGACGCATTACCCTCCACATACAGTTGCCTGTCCTCAGGCCAGGCTCGCCTACGCGGCCGCCCGACCCAAAGTCGCATTCATCAATTTTATCGCTGTGTATTCAGAATTATTCTCGCGTATAAGGTAATATTATTTCATCAAGTTAATAGTTAACAACTAAGTTTAGTGACAAGCGACAGGCCAATGTACAAATACTGCAATAGTTTAGTTTAGTTCATTTATTATGCACCCCATACCCATCTTGTGGGTGGTAATGGAAAGGGTTACAGAGGCACATAATGGGCTCAGGGACTGAACCCCACAATGCATTAAGCTAAGCAAGTTACAATCTTGATACAGTTTGCATTTGGTCAGGTCTACATCAGCAGATAATGAGAATTCCCAGAGATACTTGTAACGGAGTCTAAGCAGAGCAGTAGTAACATCTAGAAGTCTGCTGATATTATTGGATGAACCATAGATGTGTGGCTCCTCTTGCATGATAGTATGATACTACAATAGATGAACAACTTCCCAACAGGAAGGAGCGGGGACACCCCTCCGGGAACTGAATTTACCTGAGGGCCACTAACACTAGTTGCCTCGATGAGGGCAGTAAGCCGGCGGCTTGTCAAAGGTCCCCCCATTTGTTCTGACGATCTTTTCCAGCTTTATTTTAAAACCCAGCAGAGGTTTGGCGTTTACTGCTTCGGCGGGTAGGCGGTTCCACTGGTTTACAACCCTGTGGGTGAAAAAGCATTCTGGCTTGTTGAGTGTGAACCCGTTGCTCCTTGCTCGTGTAACATCTGACATTTTGAAGACATTGTCCTGATCGACATTCTCCAAATTGTTTAGTATTTTAAAGGTTTCTATGCAGTTCGCCCTGTCATGACTGGTTTGTGGTGTTGTTAGCCCTGTGGCCCTCAACCGTTCCTGATACAACAGATGACTAAGCTCTGGTATGATTTTTGTCGTAAGACATAGCTCCATAGCTCTGGTAAGACATGCCTCCAGAGCAGCTGTGTCTTTCTGCAGATGAGGTCTCCATGCCTGGATGCAATAATTCATGTGGGGGCGCACCAGCTACAGTCTAAGTAGACCTAGGCGTGCGGTTACACAACTGGTCAGGCTCCGGTTACACAATTGGTCAAGCTTCGGTTACACAACTGGTCGGGCTCCGGGGGTGTCACTTGGGTTGTGCATGGTTGGGCTTCAGTTCATGCATGGTTGTGATCCAGAGGTTGTTCGGTTCGTTCATGTTAGGCTTCTGGTTACACAACTGGTCGGGGTCTGGTTACACAACTGGTCGAGCTTCGGTTACACAACTGGTCGGGCTCCGGTTAAATAACTGGTCGGGCTCCAGTTAAATAACTGGTCGGGCTCCGGTTATATTAACTGGTCGGGCTCCGGGGGTGTCACTGGGGCTGTGGGTTGTGCATGGTCAGGCTTCGGTTCGTGCATGGTTGTGCTTCAGCGGTTGTTTGTGTACTAGTGCTTCAGGTTTGTTTGCTGAGGCTCTATGTTTATATGTTTGCTAGAAATCCGGGTTTGTTTTTTTGTATATAGTTCAATTGTTTGCTATGGGTCAATAGTTGGTGTCTAGGGCAAGTGGAGGATTTTAGGTAGGGCTAATGAGATCTTTGTTTGGTCGAGCTAGGAATGGAGCTTGGTTGTGCTCTGGGACTGTTTAGCTTTGTGGGGGTTGGATGAGATGTATACTTGCTAGGCTTAAGGTTAGACAACTGGTCGGGGTCTGGTTACACAACTGGTCGAGCTTCGGTTACACAACTGGTCGGGCTCCGGTTAAATAACTGGTCGGGCTCCGGTTAAATAACTGGTCGGGCTCCGGTTATATTAACTGGTCGGGCTCCGGGGGTGTCACTGGGGCTGTGGGTTGTGCATGGTCAGGCTTCGGTTCGTGCATGGTTGTGCTTCAGCGGTTGTGTACTAGTGCTCTAGGTTTGTTTGCTAAGGCTCTATGTTTATATGTTTGCTATAAATCCGGGTTTCTTTTTTTGTATATAGTTCAATTGTTTGCTATGGGTCAATAGTTGGTGTCTAGGGCAAGTGGAGGATTTTAGGTAGGGCTAATGAGATCTTTGTTTGGTCGAGCTAGGAATGGAGCTTGGTTGTGCTCTGGGACTGTTTAGCTTTGTGGGGGTTGGATGAGATGTATACTTGCTAGGCTTAAGGTTAGACAACTGGTCGGGGTCTGGTTACACAACTGGTCGGGGTCTGGTTACACAACTGGTCGAGCTTCGGTTACACAACTGGTCGGGCTCCGGTTAAATAACTGGTCGGGCTCCGGTTATATTAACTGGTCGGGCTCCGGGGGTGTCACTGGGGCTGTGGGTTGTGCATGGTCAGGCTTCGGTTCGTGCATGGTTGTGCTTCAGCGGTTGTTTGTGTACTAGTGCTTCAGGTTTGTTTGCTGAGGCTCTATGTTTATATGTTTGCTATAAATCCGGGTTTCTTTTTTGTATATAGTTCAATTGTTTGCTATGGGTCAATAGTTGGTGTCTAGGGCAAGTGGAGGATTTTAGGTAGGGCTAATGAGATCTTTGTTTGGTCGAGCTAGGAATGGAGCTTGGTTGTGCTCTGGGACTGTTTAGCTTTGTGGGGGTTGGATGAGATGTATACTTGCTAGGCTTAAGGTTAGACAACTGGTCGGGGTCTGGTTACACAACTGGTCGGGGTCTGGTTACACAACTGGTCGAGCTTCGGTTACACAACTGGTCGGGCTCCGGTTAAATAACTGGTCGGGCTCCGGTTATATTAACTGGTCGGGCTCCGGGGGTGTCACTGGGGCTGTGGGTTGTGCATGGTCAGGCTTCGGTTCGTGCATGGTTGTGCTTCAGCGGTTGTGTACTAGTGCTCTAGGTTTGTTTGCTAAGGCTCTATGTTTATATGTTTGCTATAAATCCGGGTTTCTTTTTTTGTATATAGTTCAATTGTTTGCTATGGGTCAATAGTTGGTGTCTAGGGCAAGTGGAGGATTTTAGGTAGGGCTAATGAGATCTTTGTTTGGTCGAGCTAGGAATGGAGCTTGGTTGTGCTCTGGGACTGTTTAGCTTTGTGGGGGTTGGATGAGATGTATACTTGCTAGGCTTAAGGTTAGACCACTGGTCGGGGTCTGGTTACACAACTGGTCGGGGTCTGGTTACACAACTGGTCGAGCTTCGGTTACACAACTGGTCGGGCTCCGGTTAAATAACTGGTCGGGCTCCGGTTAAATAACTGGTCGGGCTCCGGTTATATTAACTGGTCGGGCTCCGGGGGTGTCACTGGGGCTGTGGGTTGTGCATGGTCAGGCTTCGGTTCGTGCATGGTTGTGCTTCAGCGGGTTGTGTACTAGTGCTCTAGGTTTGTTTGCTAAGGCTCTATGTTTATTTGTTTGCTAGAAATCCGGGTTTCTTTTTTTGTATATAGTTCAATTGTTTGCTATGGGTCAATAGTTGGTGTCTAGGGCAAGTGGAGGATTTTAGGTAGGGCTAATGAGATCTTTGTTTGGTCGAGCTAGGAATGGAGCTTGGTTGTGCTCTGGGACTGTTTAGCTTTGTGGGGGTTGGATGAGATGTATACTTGCTAGGCTTAAGGTTAGACAACTGGTCGGGGTCTGGTTACACAACTGGTCGAGCTTCGGTTACACAACTGGTCGGGCTCCGGTTAAATAACTGGTCGGGCTCTGGTTAAATAACTGGTCGGGCTCCGGGGGTGTCACTTGGGCTGTGGGTTGTGCATGGTCAGGCTTCGGTTCGTGCATGGTTGTGCTTCAGCGGTTGTTTGTGTACTAGTGCTCCAGGTTTGTTTGCTAAGGCTCTATTTATATATGTTTGCTAGAAATCCGGGTTTCTTGTTTGTATGTGTGTGCAGAAATAATATGAATAAAACAATTAACATCGTGTAGTGTACTCTATATATCAAAATATATTACTTTGAAACCCGGATCAGTCACTCAACAAAATATTGGGCTACTCTTATTACAAATTCGCTACTTTTTGACCGTCAGCTCGCTACTTTCAGCAAATTGTCTCTGGCAACCCTGGTCGCCTGGCGAGCACCAATCAGGGAAAAGTGCGCGCAATGTTTACAGAATTCAAGAAATATCATAACATTGTTCTCCCTGCACCGTCAGGACTCTGTACCTCCAGGTACACTGTACTGCCGGGTACACTGCACTGCCAGGTACACTGCACTGCCAGGTACACTGTACCGCCGGGAACACTGCACCACCGGGTACACTGTACCGAAAGTTAAAGGGAAATAAACACGAGTAGATGGTTTCCACTGACGCCTTTAGGTGAGAGTATATCTGGTTTGTTTCTCAAACAAATTTGAGCAGTCACATTTACCTGCGGGCCACTGTGTCTTCGGTGGCCTCGACGAGGACAGGAAACCGGCGGCTTGTCAAAGGTCATCCATTTGATCTAAGGATTTTATCCAGGTGGAATTTGAACTGCAGGAATGCCTGCATTTATGGCCGGCGTGTAGGCAGTTCCTTTGGTTATTAATTTATTTTATTTATTTATGCATATACAAGAATGTACATAAGGAATGTGAGGATACAAATATGGTAATTACAGTCTTGTAAAGCCACTAGCACGCGCAGCGTTTCGGGCAGGAGACACACCTTTGTGTGTCACACACACACCTTTGTGTTGGTGGCCAGTGTGATTTATTTTCTGGCTATTTTTTGAATAAAGGGAAAATCGTATGGATGAACAAGTATCTTCTGTTTCTGTCCTGCATTGTGGCCTGTTAAATTTAAAACTGTTTCCCCCCTTGTATGTTTTATATTTTGGAGACGTGATCTTCATTAATATCCTCCACGTTGTGTTTTGGTACAGCCTGTCGTGTGTGGCTTTGTGTTTTGTTATAGTCATCGAGTATTCTGGTTCAGAGTCACCTTAGTTCTGGTGTATTTGTGGTCACCTGGTGCCGAGTTTTCTCTTAAGAGACGATGTGTCATTTTAGAAGATGTCTCCATGCTTGCATACAATAGCCCAAAATGCTTATGTAATATAAAACTTTGTAGGAAATCAGACTTAACTTAAACTGCACATACAGGTAATGTCAAATTGTAGGTAACTGGATTGCAAAATTGTAATTGCAATTACAAAAATGTAATTGCAAAATTGGTTCTTATCCTATAAATAGGAGCTGCCTCGTATGGGCCAATAAGCCTTCTGCAGTTACCGTTATTCTTATGTTCTTAATGGGGTGACTTAAATACAAGGTATGTAAACCATATTGGGTAATTATACCACTAGTAAGGCAGTAATTCTAGGCTAAGTGTTTTGGCATTTGCTGTGATATTTGGATACATAAAATCACTTTATTTTGCAAGGGATAAATAGGGCAGTTGTAAGTCAAACACCCATGCTATGTTAAATCTAACCTAATAGTGAACAGTCTCAAAATTATTTCTATTTCGATTCTTCTCATTTCTTGTTTTTTCACTCCACGTGATTTACAGTTGGTTTTAACTACAGTCTTTAAGAATTACATGTTGATTTTGAAATGTTCACATGTTCTTCTGTTTGAAGGTGCTGTGAAATGTAATCTGTATTGGGGTCAGCGGGGGACCAGTTAATGTCACATTTGTGGTGTTCTGTGTGGTGGTATGCAGTATAGGGGGGATGGTTTGGTGGGCTTTCTACTCCCTTTCTTTAGCATCTGTCCTTTGTGTTGGTGGCCAGTGTGATTTATTTTCTGGCTATTTTTGGAATAAAGGGAAAAACAGAATTTTCTTCTGTGTAAAAATATAAATTGGTATTGACTGATGAACATATAATTCAAAATTATTTGACACAAAATTTTGGCTTTAAAAGGCCTGAGCTAGCTAGAAAGTAAACCATTAATTAAAGCTTTGAGAGGTAATGTTTTAAATAACAGAACAAGACAATTTTTTCTGTCTTTGGATATTGTTACCATACTAATAATATTTTTCTCTCCTATTGTAGGTCACAATGAAGGGGGAACGCCTAGTTTCTCACTTGAGGCTATTGAAGGTACCAGGGGCTGAACACCTAGATGGAGATGATTACGAGTGGCTCTTCCTCGCTGATGACACGATCCCATTAGCTTTATTTTTGGAGTGGTTTGCTGAGAATGTGTCGGCTAATGATGTTCTCACAGAAGAAGATTTAAATGAGTAAAGTTATCTAGTGTACAATTTAGTGTTTGTAATGCATCTTATTTTAAATTGCAACAGTAATTTTATGAAAATCTGGCTAGTGTTATATTGTTTTTGCCATAACTTGGATGCTTAAAGCATGACCAGAAATCAGCTATGTAATTTATATATATTAATATATATGTAATATATATATAATATATAATATAATATATAATATAATATATATATATCACACATACATACACAAGAAGGTACATTGGATTTATGAGAGTACATTGTATTGATGTTTTTACATTCTTGCAAAGCCACTAGCATGCATTGCATTTTGGACATTAGTTAGGTTAACAGTAAACATCATTCAAACTGACTTCTTGTGTAAGCGTGAATAAAATTGTTGTATTATTTTTGTATTAAGCAGGTGAAAACATAGTGGAGAATTACATTTGCATATGGTGTACCTTTATAGTTGACCTATGACTGGGGATATTTTCTGCAGACTGTGGCATAACTGTAATTCTGCAACCTTCCACTGACTTGCCTAAATTACATAAGTAAATAAGGTACTGTACTGTCCTGTCTCTGATTATCAGTTCTCATAAACTGTACTTCTATCCTCAGTACAAAAGAACGTGTGGCGAGTCATACACATCATAATCAGGATTTACCTTGCAGGATCAATTACTTGCCTTGTTTATTTAGTGATGGCTAATTAACTTCAGGCAGTCGGGCTTTTATTTTTTTCCCCAAGCGAGTTTTTGCTTATAGTAAGCTGCACCCATGAAAGCTACTAAAAATCTACCAGAAACGGGAGTTTCATTGCATTCAAAGCTTGATTTTTTTCAATGGTTTGATTTAAAAAATAGATCACAGGGTCAAAAATGGTTTTTCTAGTCGCCCGCAAAAATTGTCTTAGAATTTGAGGTTACATCAATCTTCAATGGTCAGATGATTATCAGTAATCATAGGTCAGTGACCTGTAATGCAATTATTATATTTAATGTGTAATTTATATTTTGCTTTTGCAACAACCCTGCCATAGCAATATTTTACCTAAACTTGCGTTATTGTTGCATCAAATCATTAGAAAACAAATTGAGGTATTAAATGACATAGAAAGAAAAACAGTGCTTAGGAAATATTGTAAATTAAAGAAATAATTTTAGTGAATTTCATCCTGTACAATAGTTTTACAGTAGAGTATTTTAAATTGTGTTCTCTGACTTGGTTGCCTGGTATGAAAATCTTCAAAAATTTGTGAAAAAATATATATACAGTAATTTATTGTGATTATTCCTTATATTTTTGTCCTGCGTTAGCAGGTTTGAAGAACTTAAGTCAAGAGGTGAAGTACTAACAGGCTATCATCTAGAAAGATTAGACTCTTGTTTATCTGGACTACCAGCTGCATTTGCTACATCGGAGGAAGAAGGCGAGAAAGATGTATTTACTGAGGAGGAGTGCAAGAGACTAGAGGGCCAGCTAAAAATTTTGAAAAATAGAAAAAGTCAGCTAAGGTACATGGAATTTTCTCAGATAATGATTTTGTTAAGTTAATAGAATCAATATACAGTAGTTGCATAAGAAATTATAAAAGTTAAATGAATGTCATTCTTTGAACTGAGCTTACTTGCCAAGGAAAGTTTATTTCCCCACAGTTTAGGGACCATAATAGTATTTCCAGTTCAACCAAGCAAGTCTAACTGAAAGAGCAATTGCTTTGTTATGCAAGATGGGTTTGGTATCAAAGAGATTATGATTAGCATTCCATTTTGCTTAACAGTGTCTAATATTTTATTTGATGCAGGTGGATTTTGTTATACATAACGGTATATGTACAAAATTTTGAATAGTTTGCTACACAATTGTTTAAAAGTGGATGTTTAAGGAAATGTTTATGTATGTTTGCTAAGAAAATTAAAAGTGATGTTTCCATGGATTTTAATAGTTTTATATTTAGTCTAAATAATTACCACAAATAATTACCTAAAAAAAAAAGTGTGCCATCAAATATCTGAGCTTTCCTTTGTGGTATTTTGTAGCACTAAGACCCAGAGTACTTTTGGTAACTGCTTTTCTGGTGCACATCAGGAATGTGCACCAGAATATGCACGCATCTTGCCCAAGTTGTTCCCACCACATGGCAAGGGATGTACAGTATTAGTGTAGTGTTCCTTAGATTTATTCTAAAATGATTATCATTCTTATGTGTAACTACTTGTACCCGGCCACGCGTTACTGTGGCTCAGCAATGTATACGCATTGCTGAGCCATCCCCCTTGTCCTCCCCACCATCCCCCACTCCCATGTCACCTTGTTCTCCTCACCATTCTCCATTCCCCTGTCCCCTGATCCCCAACTTCCCCGTTCCTTCGTCCTCCCCACCATTACCCACTCCCTTGTCCGATGCATTCCTAAATGATCTGATGTTCCCATGTTCAGACATCATGGGAACATCAGATGTTCCCATCACTGAAATATAAGAAAAAGTTAAAAATAACTAAATGAAAAACAATGAAAAAATAAACAAATAAACTATACTCATGAAATGAACGATATGGTAAACAACACAGCTCAATTCCAATGCAATGTCACACAAAATAATTGAATCAAAATGAGATAAATCGAAATCTATGAAAATTAAATTTTATGAATGAAATCGAAAACATTGAAATGGAATCGTAACATACTGTATTTAGTATAGCGTGTGTTGCTATTATGGGCAACAGATGGTGCTATTTAAAAAAAAAAAATATGTTTTTACCGGTCACAGGTGTGGCATCTATATAGTAGGTATAAAATAGTAGGTACAGTATTCAAATGGAACATTGTGTCAAAATTTCAAAGCCATCGGTGAAGAACTTTCGGAGATTACAGCGTGTGTTGCTCCTACGTCCAACTGATGGCGTTGTTTTTCAAAAGAAGCATGATTTTTCCTGTCACAGGTGAGGCATGTATATAGTAGGTATATAAAAATGCGCGCCTAATAGAGTACAACTTTGTGCCAAAATTTCAAAGCAATCGGTAAAGAGGTTTCGAAGATTCCCCTCACGTGAAAAACAGTTTTTAAACAAAAAATCATGTTTTTTCCCGTCACAAATGGGACATCTATATATTATGTATATTAAAACTCGCTCGGATGCAAATGGAACGTTGTGTGAAAACTTCAAAGCAATCGGTGAAGAACTTTCGGTGATTTGCGATTTTGAACAAACGAACATTTACATTTTTATTTATATAGATATGCAGTATTGAAATTGTTGGACTTTTATTACCATTATTTATTTTTTAATTATATTATTTTGTCTTCTAGTACCCATAAGATTGAGTTGTGGGAGGAGCTGTATAAGAGTAGTGAGCATTTAAAGGAAATGGAGGTGCTTTTGAAGAACCATCAGGAAGGTGTATTGAACACCAGCTGTCACCTTACAAAAGCACAAGAAGAGCTTGCCAAAAGCCTTGATTCACTGACAAATGTATTTCTGGCATTTGATAAAACCGTGAGTGCTGCCCAAGGGTAATTTTTGTAGAGATTTTAACACGTAATTGCATGTCTTCTTTTGGTTATACTTATTCTCTAATAGTTTCTTACTAATAGAACTTCTAGAAGTTTTAACTTTTATCAGGCAAATGATAAGACTGGTTAATTAAATGAAATTGCATTAGTATCTTTTTTTCCATCTTGAACATATCTAAGACATTAAAAAAATTATATTTTCCATAGAATTGAGGACTTTGAATATAATAAATATTTTTGTTTTTAATGTGGATATTTTAGTACAGTATCTTGCTGATCCCAGTTTCTATTTAGAAAAGTTTCCAGTGCGATGTTTATTCCCTTAAGTATACAGCAAAGTTGTGTAAATGTAGACTCATTCTAAACTCATTCTGCAGCAAAAGAACTTTGCTTGGTTCTTTTATTTGTTTGTAATTATTATAACATTTTCTTAGCTGAGCTCCCTCAGTAGCTTCCCTACTTGCCTAATTGTGCTTGTGGGGGTTGAGCTTTGGCTCTGGTCCCACTTCTCAACTGTCAATCAACTGTTGTACAAATTCCTGAGCCTATTGGGCAATATCATATCTGCATTTGAAACTGTGTATGGAGCCTGCCTCCTTCACATCACTGGAGGCAGACTCCATACACAGTAGAGTATGCACACATTCCCATACACACATTCCCACACACACACACTCCCTATGCTTAAACCTTTGGCATTAGTAGGACTTGTGCTTTGTTTCAGGCTCTGAACAAACTTATTTGCCAGAAGACAAATACCTTGTCAATTATGTAATTATTCTGAACTGATAAAATAAAACATGCATGATTTTGTTTTTGGTTTATCAGCCAGCAGATGAGGTAAAGTTCTTCTGTCAGCTGGACCTTGATGAATGGTACCAAGTGGAGGCCAAGTTCACAGATAGTCTCAAGACTTACGTCAGAAAACAGTTCAAGGAGGTAAGCATGGCATAGTTAATATTAATTATATCCAGTGCCAAAAATTTGATCTCAATACGGTATTATCGTATGCTATTTTAAACATAAAACTAATTGTTCTACTATTACTTTATTATTTGTTGCCCTTGCACGTTTAATGGTGAGAAAATAATGTAACAATAGTACAAGCAGCTTTATATAGTTGCGTATGTATTTGATTGTTAGTGCTAAAAGTGTGCGTGAAATAATATATATATATATATATTTTTTTTTTCATAACATTCAAATGGTACTGAGTAGAGAAAAATGTAGATGTGGATTTTAGCATAATGTTCTTTGCATGACTCGGAATAAATGGCTTCAACAGAAATTAAGAGGAGGATTTTTGTAGTTAAAAGCAACCGCAAAAAGATTTGTTTATTGGTGCTTGCCATATGTAGAAAAATCCAGAGTTCAATGCAGTACTGTGTCTGTGTATGGTAAGCTACTCGGCAGCTTCCCAGTTATGTAACCTGAAGCAACCCATCGTTGGAGGACACGCCAAGACTCTGTGAACCATTAAGTGTCTACCCAGGACCCAGATTCACAAAGCAGTTATGCATGCACTTACAAACCTGTACTGTACATCTTTTCTCGATCTTTGGTGGCTTTGTTTACAATTATTAAACAGTTAATGAGCTATGAAGCACCAGGAGTCTGTTTATAACAATAACAACAGTTGATTGGGAAGTTTTCATGCTTGTAAACTGTTTAATAAATGTAACCAAAGCCGTCAAAGATTGAGGAAAGATGTACACGTTCGTAAGTACTTTTGTAACTGCTTAGTGAATCTGGCCCCTGGACAAGAATCTGACCTCAAAAAGATTAGCCTGGGAATTGGAGATCACCAGAGTTGAGCAATGAAAAGAAGGCAAACAATTGGTACCGCCTGACAGTCATTTATGAACTGCCTCGGGAAACAACCCACCAACTCCTACAGGAAAGGATGGGAAGCTACTTGGGCAGGGGACGGGGGTACCAGAAAGAAGCCAATTATCAGAATCCTTCCATACTGTACCATGACTTTAAGACAGTCATTATATGTGCAGATTTTGATTCTATAATACCATACTTCACACTTTCAGTGGGAGCTTTCATCTTGAACCTTGCTCTGAAAATTTAAATTGCATTCCCTGCTTTCAAATGTGCTTCACAAGTTAATTCAGGCACATGAAAAATACTCTTAATTAAGAGTGTACCAAGGTGGTGTGGCCATGTTGAAAGAAGGAATGAAGTTAAACTAGTGAAGCATATGTATTTCAGAGAATTAGAGTAGGATGAGAAGATGGGGAGACATGTTGAGTGTGTTGATGTAGGGATTGATTATAATAGCATACAGAGTATTGTAGAAAACAAGGCTACATGCCAGCAGTTTGTAAAAAGCAAGTTTTTGTATACAGTACGTGTGTGTGTGTGTGTGTGTGATGATAATTCACAAGGAGCACTCTACAGTAAACCTAGTCTTACGAGGCAATGGAGTGTTATGCATTTTAGAATACAGCGAATGAACTGGTGTCATTTTTCATTATTATTTTTTTAACAGATACCTTCCCACCCTTTGAAAGTGGAAACCTGGATTATTTCATAATTACTGTATATAAATATTTTTAATTGAAATTAAATACATAAAATGGTATGTACGTTTGGTGCACACTTCTGTAATGCTGTCACATGTACAGGGTGTAAAGGATGTGGCTGGTGTTGATGATAGTTCGGAGTACTGCTTACTAGATGTGAGTAACATGGATCTGCAGCTGGTACGGGGTGCTGGAAATGCTGAGTATGCACACAATGTAGGAGAGCTAAAAAGACTTGAAAAACTGTGAGTAGCATTATTTCCTTTTTATGTATACTGTACTTGGTATTCTCTGGGAAGGCCTGTTCAGTAGCTTCCTGTGATAAAGCAAAGCCTTAGGAATATGCACAGGCCTGATGGACCCACTTTGGCCATCTAGGAGCTGGTACAGTACCACAATTGGACTCGATCTACAAAGTGAGTGTGGAGATCAGAGGTCTACCCAAAACAAAAACAAAAAGTAAAGAAATTAAGTGCTATGAAACAAGTGGCTGCTTGAAAGAAAAATAAAAATTTTGATGTAAACAAGGTAAATAAATGTTGCCCCTGTGGAAACTACTGTGATGTGCCCGGCTGCCACCCAGGTCATCCATGGGTCCCAATCAGCCATGCATCTTGACGACTCACTTGGTGTACGTCGGGTGTAGGTCAACCTGAAAGGCTAAGTAGTATTGCCCTTCTCTGGAACATTATTTCCATCCGGAGCCATTGTTTTCCTTTCAGTATGCTTCATAATTGTCATTGTTTTGTTCCATCCACATTGTAATTAATTAAGTGTAGTTACAGGACGAGAGCTATGCTCGTGGTGTTCCATCTTCCCAGCACTCTTTGTCGTTTAACGCTTTGAAACTACTGACGGTTTTGGCCTCCACCTTCACACTTAACTTCTTCCAACAGTCTACCATTCTTTTTGCAAAAGTAAATTTTCTTATACAGTATTTCTTTGGCATCTTTGTTTAGTCGGCTTAAATCTATGACCTCTTGTTCTTGAAGTTCCAGGTCTCGAGAATTCTGCCTTACTAATTTTGTCGATTCCCGTCATTATTTTGTTTATAGTGATCATATCGCCTTTATTTCTTCTATCTTCTAGCTTTGGCATATTTAATGCATCGAACCTCCTTGTAGCTCTTGATTTCAGTTCCGGAAGCCATTTATTTGCATGGCTTTGAATCTTTTTCCAGTTTGCTGATGTGCTTCTTAAAGTATGGGCACCTTACAACTGGTGCATATTCCAACACTGGTCTCACAAAGGTCGTGAACATTTTCTTCAGTATTTCACCATTTAATGTATTTAAAAGTAATTCTGAAATTGGAAAGTGTAGCATAAGCTCTTGTCACAGTGTTATTTATGTGGTCCTTGGGTGACAGTTTTCTATTTACAACCACCCCTAGATCTCTCAGAATTTTTGTTTTTCTTCACTTTTTCACATAATTTATAGGTTGTGGGGTATATTTTCTCCTAATTCCACATTCAACAAAATGGCATTTATTCACATTAAATTCCATTTGCTAAGTGGTTCTCCAAACTTATTTTGTCCAGGTCTTCTTGAAAGGCATGACAATTGTCTAAGTTTCTTCCCTAGTATCTTATATTGCCGCAAACATGTTCATGTAATTCTGTATTCCTTCTGGTAGGTTGTTTGTGTAGGCAGTGAACATTACTGGTGCAAGAACCGAATCCTGTGGTACTCTACTTGTGACATTTCTCCAGTACAATATGTTGCCTCTGATTATTGCCCTCATTTTTCATTCAGTTAGAAAAAAATTTCATCCATGTTAAAAGCCTCCCTGTCACTCCTCCAGCATGTTCCAGTTTCCAGAGCAATCTTTTATGTGGGACTGTTGAAAGCCTTTTCTAGGTTCAGATAAAAGCATCTACCTACATTTTGAAACATTTGTTCTGTATTTCCCTCTATTTGCCAAGGTTACCCTCCTTTGGTTGCATTTTTGGCTTTGGGTCCCAACTGCTGTCTGGGTTCTTTAGTAGTCCATCTTGGAGTTAGATTTTTGCCCCTTATTGTTTGTTCAGTGACAACATTTTGCCCTTAGGGCTCTTTAGGCATTTGGTGCTCTGTAGTTTCTCTTTTACCTTGAGCCCTGCTCTTATACTGTCTGCCACTGGTCAGCCTTTTCTGGCTTTCCTCTTCCTTATGTTTCCAAGTTTTTCTTTCCAAACAAGCCATCCTCCATTGGGAGTAAGCTTGGAGACCTACTGAGGTGGCCTTCTCATTAGCTAGCTTTTCCCACCTTGATGTCTACTTCCCTGTGGCAGGATTGTCAGGGGTTTTGTTCCAGCAGCTTATGAGTGAAGGGCAAGGCAAATCAAAATCCAGGTTACATGATCCCTATATCTGGTTGCAGCCATGTACATCACTGTTATGGTAGTTTCCTCAAGGTAACAATAATTTGCCTTGGTTGTATCATGGTTACTATTTTCCTTGTGCCTAACTTTTGTTTTTCTCTCTCAACTTGTTTTCATGAAGATGTCTGTTCTTCAGCCTCCTCCTTGTAGAGTGACCCATATTCCAGTCCTGGCTGCAGGTAAGTTAGGGTGAGTCTTGGAGGCCTGGTGCATGTACCCTAAGGCTTGGCTATATAAATGCTTTAACCTCTAGGAGTGAGTCTTCCAGGAAAGTGTCATTTCATTCAGCACTTGATTTTGTAAACTTCATTCCTCCTGGAATGTTACATGATGGATGGCTATGGCAGTAAAGCCTTTACCAAGCATGCTGTTTTGCCTTTCTTCCATTTCCTTTACATACTAATGTGACTTTCTGGATGATGATAATATTGCCCCCACATAGAGGTGTGGAAGCATGTGGGGTTCAGAACTTTACTGGGGAAAACTGCCATAAAAGCCAAAAGAGTAAAACTTTAAACACACTGTAATAAAAATTTGTTTATTAATAACAAATCTCTAAACAAAAACATTTAAAACAATTGAAATGCTGCCTTGCTGACCTTCCCTCTGCCACCAGATGTTGGCACCAGCACCATATGGCACAGGCAAGGTGAACCCTCTTCACACTAGATGGGCTATTATCTATCCATGATCAGTGCCCTAGAAGGACTGTTTAATTTATATAGAGTATTTAACATATTTAATAATTGGTAAACTAGTACTAATGTCAATACAGTAGTTCATCTCCTGACATAGATCAAATGTTAGTACTGTTTAGTATATCATGTGTACATCTGTGTTGTTTGTCATTCTTGTGACTTGTGTTCCATCCATATTCTCTTCCTTGAGGAGTTCAGGGGTCTTCTCTTGGCTGTTTCAGTTAGCTGGACCACTGGATCAGGAGTTCAAAATTTTAATTCAGTCCTCCAGCCCTTTCTGCTGATCCAATGTTCTGTTATCTAAGGTCTTTTTTTTAATTATTTCCTGTGTATGCCTTACCCTTATGTGAGCCTCCTAATTCCATTTTCAGTATTCATTACCTTGTACTTATTTGGATTGAATTCCAGCAGCTATATCTGTACTAGCTCCAGAAGTTTGTCGTGGTCTTCTTGCAGCACTGCAATCCTCCTTGGTTCTTGCTTTCATGAATTTTGTCTTATGCATCCATTGGCATATATGAGTTAACTCGGGTAAGTCATTTATTTACATAAATTAGAAACAGCATTGGTTCTAGAACAGAGCCCCAGGGAAATTCCATTTTCAGCTCCTAACCAACCTGACATTAAACTGCTCATTGAGTAATTCCAAGTTCAATTGGTTGTCCGATAGTTTGTTAATGGATAGGATTGTTTGATTGGCTACCTATCGGATCCAATTCAGTGTGTTTTGGTTGGCGACTTTTTGTTGTGGGCAGTTTTCCTCAATTATGAGCTGATCATGATCGTCACATGGTCATTAGAGTGGTACTGGCAGCTGGTGGGCAGAGTTAATTACAGAATCCTGGTGTGTTAAAGGTAGCCCTTCTGCATCAGTACCATAAAATAAGAGAATTGGCTGTGGACTGCCCAGAAAAAAGCGTCTTGTTATTTTTGTTTATTGTTTGGCACAAATTTGTGAAACTTGTTTAATTTTTTTATAGGCTAAGACAGACTGAAGAGTGGAAAATGGAAGGTCTGTTGCTTCAGGATCGAAGACGTGCAGAGATAGAAGAGGCCAATAGACAGTTTGCAGCCATCCACAGAAGCCAGCTGTCGCCTAATTTGGCATTACTTCAGTAAATTGATTATATTTTTTGTTCTTGAATATTCATCACTTATTTCTTTTTAATTAGATTAGATATGTTCTTCAGGAAGATTTTTCTTTACAAAAATCTTACAAATACTTCATTCCTCTGACCACTTTTTATTTATAGTTTATTATAGTACTGTATCTATATATAACGAGTTACTTAACCAAATTTAGTTCGTGTTGTTTCTGGGAGGTTTCCCAAGTAGCTCCTTGAAGCTATAACCCAGAGTTACCAAGCTTTGGGAACACACCAGACCTCTGAGACCCAGGAGAACCTACCATATACCAGCACCAGAATCTGGCTGTCAAACAGGTGAGGTAATCCTTGCGATGAAAAATTAACCCAAAACCAATATAAAAAAAAACAACCAGAATGCACAAACACCACTGAACAAGCAACTGCTTGGAATTTTTTTTAAACCTGACAATAATGCAAATAATCATTACAATGGAGAAATCTATATCTTGACCAGACCACACACTAGAAGGTGAAGGGACGACGACGTCCCTGACTGGACATCGACTGGGACGTCGTCGTCATCGTCCTTTCACCTTCTAGTGTGTGGTCTGGTCAACATACTTTAGCCACGTTATTGTGACTCACCGCCTGCAAATCTATACCTTGTTACATCTGCTTGCCAGGCAACTCAGGATCTCAGGTGTGACAAGGGGGCCATGCTGTTCTGCTAGGCCTGCTGCTGACTTTTGTCTTGGAAAAGTGATGCTGGCTATTCCTGGATCATTTAGTCCATGCAGGGTCTGTGCTTGGTGTTATTATGTATTACTCAGCAATGATATAAAGGCACCAGCTGCATATCCACTTTGTGGACACTTCTTGCTACTATTCATCTTCTTTGAGCGTCAGAAAGGTGTTTGCTTCTCTTTATTACTGCATAATCCTTCAGTTCCAGTTATTAGGAGCTGTTCTCCTTCTCAACAAAATGTTCATATTTTTTTAAAAATTCGTCTAAAATCAATTTCTGAAAATATTTTGATGAAAGTTTCACGACACTGACTCCAATAAGTTGGAGATGTGTTTAACATTTTTAAGTTATATCTACGTAATTCAAATATTTTTTTGCTACCAGACCCCCCAGTATTCGCTGTAATATTTGCGGTCTAAGGGTTAAAGGCCTGACAGCTGTGAGTGGACAGCACTTTGGATTCGTAGTTCTAAGGTTCTGGGTTTGATCCCCGGTGGAGGCGGAAACAAATGGGCAGAGTTTCTTTCACCCTGATGCCCCTGTTCACCTAGCAGTAAACAGGTACCTGGGAGTTAGACAGCGGCTACGGGCTGCTTCCTGGGGATGTATAACAAAAAGGAGGCCTGGTCGAGGACCGGGCTGCAGGGACGCTAAGCCCCGAAAGCATCTCAAGGTAACCCTGAGAATTTTATAGGTGGTAATCATGTCTCCTCTAACTCTTGTCTTCCAGTGTTGGAAGGTTTAGTTTCAATAATCTTTACTCGTAGCTCAGGAACTAGCCTGGTGGCATACCTCTGAACCTTTCCTAACTTTGTTTTATGTTTGACTAGATATGGACTCCATTCTAGAGCCACATACTCCAGTACTGATCTGACAAATGTGGTATACAGTACAAGGTTCTGAATGATTCCTTACGCAAGTTATGTTAGGCAGACATACGTCTTTGCTCATGGAGGGACTGAAGGAGGGCTGCTTGGAAAAAGTTTCCTATATATTCAGTACATTATGATTTCAGTGCTAATCCTTATCATACAATGAAATTGGGAAATGTAATAATGAAAGTTTATGGTTATACAGTACTTGTAAATATGCATGGAAACATATTTAGACATGTTTCATTGAACATAACTTCACATTCTGTGTTGAATATTTTCTTTTTTAGGGTTTCTATCCCTCTAACTAATGCTCTTGCATCATAGTTTAATTCGAAGAGGATTTCTCCAAATCTCATATTTGTTCAAAGTTGGTGAAAAGAGCCATAACTGTGTAATGTATTATACAGTACTTTTATAATTTACTCAACATTTCGAACCTATGAATTCATTCTCAAGCGAGGAATGAAAAGCCATAAGGAAACATGATTTATAACACAGGGAAGTCAGTTGCATACAAATTGTCAGGTGAATGACAAAAAAAATTAGAGTACAGTAGAGTGAAAGTGAGTTGATAGGCCAATGACCTAAGCAAGTTAGTCAGGTGATAGGGGTAATGAGAACTTTGGGGACTGTAGTTACCTGTAATTTTGGGCAGTGATATCAGCATTGACTTGTTTGCATTTCAGTCTTGCTTTCATTCTCATGGTGGGGAGAGTGAATAATTCAGTTTGATTCTTTATGGTGGGTTGTTGTGGTTTTTATATGTAGGGCTTCAAGGATTAGTAATCTTACAGGTTTGGTCTTTATCTAATATGCAAGTGGTGGTGTTCAGTATTTCTTTTGTTTGAGCAATATCATAGACTTCTCTTGTGTGATTATTAGGGGCAACGGGTTGAAGATGCCAGGTTAAACGCCTTGGGAACTTGTTCAAAATCATACCTATTCAAATATCTTGATTACTTTTTTCTTTTGTGGCTTATTATGGTTTATTATACTTTTATGGGTTTTTTCTTTTGGCTGGCTTATTTTGAGTAATGATGTAAAATTTGTTTAGGCAACAAGCACGAGAGGCAGGGGAATCTACCACACTTGTAGAGCGGGAAAGACAGCAACAGCAGCAAGTGATGCACTCTCTTATAAAAGAGGTGGTAGAACTGGAATGTGCAAGGACCATCTCCGGAAATTATAAGCTTAAACGCCAGAGACAAGAATATTTTCTCAATAAGCAAAAAATTGTAAGTTGAAATTATTTAAATCTTCTGTATGGGGAACAAAATATTTTACTTATATTCATTGCTGTTATATAATTGATTTTACGACCTTGCCTCCAAAGAAAGCTGTCTGCTAAGAGGAGTCAAAAGCCATCTTTTCCTGTACCCACCTGTGTAAAAGAAAACATGTACCATATAGGCCCTATTGCTGTTAAGTTAAACGGCTTTTCTAGGCTAGCTTCTTGGTACCTCTGTGGTGCATTATGCTCTGGTACCACAGATATAACACTAACAGGCCATTGGATTTGCACAGGTAAGGAAAAGGATACATCGTGATCAGAAATTTACCTGTAACCGAGAAACGTTGCTCAAAGTACAGTACTGTACAGGCGAAGCAAAACAAAACAGGAATTTTGTTTAGAAAAAGAAATGAAAGTAAAGCAGGTAATCATTGGGTTACTAATGATAGTCATTGTGTCAATACAAATGAAGCTGCCAGGTGGCAGATCAGGTCTCTATGGGGTTCAGCCACCTAACAACCCTCACTCGTGTGCCTGATGCCCCGCCATACACACAATGTAACAGTCACTATTATTACCTTGTTACAAAGTTGCTTTTGCTCAAAGCTCACTTTTGTCTCTTCTACACAAAGAAGCCTTTCATTTCTGGTCTTTGATATTTGTCAGAGCTGAAAATCCCTGTTTACAACACTCTTTGCCGTTGACTCTTCCCACTACACTTGCCATCCTCTCTTGCTGTATGTGGGGTGCACTGCACCCTTTTGGAACCACTGGCCAAAAGGAATTAATTTAAAATGCAATTTCATGCATAACAACACATGTTAATGCAAGTTGACCATAAGTGGTTGTGTTGCATCTGTATGAGTTTTCATTGTAAGGGCAAGCATGTAGAGCATATTTTGTGAGTATATATGGAACACTTTAATAAAAGATGTTAATTTTCCAGATGTATGGAGACCTTTATTCCAACTTGTATTCTGTATTTATCATTAAGTACTGTGTATCAACTGCATGTGATAGATAGAGAATGAAGGAATATCAAATAATACGACTTAATTTAATAATTTCTAAGGATTACTTAATAATATTAATACAGTACAATATTTTTAATTTTAGCAAGCATTCAGACTGGATGTCTGGTCAGATATCTAGTATCCATCTTTTTAAATTGGCATTATGTCTAGAACACTGACTCAGGAACGTAATTTACTAGACATTCTTACTATAAATTGCCAATAAAATATATTGAACTATAAAAAAATTCCTAATTTTGCACTTACAGGTTATGGATGAGCTGGTAACACAAATGGCCCGTTACAGCTTGATCAACCTTATCTTGGACATAGAGAGAGATCAAATTGCAGATATTCTTATGTTTCTGCAGAGTATTAGTTCGGTCATTACTCAAAAGGATGTTGGCTACCAAAAAAGAATGGTAAGAATATATGCTTGTATTGTAATGTTAGATAATGTATCTAAGGAATGATTTTCAGCTCTTCTCTGATGCAGGATGTTTTTTAAATCTTGAAAACCTATACAGTATTTAGTTAGGTGAGGTTTAAGACAAACCAACTAGTCTGGCCTACTTGGAGCAAGGACTATTGAATACTGACTTGTTCTCTTTGTATGGAAAGTAGCAAGTTTGTTCAGAAATCAAAACACTATCAGGTGAACCACTCTTAACCATTTGGCTCCAAAGTCAATAGAGGTAGATTCATGATAAATATGCCCTAGAATGCATAAAGCAATCAGTCCACAAGCCTAGAATTTTTTTTTCCAAATCATATAATGTGTGACCACGTATTCTTGACCTTCAAAATAGGGCCCCTAGACTAGTAAATGCTATTAGCAATGTAAGGGCATGAGCTTCTTAGCCATACATTGGAGTACAAGTTATCGAAACATGTTCCTTCCTTCCTTCCTTCTTGTATGTGTACGTTACGTAAATTGGAATACAGGACAGATGAAAATTAATTTTACAGTGTTATTTTGTGGGAAAAAAACTATTTTAGTATGTTTCATCATACATTTATTGAAAGATATTTTAATGATTTTGTACTACAACTCTTACCTCCTCTAAGATTAGCTGTAATTACCTAAGTGTAGTTGCAGGATGAGAGCTACGCTCGTGGTGTCCCGTCTTCCCAGCACACTTTCTCGCTGTGGTGTAGTTGTTTATATTTTGGGCAAGAAAATTGCTATACAGGATGTGTAACTTGTATGAAACAAACGGTGAGAGACACGAAGGGCTTAGAAACTTGTTCAGCTTTTCGTTTCAATTTTCACCAGAATAGGGGTTTGTTTTGGGACACTTACCTTTCTGGGTACCTGACCCTGTCGATGGCAGACATAGAATGCTTCCAACCACACGGGGGTTTCTATAGGCCATTGCTCCTCGTGCCTCTTCCGAGGGGGCCAGGTTCTGGCTCGTGGTCCCCGGAAGGCCCACAGAACTCCATACACTGATTGATGCCAAAGTCTGACATTAGCATATCAGCCTGGATAGCTCAGGTGATCCTCCGGGTCTCGCCCAGAAAATGGCGTTTCATTACATTCAACGCTGGTTTCTAATTCTAAAAAAAAATTAATGCTTTGCAACATTTTAGCAGTCATCCCTTTACATCTCAGCATTATTAGCGTCTTTAAAAAAAAAAAAAGATTCATTGATTTGCATCGTCAGAGGTGTGCGAGAATTTGCGAGAACAAGCTGTTTATGAAGTACATACTGTTTGTGAAGATCTAGCTCTAACCATGTTAATTTATATATATTGCATTTGGAAATACAAATTTTATTGGTTTTGGTACACAAATTTGTGAATGTTAAGTTTTTTTTATACTTCTAAAAAACTTGACCGACTCTGGTGTGGGTAGGCCCCATATAATGTGAATTACTAGATGTAGATAGTAAGTGGTGACTGGGAAGCATGTGGCTGTTTGTGTATTTAAACAGTCTTCTTTTACGACGCCAGAGAAAATTCAGGGAGTCTGTACATGTACAAATTTATTTTTACTTGCTCAGTTTCATAAACTATAATACCCAGTATTGAATAGCAAACATTTCCCATGTACAGAGTCACCTGCAAGGCCTGACTAAAGAACACGGAGAGCACAAGGCATCAGGTCAGCTTCCCTTGCCCCTGATGACCCTCTCCCACCTTCTGGCTGGTGTTGCCAAACCTCAGCCCAAGGAAGAGCAGATTGGTGGGCCAGTGACTGGCAAGTACTTGCAGAAACAGGTAGCCATGCTTCAGAAAGACCTTGATGTAGGTAGAGAACAAGTGTCCACTACAAGGAATCCACAATTTTCTCGACTCAATAGAATGCAAGTAAAGATTCTTTTTTCTATTTCCTATCAAATCTTTTGACTTAATACGAAAATAATTTATATACATTGTGCCTTAGCAGATTTCTTTAATAATTTCAAGCGACTTTAAGATGCAACATAAAGGTGAGCATAAAATAAATTGCTCTGAAAAACTTATTTGTTCTTTTGTCATTGTTATTTAGCATCCAGGAAGAAAAAAAGTTCAAATAAGAGAATCTATCTCTTATGGTTTAGCTGTAGTGGCCCAGAAAAGTTGCATTTTGTTTTTTAGTAGTAGAAATGAGGAGGTGCCACACTGGAATAACTGTGTTTATTTATTTTAATTGTTTCTTGCTTTATTTATATAGTTTTTGGTTCTAATAATTTGTACTGATGTGTCAAAGATGGGGTTCATTAGGTATACCTTTTAAAATATACCATAGGCATGCACAGACAGGTGTTTAAATATATGCACACCATGTATTTATTCATAATAATGTATTTATATAAGCCTAATTCTTATACTGTAATTGGACAATGCACACATTTTGCCTGAAATATATAATGGTAATCATTATAACTTTGATTTGTAACGAAGAAACGAACAGAATTTTCTTTAGAATATCTTAAGAATTGCACTTTTTTTTCTCTTAAGGACAATGAAGTGTGTAGTGCTAGAGACAAGACTGTTTGGCAGCCCTGGTTGTCTCAGAACATTGCCAGCAGTTTGGTTGGAGCCGGAACTAGCAGATCGCTACTTTGATTTGGATCAAGAATTGGAGAATTTCAAGCAAAAATTAATGGTACTAAAACTTGAATATGAAGAAAAGAAAAAAGTATGTTAATATTCAGTACTGTATTTCAAATTTATTTTCAGGTCTGTCTTTCTCTAGATTCTATGCACATTTTGCTGTACTGTGTAGATATTTAGCAGAATGGCTCGTGGAAAACCTATCAATTCTTTACACTTTATTTGTAACCTTCTTCACCTCTGTATAAAAATCTGCTTCATTCATTCTTATCCTTTCATACATTTTATTATTATTCCATTTTCCAGCCTCAATAATTTACTCCACTTGCACAACTTGAAATATCAGAGAGTCCATTTATGTATTTACTTCACTCATTATTATAATCGTGTCTTTCCTTGATTAATTAATATTGTACACTTATCACCATTGTAGGTGGCTAGCTTTGTCTTGAAAACATTTGATAAACTCATCCTTGTTCTGTAGCTCCTCCATCATGACCTCATTACATTAAATCTTTTCTTCCTGAAAGTTTTGGTAAAAGTGTGGCTTGGAACGCAGAGATAATATAAAACTGTTCAAATGTATTCTTATCGAGTTAGAGCATAAATTTCTAAATAGGATAAAACTAAATTGACTAATTTAGAAGAAAAATGATATATGCAGTAGAATATTTGCCTCAAAGGCTGCACGTTTGCTGGCTAGTGCTTTACAAGTCACATTATTGTAAGTAAGCTGTGAAGAGGTCTTGGTGAAAACATTTTCTGCCTATTCACTCAGACAACTGTTTTAATTAAAAAATTATAAAAAGCAGATATAACACATTTAATTTTCTATACAGCACAGTTAGGTTGCTTGGTTATTGGAGGTTCATTTATCAGTCTAGTTTTTTATACACTGAATGTTTTTTTTTTTTTTTTTTTTTTTAGCCGAGATTGACCCTTTTTAAAATGTTTGAAACAAATACTTGTCATCTTTTTTTTATTTTTGTCTGTATTAATGTAAATATTTTTATCACCAGGTACTTCAGATTGATCCAACCGTCCGGGAAGACTATACAAAGTGGCTAAGTGCTGTTGTAAAGGTGCTGACAAGAGTGTAGTTCATTCGTCCTATAGTACACTTCATTACACGTAACCATTCACACATGTATGTAATTTAACTAAGTATAATTACCAAAGTGTAGTTACAGGATGAGAGCTTCGCTCGTGGTGTCCCGTCTTCCCAGCACTGTCATATAACGCTTTGCTTTGACGGATTTGGCCTTCACCACCACCTCACTTAGTTTGTTCCAACTGTATACAGTTGGCACATTGGGTGCTGTGAAATTCATGTAAAAAGAAAACTTTCTAATATTTTTTGAATTTGTGTGTTGTCATGCAGATGTATGCTCACTCAAAATCAAATACTGTTTATGTACTATACATGGTTTTATTAATAGTTTTGCAAATGTTTTAACTAGTTGTGCAAGTTTAGACTATTAAATATTTAATATTTAATAGGGGGGGGGGGGTTCTATGCCACCTCTTGACAGGTTCTCCCTTGGTGTATTGCTTGAATTTTTGACTCCTCTGCATGGCTTTTGAGGTTGGGGCAGACAGGGTTCTTCTTGTTCAGGTGTGCAATGGATGTGTACTTGCTAGACTTGCTGCCTGTTGCCTACACACTCATTAGCTGCATTTGTTCCTCGGCTTGGCTCAATGTTTGCCAGACGAGTGTTCCCTGTGTTTGGTGCTAGTGGTTTGGTCAACTCGAGCCAACACTGGAAGGGCCCCGCAGGTTTCTTGTGTTCTCTGGTTATGGACCTTCTCGTCAAACATGATTATGATCAGTGATCTTTATTTACCGTAAAACATAAATGCTATGAAGTGTTTGCACTGCCAGGGTATGTTAAAAATAAATGGTCATGCTTATAGGTCCTTATCACTGTCAGCCACTTCATATGCTTTCAGTGTTTGGTCTTATGCAAGTTCATAATGTATGTGGTGTTTAGAAGAGTTAGATGGGTGCCGTAGAGTTTTATGAAGATATAACCAGGTGGATCTGTTGAGGATTTTTCCTATTGCGAGGACAGAATGCTCTGTAAGCTTATCGAGGTTCCACTAGGCCAACAACTGATCTCCAGTATTCAGTCTACAATGGCTGCCTAACTTCTAGTTACAATACTTATGTATTGCTAGGTGAACTGAAGTATCAGGCGTATGAACCGTTCACAAACATGTCTCATCCTGCCCAATGATAGAACCAGGAACGTTTAGTTGTGAACCTTTGATGGTGGCCCTGCCCCACTGAGCTCACAGACTGGACATACACCAGATTATGATTCATTGGTTCCTGCTGCAGCAACATAGAAAAGTTGCTTATTTATTTTTTAGCCATTTTTTGTTGTACATTGTTGTTTTGGCTATGTCAATTTACAATATTGGATATTTACATAAAATTTGAGGGTTTATTTATATAGGTGCTCCTTGATGGTAAATTTGGTATGTTGTGTCCTTTTTGGGTTGCAATGAAACCATCAAAGATTTGGAAGGTACATGTACAGTGTATAGTTTTTTTTATAATAAGTGAAACTTGCTAAGAAAATGAAGTTGAGTAATATAATTAGTGTAAAATATATAACATGTAAAAATATTAATGATAAAGAATATTGAACCCTAATTGAGCATAAATTGAACTGTAAAGTATTCAATAAAGTAAATTAAGTAGATAAAATTTAAAAAATGTGGTCTTCATTTGGTTTATAGCATTTATAAAGTAGTGTGACAGGTTAAGCTAGTTTGTCACATATTTTTAACACGGGACAGAAGTATTTTTCCCAGTAACAATATTTAGTAATTTATAATTAATGATTTTTTTTTAAAGACACTGGTGTCTCAAAATGATTGCATAATACACCATAAAATTCATAGCAATTAGTTCAAAATATATTAATTTAGTACCTGTGTGTGTGTATAGAAGGTACAGGTACTATATTTGCAAAAGTGAATATAGTAACAAGATTGCTGATCACAGATATCTGTGACGGTGGATGTTACTCTTGACGACAGCCAGAGACATCAAAATTAGTAGTCTGCAATAATTTTTCTCAATCAATAATTTTTGTTAGAGACAAGAGGGACTGTATGGGTCTCGAACCATAGAGACCCCATGTGTGTGAGGCTGTAACACTATCGACTGGGCTATGAGTAGTCTTAAAAAGAAAAGTTTCCAAAAGCAGCATCCTGCTGCCAAACTGGAATTTTCAACTTTTCCTGACTGCTGATTCCCAGAGGAATTATTGACCTATGTCCATGTCATATTCATAATAAAAAAAATATATATATATATATATATATATATATATATATTGATATATATAATATATATAGTAAGTAAGTAATTATCAAAAGAAATATAATATATATAACTGGAAGCTTTTGGAAACTTTTCTTTTTAAGACTACTCATAGCCCAGTCAATAGTGTTACAGCCTCACACGCGTGGGGTCTCTATGGTTCGAGACCCATACAGTCTAGGTGAATGGAATGTCTATTTCCATGGAAGTGTGGATAGTAATTTACAAGAGGGGTGTTTTCACAGCTTGGTAGTGAGGTAAAAATTTACATTCTAGCACAAAAGCCAGAAGATACTTGGTCTACACATGGATCACAGTGTGATGTCAGTAAATATTGGTCAAGGCTACAAGAATTGTCCAGGATTACAGAGGAGATTTCTAGAACTTGTATACTGTAAATAAATAAAATAAAATAAAATAAAATAAATGTTTATATTCACCCAATCTATTTTCTTGTGACTAAAATTTCCCATTATAGCTTGGACTTCAGCTGCTGCCTTTATCACATTACAGTATATAGGACTGTGGCTTCATTTGCCGACGCTCCGTAGTACAATTCCCAGTTGGTTTGCTACCATTTTGAGCTAGCATATTTCCCATACAAATTCTTAGGATCCAATGTTTAATTCCACCTTGCTGATTAGTCTATATTATATATACAAAGGAACCTCAGTCTTTGCACTGCTCCCAATTCACACTTTTCTATATTCAGTATTAGTCCGGTATTAGTCTTTTTGCTTGGCATTCAAACAAAAACTCGCGTCCCTGACGGGTCAGTTTCGCCATAGCTGTCATTCAGTGCACAACCCACGTGTAAAGTCAGCATGTTACCTAAGAAAGTTTGATATGGGCCAAGCAAAAAGAAAAATGGTTAGAACCAGGATAGAGATGAAGAAAGAACTCATAGCTAAATATGAATGTGGTGCCTGTGTCTGCTCTAGTTACCAAGTTTGGTATGCCTAAATCTAGTTCACTAATAAGAGAAATGGGCGGAAGTACAAAGTTTTCTTGAAAAATATCACCCTGAAAGCCATATTATAAACCTGTTGAATGACAATGCTAAATCTCACTTTAGAAACATTTTTAAAGTGCAGGCAAAGGCAATCATTCTTGGACAAGTGTCTTGTAAGAAAAGTATCCAGTGAGTCTAATGAGGGAAACAGAAAGACAGAAAAGATAAAGAACCCGAGAAGCACCACTAACTACCAGAAGTTATAATGGTAAGGACTCCCCTGCCAGAGAATAATATCTCTTCCTCATCACCTTCCACATAGACCATCAACTCTACTAAGTGCAGGTAAAGTGTGTAGTGTGTTAGCATTTATTTCATATAATTATTGTATAAATATTTTTATTTTTGGGGTCTGGACTGGATTCATCCAATTTACATTTCCTATGGGAAAAAATTGTCCAGTATTTGCACTTTTTGGCATTTGTCTCGCCTTCAGGAACCAATTAAATCCAAATACTGAGGTTCCACTGTATAATAATAATTGTAATACATAGTGTTGGGAGACAGGCAGCCAGTGTCTATTCATAAACATTTGGCTTATATCAAGGTAAATTTAAATTTCTGAGATTAGAATTAAAATTGTATGTACTGCATTGGAGTTCATCAATGACCTCTATAGTGCCGAGTGCTAACACCAGTCAGGAGACCCCAACAAGAACACCATCTTAGTGCAAATTAGAGGCGAGGCCACGTGCTGCTTGACTGATGAAGATCAAGCCAGCATAGAGGTGGCACTGGCATGAATAGCCAGTAAATAAGTGCTGCTTGATGAAGATCAAGCCAGCCAAGAGGTGGCACTGGCATGAATAGCCAGCAAATACATGCTGCTTGATGAAGATCAGGCCAGCATAGAGGTGGCACTGGCATGAATAGCCAGTAAATACGTGCTGCTTGATGAAGATCAGACCAGCATAGAGGTGGCACTGGCATGAATAGCCAGTAAATACGTGCTGCTTGATGAAGATCAGGCCAGCATAGAGGTGGCACTGGCATGAATAGCCAGCAAATACGTGCTGCTTGATTGATTGATGAATTACGGGCTATTCATGCTCGTGGGCTTAATCTTCATCAATCGATTGTTGAAGATTAAAGGAGTCAAAGAGGTGGTATGGGTCAGTAATAGCCCGTAAGGTGGTGGTGGCGGCGAGGCTGGCACATTTAAAGGTGGCGGTGGGTGAGGTGAGGGCGGGCGGGAGCGAGGACCGGCGGGGGTGGCGGCCGCCCGGAGCTCGCCTTTCCTCCCCGCCAAGATGGGAACTTTCCTCGCCGGCTCCTCCTATTGCCGCCTCTGTGCCACCCACGCCGTGGAAGGCTTCACCATTTTCGACGACAGCGAAGAAAAGGCATCCCTGGCCATCCTGATCAACAAATATTTGCCAATTAAGGTGAGAGGAGGAGGGTGTGGTGGGGAGGTCGGGTTCTCTGTTGATCCCGGCGGCCCGGCCACCTTGCTAGTCAAATCAGTCGTTGAGTCTTCACAAACCTCACTTCTCACAACTCATTCCTTCTCGCCACCTTACTCACACTGCCTCACACAATGATTTCTCGTTCAAATAATTGTTTGGTGGACAAATTTCGAGTAAATAAAGGAGAAAATGGCGTGACAATGGCGTCTTGTTGTTGGTGGCTGGGAGGCAGGTGCCATGTTCTTATATATCTGTGTAGGGCAATGTGTGTGTCCTCGCAGGTGTAGACGATCTTCTCTAACGTCTCTTATAATATCACAAAGATCTTATTCTAAAATGGACATATTTTAATTGCTATATTTATATCATGTTTAATATGCAGGTGTTATACAACTCTCGCCCGGTAGTTTCAAACATGTCAATATTGTGTAATATTATTACTGATGTTACTACAGTTTATCGCTGTAATGACATTGTCATGTTAATACTGGTATTAATAGTGATCAATATTACCATGGTTATGATGGATATGCTGGTATTAATTATACTGTTGTTCCTTATTAATGATTACAATTACTACAAGTATTACTGTTCATTACAAGCAATAGTACAGTAATTGTACTTCTGTAACTACCTACCATGCACTTCAGTGTCAAAATAATAATTTGTGTATAAATAGTATGATACCTGTAACAGGAAATAAGTTAGATATTTCTGTATATCAATTTTATAGTGCAGTATATCTGTCAAAATAAAGGGCTCCATATCTCCAATCAAATACTGTAGGCATATATAGGTTTAATTAAAATAAATTTGTTCATCAAACATATTGTACAGATATGATTAAACAATGTTGAACAATTGTGTTGGTAGTTATATCGGAAAAATTCTCTTAATTTCATCAATATAAACATGAATGAAACTGAATAAATGAGGGTATGTATATGTGTGCTCAAAGTGTTAAGGTGCTGGTGTAAGCAATATATAATGCTGTACAGTACTTACAAGATAAATATCCTACAAAGGAGATATGAGATATGACAGATATAGATGACTGATGGGGTTCCAGAGTCCTGGTGTTGGGGGGGGGGTGTCTAAGGTTAGTTACCAAGTGCATAAGCTCGGAAAGTTACTGGATGCAGACCAGAAAAGGGCGTTTCTTTATGTTCGATGCTTAATATTTGTGCCAGTGATAAATTTCTCATACATTGATTTATTACAAATTTAAAATATGATTTATTTTATCGAGGTTGTGGATGATGGACAGCTACCGGTACGTATCTGTGAAAGGTGTCACATGGGGGTGGCTGCTACCGTTGACCTCATTGATCGTATGGTGGAAGGTCAACAGCGACTACGATCACTCCTTCAGGTACTGTATATTATGTGGGGGGTTTTGTTTCCCCATCTTGTGGAACAAATATTTTTTTTATATACTGTACTACACTGTTATGGACAAGTACTATGTTTATTATATTTACATTACTTAACATAGTATTTGTATAATAAGTACGTAATATTAGCAAATGAGGTCAATGTGATTTCTACCTTCAAAACAAACCTGTGTTGATTTTTATCATGTGATCATTAGCATTTCAGTACGAAATACCTTATTCATTAAGTTATCCAAGTCCTCAACCCCGACCCTCTCCCTTTCATGATGGTAGCTTCATTATGACACCAAGTGTACTACCATAATATTTCAAGATTTTATTTTTACAATTTTGGTTTGTTTTAGCCTTTTAAGATGTTTTAATTTTGTGTACTCAACAAACTAAAACTTTGTGTTTTAATTTTTAATACTCTGTATACTGTGAATTTTTATTTGAAATATGGGCAAACCTCCTTTTAGTTCGTTGAAAAATTCTCTGGGTTTCAAAGATTTGCATTTCAAAGATCTACTGAGTTTAGGTTGCTATCAGCAACCTGCCCTCATGTTTCCCCTTCCACACTTGCTTGGGTTGGAAGGGAAACTGGGAAATAGTAGAGGTGTTAGGAAGGAATGAATAAAGAATTGAGTGTTAATGTAATGCAAATAGCATAAATGATGAGGGCAAGAGAAAAAAAAATAAAGTGAATTTTATATATAGAAGATAGCTATGTTAGGCTTCAGTGAGATGCATCATAATGGGAATGGTGAAAAATCAAAGTGGTAGTGTTTTTTTTTTGTACTCACCTAGTTGTGTTTGCGGGGGTTGAGCTCTGGCTCTTTGGTCCTGCCTCTCGACCGTCTACACTGTGTAAGTTTGGGTAGCTTTGGGTAATTAGACGGACCCATTTGTATCCCAAAATTTGATGGATTGAGTGAAATATTGGTAAGGAGAGGGAAATGAATGAATTTAAGTTACTGGAACATTGGTGTGCCAGGTGTAAATATGAATGGGGTTTTTGTGGTGGTTTATGTTCTGAGAGAGAGGTTTGTCTCTGTAATACCTTTTTTGAGCACAGATTTATACAGAGGTCTACATAGAGGTGTTGGGATGGGGTGCTAAATGATTGGATTGACGCCATTGTGCTATCTTTATATAAAAAAATGGTAGTTGAGAAGATTGAGGTTACAGATTTAGTATTCCATAAAAAGTGCATTCATGGGTACAAATTAAGAGAGTAACAAGACAACAATGTAGAATAGGGAAGGAATCAGGTTGATTTAGGATAGGTAGGGGTTGTAGAGGTAAGATTTTAGTTCTAACATGATGGTTGAAAGTTTCTATTAAATGAGAGAAAATTGTACTGTGTTCTGTATACAGTATTGCCTTTACAGCTTTTGAAAAACGTTTAACTGTTGAGATTGTGAGAGGTTATTCAGCTGTATAGAGTGGGAGTGAGTTTTATTGCAGCAGTAAAAAAATTTTTGCATGCATTGTAGATTATATGTCAGAGTAGGGCAAATATTAGGTGAGGATTTTAATGATGGAATGGGCCTAAGATAAGGTTATGTAATTTCTCCCTGGCTTTTTAATTCCTAGCTTTTTAATTAATCATTTTAATGTACATGTGGGTGGGTTAGTTAGCAAGCTAAAAGCATAACCACTTAGAGTGGGAGTGGAAGTGGATTGTTATGAGGATAAATTGTTATTGATGGGTGTATGCCGATGATGATGATGATGATGATGATGATGATGATGATGATTGTGTGTTTACTCTGTAATGAATAATTGCAAAATATTTAATAATTATAGATAAGCAATAAGAAAAAATAGGGGGGTGATCTCATATCAAATGGAGTGGAATATGTCACAATAGACTGCCACAGGACAAATAGCCTTGAATTGTTTTTTAATTAACCCGATTAATAGTTTAATTTACAGTACTGTACTTATGTTTATTTTAAAGAATCTGTTTTCCACTGGGGTTATAAAAGAATTTGCTAATTAAAGATCAAAATTAGTTTTTAAAGGATAAAATATCTTGTCAGTTTAAAATGTTAGATTTAATTAACAGATGTAATATTTGATAATATAGAATTAAAATATGTCTTATGATCCTGGAAAGAATTCATTTTTGTTTAGTATAATAGAATTAAGAATGTGTCAGTATGAATATGCTAGTACAGTATTTAGAACATGAATGCTTATAGTAATGTTGAATCTTGTTTCTACTAAGATTAATAGTAATCAGTTGATCAAATGTATTTTACTTCCTCATTACAGTCACAGAAGATACCAGACACCTTGCATGCAGTCCTTGTCAACATACAAGGAGAGTCTCCTGATATACCGATGGATGATTTGGCTAAAGGCGAGTACATTTTTGGAGTACATTAACCCTCTGCATCTGTTTGACAATTCTGGTATCATCTATAATGAAATTTATTTTACTCTCGAATTATCTTATTACTTTACCATTGTCAATATTTATATTATATATATTTACACAAAGCAAAGTCTTCTGGGAGGTATCCTGCAGTAGCATCAAGCCTTTGCTGAACATACAGGGTTCTGACACCCATCTACCTCCTACCAAGAGACAGGAACAAATTTTGGCTCACTCTGCAAGGCAATGGAAGCAGGGAATCAATGGTCAAGAACTAAACAAGGAAAATCATGCCATAAAACATAGGCACAACAAAACAAGCAGCTGCTTGAAGGAAATTAGACACCCCTCGGTTAAGAAGGCAAACGATCATTGCCACTAAATAAAATACATTGACTGGGAAGCACCTGACTGCCACTAGGTGGCAGCCCAGATCACCCAAGGTCTAAGCTAGGCTTTCCCCTCGCTCTTCCACCTGGTGTAACCCATCGAATATGCATTTGTTTGTTATAAAAGCCGTCCTCTCATTTGCCAATTCTGCCCATTAGTTCCCATTGAACATCCTGCAGGTAAACCTTAACTCTCCTGTAGTTCCCATCTTCTGCATTCTCTCGTGCTCTTTATCTTGCTTCCTGGAAGTATTGTGTGCATGGGGTAAGGTAATCAAGAGATGTGCATGGTACTGTTGCCTGGTGGGAGCCAGTGCAGTCGCTATTCCGGCCATCCAGTAATTAGGAGAGTCCTTTTGTGGTCACCTGTGTACCAAGATATGGGTTTGGAAGGGTTCAAGGTTTTGTTTTGACAGCTGAACTGATCAGTGATACTGGTTTGTAATATATATGGAAATCCTCGTCAGCACAATGTTTGACATGTTTGGGTATAATATGTGTAAGCAAGAAAATGAGCCAAGTTATTAATATTATTGCTTGTCCATATACAAATATTGATATTAAGTACTTCTTAATTTTACATGTACTGGTATTATCTTTTCAGGTACTAAAGTAGCAAAAGTGTTCAGTGAGAACCACCCTTTGAGTATAGCTGTTGAAGGTCAACCAGTTATCAAAAAGAAAAGAGGAAGGCCAAAGAGAGGAGAGGTAACTAATCATTCAACAAACATTTACTGAACTGTAAATATCTATATTTAAAGTACATACATTGATGATGTCTGTTGTCTGTTTTCATATGCTTTCACAATATTTTCTTTGAAAATTCTCAAAATAAAATTAAACTTTAAAAAATAAGATTTCTTATGTGAGATAAGCAATTTAATTTCGAAGGTAAAGAAATTGTGCTGTATGTCTTTAGTGATAATGAAGATTGTATGGCTTTCACTGAGTAAACTTACAAAATTTGGGAGTGTTCATTTTGTTACGAGTTTTCCATTATAAGACCTGAATATTCTTCCAAGGTTCGGTATTTAATTTGATTATTCCTAAAGAAAGACCTACTGTGTCTATTTACATTGTATCATCACAGTCAGACCGACTGACTGTACTAGGAAGAGGAGTGAGGAGGCCAAGAAGATTGCCAGTATCCAACATTCCAATTCCAAGAAAAACTTTAAGAAAACTAACTCTGGGGCATTCATACCAGACTAAAATAAAAACAATGTAACCCCTGTCTAGTTTACTAATCACTACCCAAAACATCGCACCTCATGAATGGGGGCAGTGTAAACAAAAGCCGGCAATGACACAAATCTGAGGCCAGGTGATAAAAAAAATCCCACAAGCTTACTAGCAAAAGCGAAAGATGGCTATGTACCTGTTGAACACAGGTGATGAACAAGGCTGTCTTTGCTCCAATAATCCTGGATGACGTGTTTCTCGGAGTGTTTCATCATCATGCTCAGTGCAAGAAACATGTACATTTCGTCAATTGTGGTGTCCTTCCATTGTGTCAGGCGAGAGGCAGGTAAAATGCCGGCGTCTATGAGGCTGTGAGCATATCTGTTTGTCTCAGTCACAAGATTGGTCATGAATTCGTTATCAAAATAAGCCAGGAAATAGTCTATTTCTGCCATATCCTCACTTGTATACTGTACATAAGATACTGGAAGTGTAACATGTAAGATACTGGAAGGCCAGATCCCAAATTTACACAGTAAAGTAACATATACTGCAGCGAAAGATATGGTAGGAAATATAGAATTGACTCGGTGAAGAGAACACTGAACCTCAGAAGTTCACAGCTATTCAATATCTTCCCAGTAAGCATAAGAAATACGACTGAAACAAAAGTATTAGTGTTCAAGAGAAAATTAGACATGTTCCTGCAAGAAGTACCAGACCCAACCGGGCTGTAGTGGATATATGGCCTTGTGGGCTACTGCAAACAATAGTCTGTTTGACCAAGTTATCTCAAGTCAAACTTGGCCCCCAGGCCAAGTTTTGGGGAGTAGAATAATTTCCAAAACCCACTATAGGTATACTCCAGGTATGCAGTGCCTCCACCACACCAGTACCACTGCACTACCATCAGTACCATGCAATCTTTACACCATTTAGTTCAAGTTCTTAAATATGCCATTCCCAGGCCATCTCTTGATTGAATATTATAAAACATATCTAGTATTTCATACACTTTTCAGTTTGATGCACTTTTTTTGGGGACATTGCAAAATAAATATAATCTAGAACTTTTGTATGATTTTAAGAAAGGCACTTTTGGTTGAATCTTAATTTCAGCTTATATAATCTTGTAAACTTTAAGCATTAGTCTTGTATTAAAAAAAAATAGCTGGAGTTGGCATTCTATAATGTTTTAATTGCAGAGATAATCTTCTTATAATATGCAAGTTCTATCTTTCACTTATCTTTTAGAGACCTTCAAAAGCAGTAATTAAGAAGGAAGAATTACCATCCCCTGAAGAAGACCTAAGAAAACATGGCCCTAGAAGGTCCAACAGGAGAGCCAGCTTGCCTACAAGGTTTGTATCTCGCAACCATATTTTGTCAATACTGTACTTTGTGCTGGGTACATGCAGATTTACCACCAAGTATTTTTAATGAGCTTTTATTCCAGGAGAACTTCTAACGAGAAATAATGCTCAGTCTTTTAATTAGAATTACTCAAAATGGATCTCGTGTGGTTTTGTTAGAATTCCTCATTACTGAGCTGGGGCCTTATGGATGCTCCTAGAGGCTGAAGCCATTTTGACCACTTGGATAATGTCACTATGCTACAGCCATCCTTCAAGCCTCATAAGGGTCAGTTACACAACACTTTTGGTAACACTTTTGCACTCTCATGGCGCTTAAACGAGGCACCAATTTTTCTCCCGAGACTGAGGATTTAACTTGAAAACGAGTCCAACAAAAAAAATATTTGTATAAAATTCATTTTTTATACGATCGGCTTTGGGATAGTTTCAAAATGAGTGCCTTCAAATTGTGCACAATTTGATACCATAATGAAAGATGTAACATGAAACTTGATGTCAAATCACTTGAAAGATTATAAATACTTTTTGGGCCAAATTTTAAAAATATTTGTTGTGCTAATATTATGGGAGTAGTTTTAAAATGCGCGCCTTTTGATTGCGAACAATTTGATACCAAAATGATGACCTTGTGCACTATCTTGAAAATGAAAAAGGTATTGCTACATTATCATTTCTGAACATGCCCTGATATTTAGGGATATGTTTGAATAGTTTCAGATTGCAAATGGTAGTCTTGAAAGTTTTGCAATATTATGTTAATAATATATTGGGTGTATTCATACTGATTATTTTACACTGTAAAATTCTCTAGTATTGCTCAGTGTAGCATTCTATGCAGCTCTTTTACCTCGACTTCAATATAACAAAGTTATTACAGTAACTGACTTTTTCTTAATGAATTTTATAAGGATATGTTCTGAAATAACTAATCAACCACTTTCAACCAGATATCGGGATACCATTGCTGGCCGAGATTTTGAAAAACTTATGAAAGAATCTGGTGTAAAAGAGGAGTTGGAAGACCTTGATGATATGGAGGATGCAGATTACAAGCATCAAGGTCTGTTTATGCCTTCCATGTTCGAAATTACAGAAAAAGACGAAAGCTTGGATGATGAAAGAAACACAAGTTTGGGAAAAATTGAAGATGGGGCAAGTATTGTAATAGCTCCAGACTCTGCAGGACCTCCATCAGATCTGCCAATATCTGTCAACATTGAAGTCGATTTTCGAGACGGTATGATTTGAATATGAATATCATGCTAATTGGTACTGTATTAATAATATTCTCACTCTAATCTTGATAGGCATAATTTATGAAATGTATTGGCAGTCCTCGACTTGCATGATACAATATTAGAGAATACAGTTGAGCATTGGCAGCACTGCATGTGGATTTACATGAATTGAAATTGTTATTACGTCATTGCATATCTGAAGCATCCTGTACTTCATTGTCTTATATTTGTGGCTGGATAATGTTTATTGTATCTTATAATTTTTTACCTTTACAGATGGAAATATTACCCTACGTGGTATGGAAGATTTGGATGACAGTAAAAGTAAAACTTCAATCTCCTGTGTTAGTTCTGTCCAGGTAAGTTTCCTGCTTGTGTTTCTTGGATTACAATGTTAACTTGCCCTCTAACCTCTCCTCCAACTGTATAAAGGAATTGTCTGTGGGGCTGAGAGTTAGGTTTGTTTTGATAGAATTTTCATGAGGAGAAATAGATGTGGAGGAGGTCATGCAGGCTGGTATAGGACACCTTTTTATGTCAACATTGATTTCCCAAATACAATTTAATCATATTTAAATTTACTATAACTACATGAAAATCCACAATTATCATTAGAAATCCCCTGATAAATCACAGGTTTACTGTTGAGTTGGCATATATTTCCTTCTTGATTTTATTCATCATTATTTTATTTGTTTATAGATTACAACTGTAGGAGAGGCCATAAATTCACCTTCCAAAGCAACATTCAGTGAAGCAACACTCTTCCGAAAGAGACGAGGAGCCAAAAAGAAAGCCAAGTGGTTGTGTGACATATGTGGCAAGGGCTTTCTACATAAAGGACGATATCTTTTACACACGTAAGTTTTGTGATCGTCGAATAGAAGATTAATGATTCTTGTACTGTAGTTTAATACGTGTACATTTCATGAGAATAATTAATCCTTTGTAAAACTGTTTGAGTTGTGTACTTTGTACTTTACACATGGAGTGTAGGAAGTTTGCTTTTAATACTCGACATGTATTTACAATATATTCCTGAGTGAATGTATAACTTTTCTGGGGGAAGCCCCTTCAGCTGCCCGGAGCTAACTGGGCTGATATAAACGTGCAGACTCTGGCATCAGTCAATGCGCATGGCATTCTAGGCCTGCCAGGGACCACGAGCCAGAACCTGGCCGTCTCAGAGAGGCACGAGGAGCAATGGCCTATAGAAATCCCCATATGTTGAAAGCATTCTATGTCTGCCATCGACCGGGTCAGGCACCCAGAAAGGTAAGCACCCCAAAGCAAATCCCTATTCTGGTTAAAATATTGCTACTGAAAGCTGAACTAGTGAATGGAACTCCCCAAGTGAAAACGAGCATGACGTCACCACGTCAACACGCCACTGTCTGCACACACCCATTAATCTGGCATTAAATATGTCAAAACTAGAAGACAGAAGAAAAAGAGGTGATATGATCACTACGTACAAAATAGTAACAGGAATTGATAAAATCGATAGGGAAGATTTCCTGAGACCTGGAACTTCAAGCTAAACAAGATTTAAACTAGCTAAACACAGATGCCGAAGAAATATAAGAAAATTCACTTTCGCAAACCCTCTCATCCCTGGGAGGGGGAAGCGGGAATCTCCAGACCCCTGTGCTGGATATTCACCCTGCAGTTCTGTGGCTGATGTGAAGTGGCAAGGTCGTGTGCCTCTGGCTCCTGTGTGTCCAATTCTATGCCTTGTACAGTAGTGTGGTACTGTCTAAGTGGTGGAGTACGAGCCAGGAGTTATTTCACAAGTACTCGCACTGCATGCACCTTGGGTCCCCATCTCTAGGTGCCCTGTAAGTACTGCCCTTGGGGCTTGGTGCTACCTTCCACAAGTCATCTTGGGGTCTTCCTCAGGAAGGTCTTTTGCTGCTCGGTGATTGACTGCCCTTGGAGTCACCTGGGGTGTTTCATGCACCACTGTTTGCCTCTGGGTAGGGGGTAGTTTCATCACTGGTTGGGGTGCAGGGTACTGTGCAGCTAGTTGTCACCTTTCATAGTGGCCGGCTCTGTTCTGCCTGGGCACGTTGTCCTCATGCTGGGTTTTTCTTTTGTTTTTGTTTTCCCTGCCTGGTGAGGAGGGGGGGTCTGCCCCTTGGTTTTGGTCACACCCATTTATATCTTTATGGTCCTCCACTAGGCCCCTGTGAGTGTACACGTCCCGGGGGTTCAGCTTTAATAGTTCGATTGGTAACTTTGGGTGCCGGTTAGCAGTGACTAAGGGCCCTGGAAAACCCCGTGGGGCTCTTTGGTCTGAAGGATGGGACCTCTGGGTCCCCTCTCGCTTCGTGCGAGTTTAACGGTTGCTTTGTCCCCTTGTCTGATGCTTGTTTTCATTTGGGGAGTTCTGTCCACTAGTTCGACTTTCAGTAGCAATATTTTAACCAGAATAAGGGTTTGTTTTGGGATGCTTACCTTTCTGGGTGCCTGAACCGATCGATGGCATGCACAGAATGCTTCCAACCACACAGGGGTTTCTATAGGCCATTGCTCCTCATGCCTGTCTTAGGTGGCCAGGTTTTGGCTCGTGGTTCCCGGTGGGCCTAAAACTCCATGCGCATTGACTGATGCCGGGGTCTAATACATTCATATCAGCCCGTTAGCTCCGTGGAGCCTCCGGGTCTAACCTAGAAAATGACCTTTCATTACATTCAACGCTGGTTTTTTTGTTAGCCAGTGAAGGATACCAAATGTTACCTGGAAATTTTTACTGGAGTCACTCAGTTTTATCTGTAACTCATTAAGGTATTGAGGCCATGTCCAGTACAAGCAGAATAAGCCATGTATTTGTAATGGCTGATCACCAGGTGAGCAGGGCAGTGGTTAAAAAAAATTACTGTATTTGAATTGTTAAAAGAACTTGTTTATCTTTAACATTTTATTTTTAACTGGAGGGTTTGAGATTTTCCAGGGGGTTTCTAATTACAGTGTTCAGGTTTGCCAGGTGGTTTCGAATGTAAACCGTCCATTTTTGTTTGGATGGGATGGTATCTAATTTTAAAGTGACCATTTTAGGATTTGCCTATGGTTTCTAATTTTAGGTGATGCTGGGAGGTGTTATTTTAGGTTGTAGGTGTCGTGTGGCTGGAATCGTGTGTAAGGTTTAGAATGAAGCAATTTTTTTAGTGAAAGAATATAAATTAGTATGTATACTGTACTATTACAGGAGGGTATATGCTAAAATAACGTTGCATTAAATTTAATACAAAAAATTATATAAAATCTATCAAAATAGAAAATAGGAAAGCAAAATTACATTAATTTTGTTTACATATTTCAGCCGTCTCCATAAGCAAGTGATCCTTCAGTGCGAGACATGCAAGGACAGATTTTCCACCAGAGAGGACATCAACATACACCAACAGAATACCGACCACACGGGCTTAGGTTAGTGTTTGTGTTATGAGCATTACGACATGTTGTTTTCAGCTGGTATTGTTAAGCAGTGTACTCTGTATACTTGCTACCACCGTACATGAATTCTCAATTTTACCATTAGCGTAGGGCAGTACTGGTATAGTTCATATAATTTTCATTTAAAATACAGTATTTGTGTAAAATTAGGTGTTTCAGGAAGACATGTTTGAATTAGTGTATACCACAGTATAGATATAATTCTTGGCTATTTTGACAGTGACCTACATTTTAAATACAATATTTTATTTTTGGACCTGGTGGCTTGATTATGCTGGGTAAGAAATACATAAGTGCTTTTCTTCCCTTTAATGACATTTGTTGATTGAACAGAATATTTGGTGTTCATCCTTTTATATACTACTAATTAATTTACCCACAAAATCAAATCTCTTTAAACTTCATATTGTAAAGATTTGCTACATCAGGTGGATAGCTTTGGTAGACACTCTGAGTCTGAGACTGACTGACTCCCAAAAATTATGCATTTTAAGCAATGTTTAATATTTTTAAAGCTACAAAAGTATATTTTCTGTAGAGAGGCCCCTCCATCTCCCTGGAGCTTCCAAGGCTGATATGTATGTATTAGACCATGGCATCACTGAATTTGATGGAGTTCTTGCTTACCAGGGAATACGAGCCAGAACCTGGCCCCCCTCAGAGAGGTACGAGGAGCAATAGCCTATGCAAGCCCCCATGTGGTTGGAAGCATTCCATGTCTGCCATCGACCGGGTTAGGTACCCAGAAAGATAGGCATCCCAAAACAAACTCCACCTGGTTAAAAAATTGCTACTAAAAGCCAAACTGTCAAGCAGAACTCAATCTGAAAACAAGCAAGCAAGCAAGATGCCATAACCACCACTGCACCGCTGTCTAAGCAGCTCACCCCTCCCTGGGCGGCGAAAGGGGGAGCCTCAGACCCTTGCACCAGATATCCAATTTCAGTTCTGAGGCTACTGTGTTATGTGGCAGTCATTCGACTCTGGTTCCTGTTTCTCTGCAGTGCTGAGCCCTTGCAGTGTTGTTCTGCTATGTGGTGGTGGTGTGCAAGCCAGGAGTAATTCATGAAATACTGGGGCTGCATGTGCCTAGGGCCATCTTCCCTAGTTGCCCTGTAAGTACTGCCCTTACTATTTGGGGTTATCTTCCACAAACCGTTCAGGGACTATCTCCGTAGGGATCTTTTGCTGCTTGGTGATTGCCTGCCCTTGGGGTCAGCTGGGGTTTTCATAGCTACTGTTTGACTTTAAGTAGGAGGTAATATCGTCGCTGGTAGAGGCATACTGTACAGCTTTTCTCCCATTATACAAAGTGGCTGGTTCTGTTCCTCCTGGAGATGTTGTGCTTTTGTTGGGTTTTTCTTTTCTTTTTGTTTTCTCACCTGGTGGGGCCTTCCCCTTGGTCATAGTCCACCCCTCTATTATTCTGGTGGTCCCCTGCTAGGTCCCAGTGATTGTACACGTCACAGGTGTCTCGGTGGCCGTGGACATGATTTGGGTTGACCTGGTTTACTTTCTTCCCTGTTCCAGGGCTCGGGTCTCCCAGGTCATCTGCAGGGTTATTCGGTCCAGCCAGCCTGCGGTCTATCCTCATTCCCATTATGTTAACAATTTTGCTGCAGTTTCTGGTAATAGGTCTTGGGCTGACTTTCGGGTGTAGGAATTTCGAGGTCGAACAGGGTCCTGCTCGCCTTTTATCTTGTTGAAGTTCCTGGCCTAGTTGGGCATGTGTCACTTTGGGTTACAGTTTGCAGCTAGTTGTTTCGACTTTGAGTTGAAGCGTGAGTGGTGGCCCCCTCCCGGGTAAGTCCCTCTTTTTACTTGTCCTTGGTTAGGTTACTCTGGGGAGCCGGAGAGGCTCTCCACAGAAAACCAGCATTGAATGTAATGAAATTCCACTTTCTGGGTAAGACCCGGAGGCTCTCCGGCAACCCTTCCTCCTTCCAGTCAGCGGTTTTCACGTTTTTTGACATTCAGCCTCTGAACTGGGGTTGGATAGCCGGCACAAGGGTCTGGGGCTCCCCCTTTTCGCTCCCAGGGAGGGGGGAGTTGCACAGACAGCGGCAAAGTTGTGGTTATGACGTCATGTTTGTTTGCTTGTTTTCAGATTGGGGAGTTCTGCTTGACAGTTCGACTTTTGGTAGCAATTTTTTAACCAGGTGGAGTGTGTTTTGGGACACCTATCTTTCTGGGTGCTTAACCCGGTTGATGGTAGACATAGAATGCTTCCAACCACATGGGGTTTCCATAGGCCACTTCTCATGCCTCTCTGAGGGGGGCCAGGTTCTGGCTCCTGGTCCCCGGTAGGCAAAAACTGTATCAAATTGAGTGATGCCACGGTCTAATACATACTAATCAGCCCGTTAAGCTCCAGGAACCCTCCGGGATTCACCCAGAAAATGGCGTTACATTACATTCAACGCTGGTTTTTTGTTTCAGGTATCATTGAAATTGAGAAAGAAGGAGAACAAGTTGAGTTCAAGTGCCCACACTGTCCCAGTAGAACCTTTGTAACTGAGGAAGGCTATAATGTAAGTAATGCACTGGAATTTCAACCGAATATAGTATATATTTGTACACTGTATAAATTGTACTTGCCTAGTTGTGCTTGCTGTGCTTGGGCTCTGTCGCTTTGGTCCCACCTCTCAACTGTCAATCATCTGGTGTTCAGGTTCCTGAGCCTATTGGGCTCTATCAAATCTACATTTGGAACTGTGTATGGAGTCTGCCTTCACTGCTTAATGCATTCCATATGTTAACTTCTCTGAAACTGAAAAAGTTAATTCTGGTGTGTCTGACTCATGTGGGTAATAACTTTCCACCTGTGTTCCCTTGTTCATGTTCCACCTGTGTCCCCTTGTTTATGTTCCACCCATGCTAAATATGTGTGTAATTACCTAATTTAATCTTTGTTATGATGTTATGAAGCTTTGAATGGTTTTGGTATCCAGCATACTTTCATTAAAATTATTCCAACTATCCACTATTCTGTTAACAAAAGAGAACTTTTGGAATTTTTTCTGGGGGGAGCCCTGCCATTTACTGCTTAGTTTTCTGCCACCTTTTGTGTGATAGGGGGTTCTGTCTCCCTTGTTCACCTTAGGGTAAAGGGCAGTTTGCACTGGTAGGGGTGCAGGTTACTGCACAGCTTGTTTTTACCAATCATAGTGGCTGGCTCTGTTCCGCCTGGGTACGCTGTACTCTTGCGGGGTTTTCTTTTTCTTTTTGTTTGTTTAATTGGTGGGGGGGGTCTGCCTTTGATTCTTTCCCCCTTTTGTACTGAGTTCTCTTCCTTCTTTTGGTGATATTCCCTGCTAGGTCCCCGTGAGTGTGCACGTCTCGGGGGTTCAGTTCTTAGAAAGTTGTTTGGTAGACATGGGCACCGGTTGATACATCTCTTGTCCCCAAGCTCATGTGTTCTGGTGTCATCTCTTGTAAGTCACTCCTTTCTGGAAAGATGTCCTCTACCAAGATGCAGTTGGAAGTTAACTCAGTGGGTTACCAAGGGAGCCTTACTAGAAATAAAACATTGAATTTATGGTGAGGCAACGCCCTTTTTTGACGAACGTTTCAGTATCTCCCTGTTCTTACCCTGATTCCTCCTTTCCTGTCAGGTCAGGGTATTGGAGTCCAGTTCCGAAGGCTTATTAGTTAGGTGGACAGCTATCTTGAACCAAGCAAGTGATTGTTTACCTTTAGCCAACTGCCACTTGCTATTTTTCCTTTTCTCTCTTTTAATTAAGATTAGTAGTTGGATTTGCTTTGCCCATACTTTCTGGGCAGTTATCCTCGGAGTTGGATTGATCTTTTATCACTGTCTTCTCCCCTCACACCAGATTCTGATACTGGTGATCAATAAGCCTGCATAAGTCCACAATCCTAGTAGCTTTATAAGTGTCACTGTGGTACAAGCCTATGTACCAGGGAGCTTGTGAAGTAGCCCAGAAATGAGCATTTCAGTACATACAGTGTTCGATTTTTATTGAAATATTTAATGTAGATAATGTTCACCTGTGTTTCAGAACCATGTATCCAGTATGCATGAGGGTGCTAAACCTTTTGCTTGTGCAACATGTGGGAAAAGGTTTGCATATCAACACAGTCTCCGCAACCACTATGCACTACACGAGGTTTGTATCATGTGACCCTTTAAACACACCTGTATCCCAAATATATTTCATATCATCATTTTTTAATTTATAAATTAACATAATTGCAACCGTCACCTTAAATTTAACCATGGAATCTTACAGAAGAATTTTCTGTCTTAATTTATTACTTATTATTTCTCTTACATTTTATATAGGAAGGCAATTATCATCGTAATACAGCCATCTCATTGTCTATTACTTTTTCATAATTACATTAATATTTTCCATACTATTCAGTTGCTGTTTTACACTAATCTTACATTTCTCCACACCATTCATGTCTGACTTTTTATTTTCAGCTCTTCCATATATGAGGAAAGTTTTTTAAAATATGTTTAGCATCATTATCAGAGTTGTTAAAAGTAAGCAATGGTTGACTTTTGGGATTCTTATAATTGATACATCCCAGTCAGAGATTGCCTTTGTTAATAACTTCTATACCAGCATATTGCAAATAATCATTTATTTTCTGTGGAGAGCCCCTTCAGCTCCCCGGAGCTATACTGGGCTGATGTGTGTGTATTAGACCGTGGCAACAGTCAATCGATGGAGTTCTAGGCCTACTGGTGACCAGCGCCGGAACCTGGCCCCCCCCCTCAGAGAGGCACGAGGAGCAATGACCTATAGACACATTCCCCGTGTAATTTGAAGCAGTCGGTCTGCCATTCACCAGGTCAGGCACCCAGAAAGGTAGGAATTCCAAAACAATTACAGCTGGTTAAAAATTGTAAACCAAAAGCCGAACTAGCAAGCAGAACTCCCCCCATCAAAAACAAGTATGATGTCACCACAGCCACCGTGCTGCTGTCTGTGCAACTTCCCCCTCCCTGGGAGGAAGAAGGGGGGGTCCCAGACCTCCCATGCCGGCTACCCAACCCCAGTTCAGAAGCTGTTGTGTTTGGTGGTGGTCAATTGACTCTGGCTCCATCCTCTTGAGCAGTGCTGTCCATAGTGTTGTTCTACTGTATGGTGGTGTGAGAGCCAGAAGTAACACAACAGTACTGGGGCTGCATGCGCCTAGGGCCACCTTCTCTAGGTGCCCTGTAAGTACTGCGCTTGCGATTTAGGATTATCTTCCATGAACCGTTTGGGAGACTACCTCTGCGTGATTCTTTTGCTGCTCGATGATTGCCCGCCCTTGGGGGGTCAACTGAGGTTGTTCTTATTCCTGTTTGACCTTAGGTAGGAGGTAGTATCGTCGCTGGCTGGGGTGCAAGGTACTGTGCAGCTCTCTGATATACTGTACGCAAAGCGGCTGGTGTGCTTTTGCGGTGGTTTTTTGCAGTGCCCCCTCCAGGCAAAAAGAAAAAGAAAAGAAAAAACAAAAGTGCGTCTCTAGGAGGAACAGAACCGGCAGCTATGATAATAGTAGACAAGCTGCACAGTACCTTGTGCCCCTACCAGCAACGATACTACCTCCTACCCAGGGCCAAACAGCAGCTAAGTAAACCCCAGCTGACCCCAGGGGCGGGCAGTCACCGTGCAGCAAAAGATGCCTATGGAGGTAGTTCCCGAACGACTTATGGAAGGTAACCCCAAGCAGCAAGGGCAGTACTTACAGGCCACCAAGGAGAGATGGCCCTAGGCACGTGCAACTCCAGTTCTTCTGAAATTACCACCACACAGCAGAACACCACCACAAGACACCGCACTGCTCAGAGACAGGAGCCAGAGCTGAACGACTGCCACTCAACACATCAGCCTCAGAACTGGGATTGGATAGTCAGCGCGAGGGGTCTGGGGCTTCCCCTTTCCCTTCCCGGGAATGGGGAGCTGCGCAGACAGGCGGTGCAGCGTTAGGTGTGAAGTCATGCTTGTTTTCAGATTGGGGAGTTTTGCTTAGCAGTTTGGTTTTCAGTAGCAATGTTTCACCAGGTTTAGTTTGTTTTGAGACGCCTATTTTTCTGGTTGCCTAACCCGGTAGATGGCAGACAAAGAATGCTATGTAGGCCATTGCTCTTCATGCCTCTCTGAGGGGGCCAGGTTCTAGCTCGTGGTCCTTGGTAAGTTAGAACGCTATTCGAATTGACTGATGCCACAGTCTAATACAAACATATCAGCCCGGTGTAGCTCCGGGGAGCTTCCAGGATTCGCCTAGAAAATGTCATTTCATTATATTCAATGCTGGTTTTATGATGGTTTTTTCCAAAGCTTCCCTCATGTTGTAGAGAGAGCCAGATTCTGGTCCTTGCTTCTGGTAAGTCAGCATAGGACTTAAGAGGCCTATGGACAGCTACTGGTAGCCCAGCAGAAAAGGGCATTTCATTACTTTTAATCCTTAATAAATATTATTTGAATGTAAATTTCAGATAATTAAATTATTTTCCAGCCTCCCAAAGAAGAGCGGGAGTATCCTTGCCCAACATGTGGCAAAGTATTTACTCATCCAAGCTCCCTCATATATCATCGTGATTCAACCCACAATAATGGACGCATGTTTGTGTGTCACATCTGTAATGCTGCATTTAAGCACAAACAACTTCTTCAGAGACACTATAGTGTCCATTCCGAAGACAGGTAAGATAAGAAATGTACGGTATTCTAGACAGGATTTTATATATGTATGCAGGGGCGCTATTACCTATTTCTAGTTACACACAGTACATCTTTATGGTTTATAGAACTCTATGAAGAGCTCAAGATCATGATTTCTCATCTTGATATGTGCATTTATTGTACTTGGTTTTCTTGGCCCTTTACAGTTGTGTATTTATGGCATTTTTATTTTTACTTTTGAAACTGAATGTTTCATTTTTTACCCTGGTGAATAAGACAGTGGTTTAAAGGTAAAAAACGAAAAATGGTTCTGAAGTGTAGAAAGCTGCGTGAAAAAAAATTCGGGAACTCTGATCTCCGTGTGATTTAGATTGGTGTCTGCCCAATATAATCTGAATTGGTGAGTTTAGAAAGTATCCCAATTTCTTCATTTACAGGCTTACTTGTTCCTAACTTCTTATTTTCTTTCACCCCAGTTCTTCTTATATTTACAAACGACAGTGTTCTCCATTCCACTAATGGTGAACACTGCTCTAATATGATCTGATTTTGATCAGTGTTTAGATCTGATCTAAACAATGATCAAAGACTAATCATTTCCTTTTATATCTGCATCATTTCCAGACCCTTCCCTTGTGAGGTGTGCCACACAGCCTTCAAAACCCGAGGAAACCTGTATAACCACATGAACACTCACACAGGCCTTAAAAAGTTCACTTGTGAAATCTGTGGCAAGCAGTTCAACCATCTGACTTCTTTAACCTTACATGTGAGGTCACACACCGGTAAGAGTAATATAATGTTTTGCTTAAGTTAAGATGTAATTTTACATTAAACTTTGCTAGTGTATGGTATTAAATCTTTATTTAAGTTGTATACAATTAAAGAACATGACTATGGTCTTGTGAGAATGCACGAGCTTTATTATTTTGTTGATAACTTACTTTTATAGACTTATGCATAGGTCTTGTGTAGGGCCCTCTTAAGAGGTTGTTGCCTAGTCAACTCTTAAAATGACCTTGTTGTGTAGTAAGATTGGAAGAATGTTGAAATTCTATCATGGTCGCCGGTCGGCCGAGCTGACAGCACACTGGATTTGTGATCCTGTGGTCCTGGGTTCGATCCCAGGTGCCGGCGAGAAACAATGGGCAGAGTTTCTTTCACCCTATGCCCCTGTTACTTAGCAGTAAAATAGGTACCTGGGTGTTAGTCAGCTGTCACGGGCTGCTTCTTGGGGGGGTGGAGGCCTGGTTGAGGACCGGGCCGCGGGGACACATAGGACCATATGGAAGGGGAAGCTGTTCTGGTTCCTTTGAGGCCATCCTTTCTGCCGATCTCACGATTGCTGGGTTCTGGCTATGTGGGCCTTGCGTCGATTGCTGCATCGTCGGCCTCCTCTTCGGGTTCTTTTGGGGTTCAGTGCCATATCACCTACCCAAGCTCTTGCTCGATGAGTTCATGAATGCGTCGTCTCTTGGCTGGGGCTTTGTGACCAGTGCTCACCTGGCCGACCAGAGTTGGTGGGGTCCATTCTTCCATTGGGCTCACAGCATGGCGCACAAGTTTGCGGTGGTGTGGCTGTCACTTCAGAGGGGTCGTGTCGCTCGCAGATCGACGATCCGGCTCCATTCGGACTGCTCCCCGGTGGTTCATTGCCTGAACCGAGGGGGTTTGATGCGGTTCTTAGTTCTCTGGGGCTGGTCACTTTGGGTGACTCGTCTGCTGAGTTCTCGGGGTTTGGCTCTCCTGACGGTTCATATCCAGGGTGTGTCCAACGTTCTGGCAGATGGTCTATCCCAGTTCATTCCCCTGTCTACAGAATGGACGGTCGATGTCAGCTCCTTCAGTTGACTCTGCCAGACGTACGGGCACCCGGAGGTGGATCTCTTTGCGTCGGCGTGGTCTCTGCCTTTCCAGATATATGTGGTGCCCTTACCCAACTATGAGGCTGATCGGTGGACGCCTTTCAGCAGGACTGGTCGAGGTTAGGTTGCATGTAGCTCTTTCCTCCGGTCCAGCTGTTGCTTCGGGTTCTGGCTCGGTTGGAGTCCTACCACGGTAGAGTAGTCCTCGTGGTCCCATGGTGACCAGCCTAGCCTTGGTTTCAGGCACTGCTTGCTTGGTGTGTGAACCTGGGACGTTTTCCCTGGCTTCGCCTCTTCCAGCAGGTCGGACCGGTCCGATAGACGGCTGGTTCGGGCTCCTCCGCTCTTCGCGTTGGGTCTTTTTTTACACTGGTTGATCACCATTTGTATGGTGATCAGGTGGCTTCATTGATGGTGTCCCACTTGAGAGCTTCGTCTCGGCAACAGTATGAAGTTTCCTGGCATTCTTTCTGTTATTTTCTCTTTGTAGGTTGTCTTCTGTTTCTGATAGGGTTGTCTTGTCCTTTCTTTCTTGGCTTTTTCAGGACCGTCATTTACATAAGAACACAAGAACAAAGGTAACTGCAGAAAGCCTATTGTTGCATCTATTTGTGGTTCCTGGGTGTGCTTTCCAGTGCTTTCTGGGTATCTATTTGGGATTGTCCTTGTTAGGATAGTGGCAGGTATCATCCCTAATGAGCTCTTTTTCACATGTTCTGCTGTTACCCGTGGTTTCTTTATGGATAACTGGTTAAGAGGTTTATTATTTTTGTCAATTTACTCAGAAGCAAAGGCAAGTTTGAGGTGTTTTATGGGTAATTTGGGTTTGTTTTGATTGTGTTCCAAAAGAATGTTGGGTTTCCATATACTTAGTAGTCTGTAACTGTCCTGGTGATAATATTCTATGGCATCTTTGAGCTTTTGCAAGTTTTAGAATCTTAAGTAAATTGCAGAGCTTTTGGTACCTGTGGTTTAATAAAAGTTTAACAATTCAGAAGAACCTTTAAATATGTACAGCTTTCATTTAAACAGTTTTATTAATTATTTATGCTGTATAGATTTTTGTGTGGAGAGAGGAAAATCTTTGACTTTCAAATGATGATTAATAGTTAACATGTCTTCTTATGTTTTAGGTGAAAAACCATTCAAATGTGAATATTGTGGGAAGAGATTTACCCAAAATGGCAATCTTCAGGAACATATTAGAATTCACACAGGAGAAAAGCCATACTGTTGTGAAGCTTGTGGGAAGAAATTCACAACATCTTCACAGGTACATATGTATTGTATTAGTTTATATAGTTGGTCTATACTTCCCTCATGTAAGAACTAATTTAATAAATACATATCTTCAGAAAATGTTGTTAGCATAGGATAATACTTGTCAAATATATTTGGTAGGGTTTATGCTACTTTTTACTGTTTTTGTTTGTTTTTGTTTCAAGAGTAAAACTTGGTAACAAAATGTAACTCAGCTAGGAAAGTAATTGGTGGGTGGGATGGAGCAATGACCAGGCAGTAGAGTAATGCTTGGCATTCAGTTTAAAGTTAAGTATTGTTTGAAGTGGTCTTTTGAGTGTGAATGAAACTTGTGGAGATTATGCCAGCCTGGATTAAATTTGTAGTCTCCCCCTTCTTCCATTAACAACTCAACAGGAATGGCTTGAAAATATTCCCCATGCATCAAGGAGAGAAGGTTGAACTGAGCTGGCCTGACTAAGTGTTGTCCGTGTAAGAGTGGGACATTGCTTAGGGAAGTGACCAAGTAATTTTTTTTTATAATGTAGCTAAATGCTGTACTTCCTGCAGGGTACTAATTTTTTTATAACAGCATGATGTCTCAGAATCACATTTTGCATCTTGAGTATTTACCATTTTTCTTGTTATTTTTTAGTTCATTTTCTCTACTCAAAATTGTATGCCACTTTTTATGATGGTCCCTTCTGCTTAGTGCTTTATTTGACAAAATAAACGTTACTGTAAAATTACAAGTAAATTGTTCACGTAAACACACATTCCCCAATACGGTATTTATCTTTAACAGTTCAAACTTCATATGAGACGTCACACTGGAGAGAGGCCTTTCACATGTTCTTATTGCAACAAACCATTCTTGAATCGAGAAGCCTGGCGAACACACGAAAGAAAACACAGCGGAGAGAAACCATTTGTCTGTGAAGTTTGCACAAAAGGTTTCACTGAACAATACACTCTGAGAAAACATCTGCGAATGCATACAGGTGAATTTAATGCTGTAATTTAGATAAATCAATATAATTTATGATTTTTAACCTTTAACATTACAACTAACATCAGAATTATCACTACTGTGTGTGAAAAAAATCTTATTTTATCATAAGAAGTGGTTGATCTGTATTTAAAATAATGGAAAAAAAGAAACCGGTATCTTCCCTAATTTTGGTCCGGGCAGTGGTCAACATTACTTGACAATCATCAGCATTACATTGTGATGGGATATATAATAATTTATATATATATAATTTATTTTATATAATTTCATATAAAAATATATTTAAAAGCAAGGAATCTGTGTGTAAAAGTAACAAGAATGCCAAAATAAATGTATGCAGTGAAGATCTTTGTTGGCTTAGGTAAGTGTTTTGATAATCTATGATGGGGACCAGGGGCCAGATTCACGAAGCCGGTACGCAAGTACTTACGAACGTGTACATCTTTCCTCAATCTTTGACGGCTTAGGTTACATTTATTACACAGTTTACAATCATGAAAACTTCCTAATCAACTGTTGTTATTGTTATAAGCAGTCTCCTGGTGCTTCTGATGTAACACTGTAAAAGTGTTTGAGTTAGTTTATTTAAAATATATATAGAGTACATGAGTCACAGACAAGGATCGGAGAGGCGCCAGTTGTCTGCCTGAGATCTCACACCTCTAACCGTTAACGACCCCAAGTGACCTGAGGTCAGATCATGAGAATTTCACCTTGCTTCCGCTAAGCTTATAATTGTAGTCCGGTAGCCTTCAAACATGCCGACGTTTAAGGAGTGGCTTGGTAGTGCCGGAGGCTATCTACTTGTGGGCGGAGTTAGCTACTAGGTTCCCCAATATAAACTCGGAGAGCTATCCAGCATGAAGCATTAATCAAGAGAACAGCAGACGAGCAGAGCAGGGAGGCTGTCGGCCGGCAGGGCGGGAGTCTCCGTCAACTACAAACCCCCCCCCCCCCCCTCTCTCTATTCAACTTAGACTCAGTCCTCGGTGAGTGAACATTAAGGTGACTTGGTCGTGTTTACATATGTTGTGTGATGATCAGGGGCAGTCAAGTTGTAGGGTTCTCGAATTCTTGGATGATGACTCTCTTTAACATTTTAATTGAATTGCTAAATTATGATACTTCATGGGAAATATAATTATGAATTTATTATTTAAATTGTGTTTAACTTTGTTCCCTAGAGATTTTGAGTTGAGGTGAGAAAGCCTCTGTGGTTACTGGTTTCATGATATTAACGAGTACATGTTTGGAGTTGATACATGGTACAGAGGGAACATACTAATAATGAACTCATGATAACATCTTTTGAGAATATTTTGATACAGGCAAGTTCCATTCCTTGTCTTGTATGTAATGATCATGAATGGATGGTGGCAGCATTTCGTCTTCTACTATCTACTCTTCTACGTCTACTTCTATCTACTCTTCTACATCTACCTATCTACTCCTCTCCCTCCACCCCTCTCTGAACTCTCACTTTCAACTAATGACCCTCCTCGCTCCTCCCACCTCTCTGCCTCTCACCCCAAACCCTCACTAATTACTTCACTATTCATTTCTTTCCTTTCGTTTTCTCTTATACGTTTGTGGCAATGATTCTGTATTCTAGAGTTCTCTCTAGAGTTTCGGGTAGCTGATCCAGTTACGGCGCCTTGTAGTCTTAGCACCTAGGTAGTCAAATACCTAGGTTACAAGGTGTTGAACGAGAGAGGCTGCCTTAGGAACTCTGGAGGTGCTCTAGAATAGTTAGCTAACTGAGGACGGAATAACGGACTAGAGAGAGCTGTTTCCCCCGGCCCTGAGCTCATTAACTGCTCATAAATAATAATTGGAAACAAAGCCGCCAAAGATTGAGAAAAGGTGTACAGGTTCATAAGTGCTTACGTAACTGCTTAGTGAATCTGGCCCCAGGAGCTGAAGTCTGTGATTCTAAAATATTTTGTGGCCTCCTGTGACTACTGGGAGACATCAGCGTGTTATTGGAATCATATGAACAACATTGGTATACAAACATAATATAAAACAAAGCATGCTTTACTTTTCCGACTAAAGTCCAGCCACTTGGATTGGATGGTAGAGTGATGGTCTGAAGACGGTGCCCTGCAAGAGTCCCCTGCTTCTTGCAGGGCAGCGTTCAATCCCCGACCATCTAAGTGGTTAGGCACCATTCCTTCCCTCTGCCCTATTCTAAATCTTTGTTTCCAAGTGCTATATAGGTGTAATGACTTAGTGCTTTTTCCTAACAATTACCTTACCTTTTCCCACGTAACCCAAATCTTTTACTTCACCTTCCCTCTTGCTTTATATCGGCTCTCTCCCAGTTTTGCTCGGTTTCAACTTAATAAGATCCAGGATAGACTGAAACATTGCCACTTTTATTCCATGAGTGAGTTGGGTTATTTATTAATTTATATACACATGTAACACATGTAGATAAGCAAAACGCTGATGTAATTTACACACATTTTGCAAAAGCGACCATGATGTTATTGCACACAGAATGCATGCAAAAGGAATTACCAGAAAAATAGGCAGCTTAATCAACAATTTCCTGACTAATAGAACCCAATGTGTAAGTGGGTTTTACACATTTTACACATTTACAATGACACTAGGATTTTTATGAGAGTAGACAACATAGAGCACAGCGAATCTCCAATTAGATGTAAATCAGGTCTTTCAACAGAAAATAACATGGCATTTAATGAAGATTTAATGATAATTTAACAGTATTTTTGTTTACTGTTTAATGATATTTACCCCGGATTTAATGAAGATAAGTTCCAGCTCTTGCACTATGGAAAAAATGAAATATAAAAGCAGAAACCACATACAAAATGCAGTCAAATCATAACATAGACCGAAAAACAATGTAAAGGATTTGGGTGTACTCATGTTGGAAGACCTTACCTTTAAAGAACACAATAAAGTAGCCGTCACAACTGCAAGAAAAATGACAGGTTGGATAACAAGAACTTTTCAAACTAGAGATGCTGTACCAATGATACTCTTCAAGATGCTAGTGCTCTCTAAAGTGGAATACTGCTGCACAATGACAGCCCCTTTCAAAGCTGGAGAAATTGCTGACCTGGAGAGCGTGCAGAGATCCTTTACTGCTAGAATCCACTCGGTAAAACATCTAAACTATTGGGGCCAACTAAAATGCCTAAATCTGTATTCTCTTGAGTGCAGGCGGGAGAGTTACATGATAATTTACACATGGAAAATAGTAGAGGGGCTGGTCCTAAACCTGCACACAAAAATAACATCACATGAGACCAGAAGGCATGGCAGGATGTGCAGGATACCCCCGTTGAAAAGCAGAAGTGCAACAGGTACTCTGAGAGAGAGAGAACTATCAACATCAGAGACTCGAGATTGTTCAACACGCTTCCACTGCACATAAGGGGCATAACTGGCTGACCCCTCACAATATTCAAGAGAAAATTCGATAAGCACCTCCAAAGGATACCTGATCAACCAGGCTGTGATTCATATGTCAGGCTGCAAGCAGCCACGTCCAACAGTTTGGTTGACCAATCCAGCAATGAGGAGCCCTGGTCAACGACCAGGCCGCAGGGACGCTAAGCCCCGAAACCAACACAAGGCAACCACAAGGTAGGTAATCACATTTGAAACCAGAGCTCATAGTGTGTACTCAGGACTCTTTATCATCTGCCAGGCTTTCATAGGCTTTGTCCCCCACCATGACAAGTATCTTGCACATTATTTTTTTTAAGGAAATTAAAAAATAGACAGTGGTAAGTCTAATTCAAGTCCACAGAGAGAGCACCAATTATAATTCTACCAACTATAATTTATGACTCAAAGATGCCCTTGCTGCCACTAGATTACAATAACAGTATGAGTGAAGTTGGCAACCCTCAATTCAAACCCATACCACCCAAGAAAGTTCAGGGGTATAGGTGCAAAATAGAAAAAGGAAGAGAACTGAATATCTCTGGTGTACTCTTGACTGAAATTATCTTCACTCTGCTCATCACCCTCTTTCCCAGTTAAGACTGCTTCGTATGCTCCCTGAGACAGCTTCCTACATTGAGTAAAGTTATTAAAACCATACAGTAGCTGACCTTTTCTTTTTAACTAGTCTGAACTGAACTTGGCCAAAATACCAGGTTTGTCTGGCTTATCACATGTACCCCTTCCCTCTACCCCTATCCAGGTGTTTCTCCACATACACTGTTTCAGTTATTTTTAGGTTAGGTTAGGTTTTTTGAATGCACAATCTCATAAGAGTTAACCAGACATGTGCACCTTCTACACCAGCCAACTGTCACTCATCACCATACACACAAGATTATAATGTTTATTTCCTGCAGAAGTGTTTGGCCTTCTGGACCAGTCACCCTGCCATTTTTAACTCTAGTCCGGTTGACTGCTGCTTCTTGTGCTTTGCTTTATTACTCTCACTTTAACTATGTCAAGGAAAGATCTTATCTTTAAAATGTATAAAAAAAAAATTGCCTTCTACTGAAAAGTCATAACATGTTTCCTTTTGAATTTGCTTGTGATTATTCTTAGCTGGCTGGTTTTCCAAGTTGATTAGAAACTGTAGGCCTCCATAGTTGGCTGTTCAAATACTCAAAAAAAATATCTACTTGTATAGTGACTATTCTGTCATGAAATCATACAAAATTAATGGAAATTAAAGTTAAAACAAGTCATAATCATAATTCTTGATGGCAGTAAAATGGTAGACTTCAAATTACTGAGGATTGTTGAAGGTGGTATAAGTGTTAAGGCTAGGAGCAGTGAGCAGTGTGGCCCCACACACTGGCATGGGAGAAATCTTGTATGAATTTTAACAAGATAAAGAAGAGGTAGTAAATAGGTCTGAAGGGAAGCCAGTTTGTTAGACTTGAAAGATCTTCATCTTGTGACAGTTCACATTCATTATTCACTTCAATATATGTTTAACAATTTTAAAATCAAAATTATTAATTTTCCAATTGAATTTTATTAATTGTAAAGGGGAATTTGCATGTAAAAACCACCAAGTGTGAAGAATTCCATCACTTGTTACAATTTTTTTATTTAAGATAGGTTATAATTCCTGTACTACATGCACATTACTAAATATTTTGACATGTGACAACTAACTATTTACAGGGGAGAAACCATACACTTGTCATGTGTGCGGAAAAGCCTTCAGTGATGCATCCAACTTGCATAAACATCGCAAATGTCATCGTGAGGATGAAACCTGGCTTCTGTCGGATCCAGCGACCATTGAAGGCACTGAAGGAGATCACCGGATCATTTATATTCTTTCTGACAAGGATGAGAATGATGCAACACTTACAGCTCTACAAGCTGTGGTAAATGTTTGTTTCTCATGGTTTCCAGTCAGGATCAGTTAATGATTTTCAAGTCTTGTTATGTTATTCCATTTTAAATCATGTGAACATAACTGTTTTGCTCTTTTGTTGAACAGTGAGCTGGTCTGTTGGTGGTGAATTTAGATAGACCCTTCACTGTGTCCTCACTCGTGACAACAGGGATTCATAAAATTACTTTATAACTGCAGTGGGGCAAAGATTGGCCAGAACCCTGTGTGTAAGCAGCATCTTGGACAGACCCAGACCCCTGGGTAGGGAGCAAGCATGGAACCAACTCCAAGAGAAGCATTTCATTGTATTCAATGTTTTATTTTTGCTTATTCTTTTTTTTTTTTTTCTTGCAGGATACTGACATTTCTGAAAATTCACACCTGGAGAATATTACAGATGGTACAACTCAAATGATTCAACTAAATCCAGAAAGCCAGACACTCCGAAGTTTTTCACTAACTTCATACAACCAGTCTTCCACAGAAACTACTGTCATGCTTCAGGAAGGAACTAGCCAAGAAACAGATAGACCAATTCGGGTATGCATACATTATAAAACAACCTTGTTATTGAATACTTTTCTGTAGCTTCAGCACTCTTACTATAGGTGCTCTTTCACTAGCATGGCAATGCCTCCACCTTTCCTAATTTTTCTGTCCCATCTCCAAATTGAGTAGCCCCTTGGAATTACGACCTTATTTATAATATCATCATTGAGTTTCATCTCCTCGAGTGCAACGATGTCTGGCGTCCTCAGCTGTATTACATCACTTAGCTCCAGTATTTTCTGGGGGAGCCTCTACGGCTTCCCGGAGCTATCCAGGCTGATATGGATATCCCTAACTTTGGCATCAGTCGATGTGGGTGGAGTTCTAGGCCTACCGGGGACCACGAGCCAGAACCTGGCCCTCTCAAAGAAACACGAGGAGCAATGGCCAATAGAAATGCACATGTGATTTTGGAGCATTCTGTATTTGCCATCGACTGGGACAAGCACCCAGAGAGGCAAGCGCCTCAAAACAAACCCCTATTCTGGTGAAACCAACTAAAATAACCAAACAAGTGGACAGAACTCCCCCAAATGAAAACGAGCAAACGAGCATGACGTTACACGAGCCGCGCCGCATGTCTGCGCAGCTCCCCCCTTCCCGGGAGGGAGAGAGGGGGAGCCCCAGACCCCCACGCTGGCGATCCACACCTCAGTTCTTCGGCTGATGGGATATGGCTTGGTCGTTGTGGTTCCAGCTCTGGACTTTTGTTGTGTTGTCTTCTGTTCAGTACTGCTCGTACGATGGTGTGCAAGCTGGGAGTAATATTCACAGGTACTTAGGCTGTATGTGCTTAGGGTCATCTTCCCAGAGTGCCCTGTAAGTACCACCCTAGGGTACCTAAGCTAGGTGGCTTAGGTACTCTAGGTGGCTATAGTTCCACTAGTAGTGTTTGGTGATCCTCTGCTAAGCCCCCGTGATTGTACACGTCACAGGGGTGTTCAGTGTTGTCCTCTACCCCTTGTTAGTTTTGGGTGTTTAACTGGTTAGCAACACCTGGGCTCGGGCTAGCTGTGCGGTTCATGTCCAGAGTGTGTCCTGCGTCCGGGCGGACAGCCTGTCTCTGCTTATTGGAATGTCCCGATTCATCCGGGGTTCAGAGACTGGCTCGGTTTTGTTGTGGGGCTTCGTGCTTACCGCCTTCGTTGTCTCCCGTTTGGGTTGAATCTGGCACCTCGCGTTTTCATGCACCTTACGTGGGTCGTGGTGACCCGTCTGCGTCTGTTAGGTATTCAGGTGTTGGCCTACCTCGACAACTGGCTGGTTTGGGCACCCAGCCAGTCCGCTTGTCTGCTGGCCAGGGATCTGGTTCTTTTTCAGCTCGCCGGGTTCGGGTTCTTGGTGAACTGGAGGAAGTCCCATCTGGTTCCCTCCCAGGTTCGGACCTGGCTGGGCCTTGTATGGTACTCTCGGACCGCTTCCTTGTCTTTTCCTCTGGAGTCTCTCCTGCAGCTGCGGTCCCACATGCACCTGTTTCTGGGGGGCTCCTGGGTCACCCGGCGGTTGCTTGAGAGTCTGTGCAGGAGCCTGAACTTCGCGATGCTGGTCTGTCTGCCGGGTTGGGTTTGGCTTCGTCAGCTGTTCTGGTTCCTTCGGGGACGTCCCTTCCACCTCTCTCGCGATCGCTGGGTTCGGACCCCGGGAGCTTTGCGTCAGTTGCTGCGTCGCCGGCTTGCTCTTTGGGATTTTCGGGGTTCACTACCTTGATGCCTACCTGAGCCCTCGCTCGATGTGTTCACAGACGCGTTGTCTCTCGGCTGGGGCTTTGTGACCAGTGCTCACCAGGCCGGACAGGGACGGGGGCGTCCGTCCTTCCATTGAGCCCACAGAAGTACAGGAGTTTGCAGCGGTGTGGTTTGCTCTTCGGAGGCTTCGAATCGCCTGTGGGTCAACGATCCGACTCCATTCGGACTGCTCCTCGGTGGTTCATTGTCTGGACCGAGGGGATTCGATGTGATCCTTGGCTCTTTGGTACTGGTCGCTTCAGGTGACCCGTCTGCTGAGTTCTCAGGGTTTGGCTCTCCTGGCAGTTCACGTGCGGGGAGTGTCCAACGTCTTGGCAGACAGCCTGTCTCGTTTCGTTCCCCTCTCCATGAAATGGACGGTTGACGCCGACTCCTTCTGTTGGCTTTGCCAGACGTTCGGACACCCCGAGATGAACCTCTTCGCGTTGGCGTGGTCCAGCACCTTCCTCTGTTTGTGACGCCCTTTCCCGACTGCGAGGCTGTTGACTTCGATGCCTTTCGGCAGAACTGGTTGAGGTGGGGTGTCCTATACTTCTTTCCCAGCAGCTCAACTGTTGTTCCAGGTCCTGACTCGCTTGGAGACTTACCAGGGAAGAGTTGTCCTCTTTGTGGCCGGCCCAGCCGTGGTTTCAGGCACTGTTTGCTTGATGTCCGAAGCCAGAGGCTTTCCCGCGGCTCCGCCTCTTCCAGCAGATCGGACCGGTACGTCACGTATATGGTTCGATTTTCTCGAGTCTTTCGCGTATGGTATTTTTGACTCGAGTTTATCATCATCTCTATGGTGATCAGGTGGCTTCCTTATTAGTGTCCCACCTGCGGGCTTTGTCTCTGCGGCAGTATGAAGTTTCCTTCTAATTCCTTAGTACTGTACATCAATGTTTGTACTATTGTACACATACTTACAAAAATTACTATATGAACAGGAGGATGGGTTATAGTTGATCCTCCCCGGCCAGGATATGAACCCAGGTCAAATCGCTTGCAAAGTGCCGAGCAAGTGCTTTACCACTGCACCACAGGGACATATACGAACATGACAGGTTATCCAATAAGTTTCAGCCTCTTGGGACAAACTAATTCGTTACCTTGTAAAGCCCGTGGCCGTATGTAGTATAACTTTTTGTATAAAAAGTTACAACTGTAACACATAATCTTTATCTCTTGGTTCAGTGATCTCGACCCACTTTGTCACCCCGCTGTAGTTGTTAACTTTTATAAATACTTGTCATGTGTATATTTTGTTAGGTTTTACAAAAGTCCTTACAGGCAAAACATCTTTGTTTCTCTACATTTTCTGTAATGTTTTCATCAGTAGTACAATATGATTTATGTATAAACTTGGTTGAAAAAAAATCCTATGTACAGTATTACACTCACCTACTGTATGGATATATTCTCTGCAAAAATTTCTAACAGATGTATCGTATTTGCAGATTTTTACTAATGACGAAGGACAGTCTGTTATCCCGGTTATTAATTCATCTGGAGAAACAATTGCAGAAGTTCAAGGACACTTCCTTGCTGGTGTAAGTTGTTTGATATTTTTCTTTATTATTAATACTAATTATCATTAATTATCATCGAGAAGCCTAAAAAATGCTAGTTCATTTTTGGTTTCATACTTTGGTTTTGCTCAAAACGCTGTGCATCATAGTGGGTTCATTAGTATGTGTAACCACTGTCCCCACAATTGTACATTGCTCTTATGTTCTTCGTACACATTCTTTTGAATAAATAATTTGAATTTCAGTAAAATATTTCGAGATATAATACTCGAGTACATTATTTAATTGGGCCTTTGAGTGTGGGAAAAAGTTCTCTGAATGGCATTTCAGGATCTTGCTAACCAGACCCCAAATACTGCAATATTTTATATAATCCAGTGGTTCCATTTGGCGCATATGGTACAATGTAGCTATTTGACCTGATAATTAAAAATCATCACACTCTCTTTTACATGTTAAGACATTAAAAGGAGGTGCATTTCTGGAATAAAAAAAAATGCAACGAGTGAATAAAAAAACATCTACTCGAATTAATCCATTCACACCCCTAAAAATATTAACTTAAAAATACATTTTATATAGAATACTACTCATATTTTTCATACACAAAACAATCGGGTGTAAATATAAACCATAAATTAAATAAGTGAACATTTAACTGCACTTTACCTTTACTGAGGACTCTTGTTTGGCGTATGGGAAACTGTGAGAAGGGGGGAGGGATAGTAAATAATTGCATCATTTATTTATAACAATGCTTACTAAGTAGACTTAAAACTATTTGACTACCAAGTTGAAATTTGTAACGTTTGCTTTATATTTTTCATCCTATTCTGTGGTATCATTGTTAACTCAAACCTTTTGATAGAGGGTCAACTCTCTATGCTCATTCTGTATTTGCACCAGTGTGTTCTTGTCAGATATCTCTTGACATTCATATGGAGCACGTATTTTAACTTTTAATTTTAAATCGGCTGAAATTTAAATATTGCATAATTACAAGTGTCATCTTTTATCTACAGTCCGAAAATACTTCAAATGTCAGCTCTCTTGGAAACAGCAGCACCCTTGAAATTTCTCTGAAGGATGGACAGCCACTTAGTATTGTCATTCCTGATGGAGAAGATCCAACATTGTACGTCCAAAGAGCAATAGAGTCGGCAGTATTATCTCAGCAGCAGCAGCCAGCCACACCACAGCAACAGGGACAGGCAGTTCATTCGCACTCGCAATAATGGGTTTTTGAGCCTTATTGAAGAGATAGAGATGCATAATTTATTTTCAAAAGCACTCATGTTTATGTACATTTTTTCAAATTAAATTATCTTGTGCTTCCATATTGTACTGAGGTATTTTTTTCCAAGATACATATATCTTTATAATTATGCTATATTTCTTTTCACACCAAATTGCTTTAGTTCTAATCTGGTCTTATTGCTAATTTTGTAAGAAAAATTACAATTATTTTCACTGTTCATGTTTTCTACAAAGAGCAAGAATACATTTTGTATGTATTTACCTAAGTGTAATTATATAAGTGTGGTTACAGGATGAATGCTACACTTGTGGCATCCCGTTTTCCCATTACAGTATTCTGCTTAAGATGCTCTGAAACTACTGATGGTTTTGGCTTCCACCACCAGCTCACTTGTTCCACCTGTTTACTACTGTGTGCTAAAGAGAGTGTTTTAATACAGTATTTGTCAGCATTTTTTTTTCACCATTTTTTTTTGCATTTCACAACAGTTGGAAAAAAAATTAATTAATATTTCAACAGAAGATATGAGTAAACTGTGTACTTTGTTGTCCATACTCCAGAACTCCATACACACGGCTGGTGCCAAAGTCTGACGTTAGCATATCAGCCTGGAAAGCTCCGGGGAGCCTCCGGGTCTCGCCTAGAAAATGACATTTCATTACATTCAACACTGGTTTTTGGGTCTAAATTTGCCGCACATTTCAAATTCTTTATTGACGATTTTTTTTACAGTAAACTATACTGAAAACTTATATTCTAGTTTGATGAAACTGAAGATCATATGCTATTCTGAGAGAATAACAACATTAAATGAACAATTGGTGATAGTTCATATTTTTTATTCTGAATTGAAAATCTAAGTTTTCAATATTCACTTTTAAAGTTAAGTTTGATTCTCTTGTTTTTCAAGTTATGCTGTGAACATTTTTACAAAGTTGGAGCATTTGCCTAGTTAATTATGCAAACAAAAATGGAAAGTGTTTCTGCAAGTTTTAAAAACTTGTGTAAAATTGTTTTATGTCAAATCATATATATATATGTATTGCGCTGTTGAAGGGTTACAGATACCCATGGTGATATTAAGAATACCATGGGCATTCCATTTTCAAGGAAGATAGGTTAACTTGCTTCCTTTGTGGTAAGCATATTAGTGCCCTTCTGTATTGCTAATATTTTGAGTTGCACCCCTCCCTACTTTGGTTTTTCCTAGAGGTCAAATGTTACGTCCAGACATATCCTTCCCTCCTCTTGCTAGTACATATTCGAAGTTTGACCATAGGGTAATGTTTGGAAAGTTTGACCTGCAGAAGTGCAATGTTCTTTTGTCCACTCTGTGGCAAGAATGGTCATGTTAAGTCTAATTGCATAACCCAAATGAATTGCTGCTTTAAATGTGATTTAATGATTTTCCTGCATTTTCAGTCCTGTTAATCACTTTAAAATCTATTTTGAAGCAGTCTATTCTGCACTTCAAGCACAAAGACAACATGTCTTTTTCTGAGGCAAGGCATCAACTAAGGCACCTGGGCCTCTTCGAGGACATCACATATGCTTGCCCTCCTTATCAGGAGCCTTCTACCCACTCTCCTTCCAGTCCCTGCTCTAGAATCATTTCCATGTCCTCACCAGAGACCTTGTCTGAGGTGCCTCATTCTTCTGCCCCTCCACAATCTTTTTGACAGGAGTGTCCCTCTTGGCCAACATTCACACATTTACATTCCTACCTCCCTACTGACATATCTGTATTTCCATTGCCAATTCAGGCCATATTTCCACTGCACTTTTGTCCTCCCTGACTCTCTCTGCCCTCAGTCACAGCTGATTTTTGGAATATGTCGCCAGCTGAAGCTGTGTTCATATCACAAACCATATTGCTGCCATTGCCCCTCTCCACTCTGCAGGGCATAGGATGGGGGGGAGGGGGGAGGGAAGGTAAAATCATAAGTTGCATCTCTACTCTTCCTTCCCTAAAGAAAAGGCCAGTCTTGACACATTACACCTACCCTTGTTTCAGTCTGACAATCTCCTCATTAAGATGCAGCCACACTTACCTGAACCCATTCTGCTTCTACCTTATTTCTCGATTAAATCTATTTGCATGACAAAGCTCCTTTCCTCTCCTCGTCTGAGCCATTCTTTATTTCATGATTTAGCCATACTTCCTAACCCTGAGTTCACAGATCTCAACCTTAGTTGCCTCCAGTTTTTCCTATGTACTTTTTTTACTTAATACCTTTTCTTTGTATTAATTAAATGTGTCCATTATTCAATAGAATATAGGCAGTGTTTGTGCAAATTTGACTTAACTTCAGGTTTAAATTTCTAAGTTTTGTTGTGTCGGTCTTTAGAACTCGATGCATGGCCTTCGTCTTGGCCACTACCATGGTTATACCTTTTAAATGTCACTTCACCATTTTGATAATTGGCCTAGCTCCACTGCTCTTTTATCATGAAATAATGTTCCCTTTCTATTTTGTTAAACATCTGTTCCTCTGCAGGTCACATTTGTGTATAAATTTGATATACTGTACCTGGTAGTTCTGTATTGTCTGTTCTCTCCATTTCAATTCTCCAATCTTTCTTGTTGATTTTAAGTTACTTTTAGATCTTCTACTAATGTACATGTAGTAGATCTTCTACTACATATACATGTAAACATGCTCTCTGGGGCAATTCTCTTACTAATACCTGTGGTCATCCAATACAACCCCTTATTGCTTCTTTGTCCTTTTCTGAGTTGAATACTAGAAAGGTGACTCGTGTTGACTCTCACACCTTCACTTCTTCCTATATTTCTCTCTCGACATCTTAAATAATCTACTGTACCCCCTGAATCTATTAAACTTTTGAAAACTTCCATAACTGCAATCATTTTCCCATTTTCTTGCTCAATCTTTTTCTTCCCTCTAATTTTAATGATGGTATATTGCTGAGGTTGACTGGAAAAACTCTACCAACTTTGCATGTTATATCTTCCTATCCCTTGCTTCCTTTTTGTCTTTCAACTAACTTCACTTGTTAACCTCCATTCCATCCCACACTATACTTCCTATGGTATGAGAAAGTGCCTTTCTTATTATAATATATGCTCTGCTTGCACTGTTCCCTAATAGAAGCACCAGCACTGTTGGACAGCAAAATCTTTGTTTAAAACGAAAAAAAAAAAAGTTGAATGTAATGAAATGCATTTTCTGGGTGAGACCCAGAGGCTCCCCGGAACTATACCAGGCTGATGTGCATATATTAGACCGTGGCAACAGTCAATCAATGGAGTTCTAGGCCTACTGGTGACCAGCGCCAGAACCATGCCCCCTCAGATGAGGCACGAGCAGCAATGACCTTATAGACATCCCCCCATGTAATTGGAAGCAGTCTATGTCTGGCATCTACCAGGTCAGGCACCCAGAAAGGTAGGAATTCCAAAACAAACTACAGCTGGTTAAAAATTGCAAACCGAAAGCCAAACTAGCAAACAGAACTCCCCATTCGCAAACAAGCATGACGTTACCACAGCTGCCGCGCCACTGTCTGCGCAACCGTCCCAGGCCTCCCGCACTGGCTAGCCAATCCCAGTTCAGAGGCCTAATATCAAAAAGGCAAAAAAAAAAAACGCCCACCGGAGGGGGGAGGGATGCAGGGGCGCCTCCCGGTCTCATCCAGAAAATGGCATTTCATTACATTCAATGTTGGTTTTCTGGAGAGCCCCTTCGGTTTCCCGGAGTTGCCTAACCAAAGATTAAGGAAAAAGAGGGATTTGCCCGGGAGGTGGCCCCCACTTGCTCCTCAACTCGAAGTCGAGACAACTGGCTGCAACCTGCGACCCAGGACTACACACGCCCGAGAAGGGCCAGGAACATTAACGAGGTACAGTGCATCTTCTAACGAAGATGCCGCTCCATCAAATTCCCGGATGATCCGAACAAATTGAATTCGGTACTAAATGTTCAGTGGAACATGCAAATGTTCGATTGAGGATTGTTCATCCAAGCGATCACCGAGCTGTCATAGTAGATGACAGCCACTGTCATCAACTATGATTCACCAAAGTGTAAAGAGTTGTACAGTACAGTATTATATTTTGCTTACCCATTGTTTCCAGTGAGAAATGGTTGAAGGATGATAAAATGGTGTCAGGGGAGGCAGGTTGTGTCATTGGTGAGGGTTGGAATCTGGGGGCAAGTGGTGTCAGTAGTTGGGGTTTAGTGTTAGGAGGCAGGTGGTGGAAGTTATTCTCATTGGGGATTGTCAGGGGGCAGGCAGTGTCAATGGTGGAAAGTGTTGTTAGGGGAGGCAGGTGGTGTCAGTGGTGGAAGGTGTTTTTGATGGCACTTGCCCTTAAAACCTTAGGGAAAAAAACTGGGATATGATCACCTTATACAAGATCCTGAAAGGAATATGGACAAAGGAGGCCTATTAAAATTAAAAGAAAGTTCGACATGAGGACATTGATGGAAACTGGACACACAATTGAGTCAGATGTAGTGAAATTCTTGTATCCTGCATGGGTAATTAGAAAGTGGAATACAGTACATTAAAGAAGTTATCAAAGTCAATTCCATCCACAACTTGAGAAAAAATATGATGGAGACTTGAATGTAAACAGAGGTAATTAGTGCACTAAGTATAAGCTGGTTAGACAGTGGGGCATAAAGAGCTAGTTCTTCTTCCTCTTAGTCAGCGACATGTAAGCACTGTAAGTGGGATAACCAGGAGCAGGGCGCTGTTCCATTAGGTGTCCATGCGTTAAGTGTGTGGGGGCCAATACACAATCTCGTTTGATCAGTTTCCCCATTGCTTCTTATGGTGGTAGGAGGAAAGCCATGGGGATAGGTCACATTAAAGTGTACAGTTTGTTCTTTGTGATACTATCATGCCAATAGTTGTAGACTGCAATATGAATGCCTGGGTGTATATCCAAATAAAGAATCCCTTTACAGGAGATAGGACAAGCACAAACAGCCTCCTTAACAACAGCACCAGCAAGTTAGTTAACTTGAGCAAAAATCTGAGGCATCTGATAAGTGTGATCATGGAGTGATAACCCATAAAATTAAATCAAAGTAAATAATATGTAAAGTAAGG